TTATCCTGAATTACTTTGAATTACTTTGAATTACTTTGAATTACTATGAATTATCTTAAATTATCTGAAGTATCGGGAGTTATCTTGAAGTATATGAATTATCCTGAATTGCTTTGAATTACTTTGAATTACTATGAATTATCTGAAGTATCTGAAGTATCGTGAATCAGTTTAAATTACTTTGACTGACTTTAAACTACTTTGAATTACTTTGAATTTCTTTGAATTTCTTTGAATTATCTTGAAGTTTAATATGAATTATCCTGAATTATCTGAACAAACGTGAGTTATCATGAATTACCTTGAATTACTTTGAATTACTATGAATTATCTTAAATTATCTGAAGTATCGGAAATTATCTTGAAGTATATGAATTATCCTGAATTATTTGAAGTATCGTGAATTATCATGAATTACTTTGAATTATCTTGAATTAATTCAAAGTAATTCATGATAATTAATTCAGGTAATTCAAGATAATTTGTGATAATTTACAGTATTTCAGGTAATTTAGGATAAATTCATATACTTCAATATAAGTAATAGTAATTCGAGATAATTCAAAGTAATTAATGGTAATTCATGATAATGATAATTCACCGTAATTCAGATAATTTAGGATAATTCAGATACTTCAAATTAATTCATAGTATTTCGAGATAATTCAAAGTAATTCAAGGTTATTCTTGATAATTCACAATACTTTAGATAATTCTGGATAATTCATGTAATTCAAGATAATTCAGGAAAATTCAGAATATTTTTTTACAAGTGTACAACTTAATTCACAAGTTATTTTTCCCTCGAAAAAATGTTATTTTATTTAAACAATCAACTCGTCTATTATCGAACAAATAATATTGAATTTTCTGTTTCAATGTATAAATTCTTTATACTGATTTAATATGCATTTTATAATTACAAAGCACTTTTTGATCTGTTTCATTAAAAAATTTCTAAAAGCTTATTAATATTTTTTTGATATATAAATGTAATTAACGAATTTTGTAGCAATGAACTTGACAGAAAAAATGTTTTGTTCATAAATATCTTTGACTCTAGTTTGTATGCGACACACTACATCTAGACGACCTAATTCTTGGGGAAAAATGAATGCCTCAGTTCAGTGTCACATTCTTTGAAAAAGAGAAGCGTTATTAAAGAGTGGTAGAAAACTTTGCCTGAGGTTTATGGTGGAAGAAAACGTTCTGCAGACACTTCCGTCTCTAATTGGCAATTCTCTTCACTGAAATTGTACTAATTTTCAACGTCTATTCTAAATCTTTTCAATTTCTTGCTTTTTTAAGCTTATCAATTTAAAGTTTTGAATTTTGAGAAATTGAATTTGTCATATATTGTGGATGCATTCTGGAAACATCTGACAATGACAGGAGCTGCAATCGGGGGTGTAAATGGAGAAGAGAATGCTTGTTGTGACAAGGGTGGTTGTTTCGGGGAAAGGGGATATATGACGAGAGCAGACTTGGGAACACCACGTGATTCACTCTTCTCATGCTCCGTTTCATTACGCGAATAAGGAGAGAATAATTAATTATTCAACCATTTAATAAAAGAATTCCTTTATAGAATTTAGCAATTAAAAAGACTTTCCGCGATGCAGTCGTCAACTTTTCAATTAAATGTAAACTCTCACAATGTGAATTATATTCATAAGTCATAATATTAATCGAGCTTATCTTAAATTAATATATATATATATATATTAAAAAGATTTTAATGTAATCCTATCACGTCATTAATGAAAATAAAAGTAAAATTATCGTGAATTAGATTTCATGAAATGGTTGTCATAAATTTTAAAGTAAGCAAAATCGTAAAACCTTTAATCGAGTTTACGCATAAACAAGTCTTTCGACATCGCAAACTTTTATCTTCTATTTCATTTGTGATCATAAAAGCGACACTTTTATACTATCTGTAAATTTGCTTGGTTGTTTTCTTTCTTTTTTTTTAATTAAATGTCAATTTAAAAGCACTTTATTGGAAAGAAGTGGTTTATATAAATTTCAACAAAAAAATCTACATTTTTATCTGGCATTATGAGCTCTACAATTCGAGTATATGGTATGCGGTGTGGTAGGCCACAGGGTGCGTTGGGCTTAATTCAATTTCATTCGACCACGCCCTGTTCAATGTAACAAAGCTTTGCAGAGGCATTTGCGTTGATTTTTTAATTTCAATCAATAAATTGGTAATACAAAATTCGAACGCTAAACCTTTAGCAAAATTTATGATCCCATCAAAAAAAACCACTGAAATATTTGCTCATAAAATATAAATATTTTCTTTTTAATTTAAAATGTATAATAAAAATTTTAAATCATAATTTTTTATATTTTAATTGTAAATCATCTATTTTTCAGCTATAAATCATTTTATTTAGAAAATGAGAATAATTAAGAGAGATGTTAATATATCTTAAAAAGAAGTTAATGAAACTTCTCATAAAGCATACTTTTTTTTGTATATTTATCGTACATTGTACGTGAACGGTTTAGTAAGGTATTGAGATTCACACCGGATGCGGAAGCACCGCAACAAGTTGTCCGTAATAAGATTTCTGGGCACTTGCCAAATAGTGTGGGAATTACTTTAAAATAACTTAGGAATTCTGCAAAAAAAAATCTATAAGAACAAAAAACAATAAATCGTATTTTTAAAAATAAATAAATAATGTGATTTAATTAATAATTTTCTCCCTGTATAGAAAAACAATTTTTTAGTACCTAATACTGCAATTTCATTTTTATACTACAGTTTAAATTATTCTTAATTAATAACAATATCATTATAGAAAACTTTGAATAAATAATGGTAAAAAGTTAAGTTTCTCGAAAACTCGTAAGTAAAATTGGACACATTTTAATAAGACAGAGAAGTTTCTTGAGAGTTTATCGCACAACAAAATATTCAGTGTTTTTCAAGTTGCCTGAAAAGCTGTTTTGTTATTTTGCCCTCTTATATATTATTAATCTCCTCTACTTCTGAATGTTTTTCATTTATACTTTATTTAAAAAAAAAAAAAAATGCGCGCCTCAAAGGAAAACAACTAATTCTCTTGTTTCTGTCACACTTGTTTATTTCCGCTACTTTTGTATTCATTATTTCAATATTTAAATTATCCTCTGTAACAATAGAATCACAAGCAAGCAACAAGTAGGAAACAAAGCCAATCATGGAAAATAATCGATTTTAATTCTTATATATGCACTGCCTTGATATGAATTGACTCAATATCTTGCTATTTTATCAATATTTGAAAAATAAATTATTTGAAAACAAGATTTAATTATTAAATACAGAAAGTTGTAAACCTACGCTTTTTAAACAGAAAAAAGTAAGTTTGTATGTACACTTTGAAAAGTCTTGTGGATCGAAAAGACAGAATAAAAGTTTTTTTTTTTTGGTCAGAAAAGCTCGTACAAAGGATAATAGAAAATTCAACCCCAGGTCATTTTTAGCTCGAAAAACGTCCTCTAGAGAAACTAAATGAACCCGCATACCACCCTTGGACATCTTGTAAGTCCTTGTGCTTTCCGAAGGAAAAAAAAGGCGTAAACTTTTGTTCGTTGAGGTGCTGTGAGTTTTGCTGCTTTGCGAAATTAGTAAGTGAAAGGTCCTCCTCCTCCGTCAAGTAATTCGTTTTTGTCATAAAAGCTGAGCGCAACAAGAAAGTAGCATAAAAAAAAGAAGGCTAAAAAATAAATATAGATTCTGCAGAGATAGTGCATAACTAAAATTTTGTTGAATATAAAAATTCTGGTAAATTAAAATTAAGTTAAATTATAATACTTTTAAATAAAAGGTGGAAAAAAAGAAATTTGTTAAAATAAAAATTACCTAAAAATTATGATTTGGACAAAGAAAGTAACTCAAATGCTAATTTAAAAAATGAAAATTCGTCTAAAAAGAAATTTTGTCAAATGAAAGTTCTAGCTGATGATTTTTATGGGTTATTCATGCACCCCAGTTGATTTACACAAATTAACGCGAAATTAAATAATAGAATTTTTAGGTTAGGAATCTTGTTGACGTCACCGATGACCCCATTAAAAAATTCAAGATTTATAAAAAATAATTTATAAAAAACCAACCACTTTGAAATGTTTTCCTGTTCCCTCATATATTTTCCCCAATTATTCATTATCTAGTATGAAACACTTGCTTATAGCCACTAAATCCAATACGACGCACTAATCACATTCACCGAATTTTGAGTAACTTGAAGTTGTTTGTTAATTCATTTTAATGCAAATCTCATAAGATGCAGTAAAAATGAATTCAGTTTTTTTCCGTGTATCAAAATGTGTCTTCCATCAAAAAAATCAATTAAAAATTGCTTTTTAATTTGAAAAAAAGATTAAAGAGTCATTTTAATAATTTTTTTAATTCTTAAAAACTGATTTAGTAAATAAACTAACTGCTGAAGAGGTCCTTGTACCTTTTTAATTAGGGGCTTCTTCACAAATTCAATTTTTAGAGATAATAAAACGTTCCACATATATATCTTGTTAGAAGAGCACTAGTAGCAATTTTTGTGAGCTTAAGTGGAATATGAATACAGGGCAACTGAGCTGCAAATAATAGTCACGCTTTGTAATTTTTGGCGTCAAGCGTAACAAACGAAATAAAAGCGTTTCCTGGTGCACGGTCAGATAGGTCACTTTAAATTCGTACTAACGGGGGCTTTATTATACAACTTGTTTATTTATATGAACACAAACTCTTTTTTACTTTTCTACAATTAAAATCGATCAACACCAACTGACAGAGAGTGAACCAAACATAAAAATGTTTGTTTCACATTAAATGAAATTTCATCTATTTTATTTCCACAACGTATCAATTTATTTTTAAAAAATAGCCTTCAATGTTTTTTTTTTAGTAAAACACAGAAAATGCTTTATCAATATTTAATTTCTGTTATTGATTATAAATCTGTACGATTGCTTTATAATTTGATAAATTTGTGTTTCAGATTAAAGAATAATTGAAGCAGTGTAATTAAACGGAAAAGAAATTGACTGAAAAAGTGGAAAATTGCCTGGAAGAGGGATGCTCTTGTTTCAAATAGGCGAGCCGGGTGGCTCGCATTTTTCACGAATCTATCACAAATGTCAGAGATGTGAGGTGCAATACAGTGGTCCGCGATAAAAGGGACGCGCAGCCATTCTAAAAAAAACCACTGTACTGCCACTTTTTTTTATGAATCTCATTAGGACTGAAGCCGTAGGGCAGGACGAGAGGTGCGAACATTTTTCAACGCAATAACTCGAATTTTCTTCTATTCACACGAGCAACATATAAGATTCGCCAGAATGTTGCCCACCAATGTCATGTCTTTTATGAAGAAGGTAAGTTATTTTAAATTATTTTTAATTTTTTGTACTGCTTCTTTTAAATAAAATTGCCTTCCGTTTCTAAATTAGATAATTTAATAAAGCTGAAAGTCATATTTTTTTTGGTTCCTTGAAAAATGGTGAAATTGCTGTATTGGTAGATGGATACTCTCAGTTGAGAAAATTTTAGAGTAGGTAAGGAAAAGACGTTTCAGTAGTCTCAGTCCCGCCGCACCTGGTATTTTCCACTTGAGAGCACAGCTGTTTCTACTCTAAGCAAATTAGGTGCTTTCAAGAGAAAACTCTTGACTACTATACCAAAAATTTTCAGTGTCACCAATTTTTCAAAATATTTTACATGTCAATTCTTATTTTTCTCTTTTCAAAATTCAAAACTCATAATGTTTCATATTTTTTAACCGCAAAAGAAAAAAAATAAGTAAAGGGTTAAAAGTGCTTAAAAAAAGCGTATAAATATTTCAATGTAAGGAGAATATTGAAAAAAGTTTACTTTTATTTCCGCTACTACTACGAACGTTTCTTCCGTTATACAGGAAATTTTTATTTGCTCTTCGAGAACGAAAAAATAAAAATAAATCTAAACCAATGGTTTTCTTTTTTTTTCAAAATCAATATACATTTTCAAACATTCAAATATCGCTATAAAGCTGAAATGGTAATCGGAAAATATGTATCGATTTTTGTGGTAATACGAGTGCAGAGAAATTCTAAGCATTTCTAGAGATATAGTTATGGATCGTGTTCGTCAAAATCAGTATTTGAGAAGTTTTATGAAAAAAAAAAAAAAAAAAAAAAAAACGCCAATTGCAATGGACGATTCAGACCCTCGCCTTGCCTATATATATGGCTTTGAGCCAGGTCCTGGTATTCCCGAGTAATGTGCCTGCTCTCGTTTCTTTGTGCGGTTTCCTAGATACCGTTCTCCAAAGGCATTTCTATAGAAGAGAGGAGGGTTATTAACTCTATATGTTTCGTCATTGGTGTCTTCCCCTATTTTGTTTTTCGTTTTTTTTCTGCTCAACGAGAAAAACCGATTAAACGTCATAAGAGTGGGTCCATGAAAGGCTCATGAAATTCTAAGTGAAAGGTCGATTGAAATTTTAGTCGACTTGGAGTAGACACTTGAATTTTCAATACGCACTCTCTTTCTCTTATTACCGAAAGATCGCCAGGCAGCAATCTATATCATTTTTTGCTGAGATTATCATGAGTTTTCTTTCACGTTTTCTAAAAAAACGAGATCAGGAGACAAAAGAGTTTTAAAAAATAACAGAATAATAAAAAAAAGATTCTCATTTTTCCTTTCTGGGGCAAATATTAAATGCTCTTGAAAAAGTCAAATGAAAGATAATTCATTGAATGCAGATTGAAAACGATTCAATCAAAAAAAAAAAAGAGTAAGTCTGTTAAGTTTGGAAAACACTTGGATATTTTGTATAAAGTTAAACGGCAATCTGTATCCATATCATTTTGACTTAATGTGAAAGATATTTGAGTGCAAAACACAGTTTATTGAAATACCTCAAGTTCCGTTCCGATTGCGTAACTTTAGTAATTTGATAAATTTCGACATTATATCAACTACAAGTTTCAGTATCTATTCGGATTTTCATATGCCAATTATTGAGTTTCTAAAGTTAGTCAGCAACTTGTCCAAAATGGTTTTAACTTTTGATTTATTGCCTCAGATTTAATGAAAATTTAAAGTAATATAAAAAAAAATTGCAATAAATGAGAATGTAATAAAATAACTGTTTTATTTTTTGATTTGTTTATATTGATTTAATGTTCCGTCAATATTGGTTTCACAGTTTACTCTATAACCCACATATATATATGGAATTCTCTACCCTCAAAATAAGTATATAATAAGAAATATAGTAAATCTACTATTACGTTTATTCTTCTAAAATCTATACGTATAGACTCGGTTTGACTCGATTTCAAGAAAAGATATGGCTTTACTGAGAAATTCTGAATTGTTCGAGAGAAAATTCAACTATTGTTTTATATCTGTTATTAAATTTAAAAACTCTTTCAGTAAAAAGAATATATATGTTTTTCTGCCTTTCAAACTATATGGCTTTTAAAAATTGTCATAATTCACCGAAAGCATTCTTTATTTTAGTAATACGTACCCAGAAATTTTCTTAACAATTGTTAAATATTAGTATTATACTATTATTTGAAATCTATCAAAATTTTCTTAACGTATTTGATGTGCACCTGATCTCCGTATTATGGGAGTAAATCCCCAGATCGCTTTCATTGTTCCCCTCGTGTTCTGCCACCAAACCTATTTGTCAGATTCCACTTTTTTTTGTGGGACATATCTGTCAATCACATTAATCAAAATGCACAAGAGGAAGAAAGAGACCGAACCCCTTAGACAAAATTGGAAAGTCATTTTATGGATTAAATTTATATAATTTAAGTTTCAATTTTTTATTTATATACGTTATAAAATAATTGTTTGAAAAAAAAGAATTAAATATTAAATAAACATTTTTTCACGAATAAATGGATCAATTGAGTTTGTTGATTATGGCGATTTAGAAGAGCTGCGGAGGTGTAGTTGATAAATTTGTTTGTAGAAGATTTTCCAATTAGGCTTATAACATCAAGTGGGTGTCACTCGCCTACACTGAATGGAGAATTACTATAGTTCTAGATTTATTCCTTTGAAAATATCTCCACCTTTTAAGCGTATAACAGAAATTTACTAATAGAATTAATTAATTTCAAGATTTATTTCTTCATGGATCAATTAAATTGCTTTATTCTCCAAATATCATAAATATCACTATGATTTTTAGTAATTATAGCAATTTTTAATTTTTTGAAAAAAAAGTATAAAATCAACTGTGAAAAAGTGAAATTGCAGTTTCTTCGCAACTTGATATTTCTATAGATTATTCTTAACTTATAGAGAGAAAGTTTATTCTCAAAAGAAAAGTTGATAATGTTTTTTTATCAAAAAAAAAAAATAGAGTACTTTTTTCTTAAGACTTACTTTGATGAGGTAAGGAAACTTGAAATTTTCAACTCGTAGTGACTCCAGGGTGCAGAACAGATCTTAGGAGAGATCCATAAGATGACGATGAGAGTATCAGTCACTTAATGGTTTAAAGTTCGTTTTCAACTTTTCAGAAAGAATCTAAGACTGAAATAGAAACGCGTTTCTTTCGGTAAAAGTATAGAATCACAAGTCTGTTCACGATTTTGCTGGAGACGTGATCTTTTAGATTTAAACTCTATCATTCATAGATTGTTTTCAAATTAAATTCTCTTTACTAATTTCAAATCTCTTTTTATAATTTCAATCAACTGAAAATTTTTAAAAGATAAATCATAGTTTTCGATATGTTATGCATGAATGGCATATAACAATCGTATTCAAGTGGACTTTATGAATGAATAAAACGTTGAGCTGCTTGACAACTAAAATTTATGAGTTGTTACATGCATGTAATACGCGGATATATTTCAACACGGTGTTAATCTTAAGATTTATTTTCACAAAATTGACTTTAGATACAACATTATAACATTAAAAATAATTTCTTTTATACTTAAAAATGACAAGAATTGGATGAAATAGAATAATTAAATTAAAAAATCGTTTGATATTTAACTTTTATCAATAAAACGATAAAAATTGAATTTTAAAAAACTATTTCAGTAAGAAAAAGATAGTCAGTAAATTTTATTTTTAGAATTTGACTAGTTTTGAATCGCACAGAGTAATCGAATAAAAATTGACATTTCTGATACGTATATGGCAAATATGGTTTGTGAATAAAAGTGATTTTGATGCTTCCTCAATAAGTTTATTGTTATTTATCAATATCAAACATTTGTGAGGTTTCAAACGATTTTATGGAAAACAGACAATATTCAAACAATCATATATATATATATTGGGTAAAAAATGTATCTCTGTAAAAATAGCATTTGCAGTTAAATGCACTACTGATGGTTCTGTTGACATTTTTATAATCCTAATATCACTTCAGTGACAGAAACGATGTACATATTTTGTCGCACAGATAAAAGTGGTGTATATCTTTTTTTTTTTTGATACATTTCATATGAATAATCATATAAAGTGTCGCGCAATTTTGACAGTGAATTGTCATTAAATATTTCATATATATATATTCAATGGTTGTAATTAAAATTGCCAAATTCCAATGGAGACTGCGGAATCAAGCACTCTAGGCTTCAACATCAAGACTAATTTCGCCGAGTGGTCTAGCGAAGCTGGGATTAAATCGGTCAGGCTATTTCGAATTCCTGGAAACCATCCAGAATCCTGGAGTATTATCCTCCAAGCAAAGAGCGCCCTTCGAGGGAATAATACATTCGCAGAACAACCTGCATTATATGTATATAAAGGGATGAAGCGAAAGAGAATTGGCGGTTGACAATATATATCTACTCCGCGGGTTTATCAAAGTCACCTTATTGTCCAAATGATCTATTTCTTGAAAAATTTTTGTTTATATGAGAATTTTTAATTGAAAAATATTTAATAATTTTATAATACTTAAAAGTTTTAATTTTGATAGAGAAAACAACATGAAAATAGAGGTGAAAATATTGTTGAAAAAAAAGAGAGATATTTTTGACGAAAATAGCAAGCTACAGAGTAGTTTTAAATGAAAGTTCAAGTCCTGATTGCACAAGACCAATGCTTTACCATCAGAGATTGCAGCCTTATAATTACCTATTGTTCGTTTTTTATTTACTTGACTTTCTCGTACCTTTCAGTTTCCACTCTAATAGAAAATCAATGGGCAGCTGATTCCTTTTAACAGCTGTAATATATGTAGTTAATATCTTTTTTTTTAAATATACTTAGCTACTTTAACTTGCAATTATTGTTAACTATAATCTAAAAATGAGCTATATAATAGCAATCTCATTTTTATTTATACAATTGTTTGATAAATTACTACTTTGCAGCAAAAATATAATTCTTTTTAATCTTATCTTTAAGGTAATTTTTCTTTAAAAAAAAATTTTTTTTGGTACAGATGGTGGCGAACCAACCGGAAGCTGGCACGGGATCCGTAACACCGGAAGAGAGCGGAACAACATTTAGCAAGTTGAGGCAGTTGGGCAGTGGGTTAATAACGGCAACGGGAAATGGTAAGTAACATCCCCAGAAACATTATACAATGCTAGTCTCAATTATGTTTCAATAAAAATTTTTCCATTGAAAATTTGAAAATATTTTAAAACATTACAGAAAAATTGAAGTATATCTTAAAAAAAACAATTTCAATGATTTTAAAACAATTGAGAAATGAATATTAAAATAGAGCGGTCTTTTCAGTAATTGAAGCATCAGAATCAAAATATGAAGTCATGAATATTTACGAGGTGAGAACAATGCAATTCTCTTATTCCGTTATGTCTTGTTAAAGGATTAAGAAGATTAAGTGGGCTCAGAAAGTCGACATTGTCTCCCTTCGTTCGCTTATTTCAACAATGTCACAAACATATCCATTATTCTGTAGACATCTTGTTTCTCTCTAACAATCCAGAAGATATCCCTTATAAAATAGACCATATATATAATATTTCATTTTAGCTTCACCAATATAAAAATCCATTCATTACAATTCGAAATTTTTTTATTTTTAACCAAAATCAAGACATAAAAGGTAAATCTTTCAAATGCAGTAGAGTTTTAAGTTGGGAATATATAGGTCACAGTTATATGGTTCAAGAGATTGAGGTCATTGGAAAATATTGATAATGAAAACCTATCAAAAATCCCCATGATACTTTCCTATAGATGAACTGCAGTCTCGATTAGCGACTTCTTCTCTCGAGCCATTGGCAATTTTGCATCATTAAAGTCTTGCATTAGAAAGTAGGTAAATAGAAAATTTAGGAATCCAGATTAACCCCAAGGGATCTATAATGTGGTAGTAATACATAAACGAAGTAGGGTAGATCGCATTATCGTTTCCTCCCCTATTATAGGTTGTTTATAAATTGAGAAAAATCCAACTAAACACTATTATAGTGTAAAACGAAAATTTCCTAAATGGCTCAACAAAAGATATTTGGACATTTACAAATGATTTTAACAAAAAGTCACCAGAGAAACTATTAAATTTTATAAAAAGCATTTTATGATTCAGGCAAAATATGACGAAATTTTCATAGAAGAAATTCTAAATTTTAGACAAAAAATACGGTTTTAGGAAAAATTAATTGTTTTATTTTATAATTCCTTTTCTTTTATATAGATTTTTTCTTAAAAAGAATTTGTATTTTTGTTAAAATTAAAGGGTATTAAACATTAAATATACAATAATCGTATACCTCCCATATACTACTTTAGTTGCTCTCCTGATTTAACAACAGTTTATCGGATTCGAATTTAATTTCAACTTGGATCGACTCTTTAAAGTTTATTTGTTAAATCTTCTCTTTTCTTCCGCGATGCTTTTCAAACTTTTTGCACAATGTATCTTGTCTGAATTCCCCTTTTTAACTCTCAAAAATTCTCAATACTTAGTTATTTAATTGCTTTCTTTTTTATTTTATAATAATAAAAGATATTGTATTTTGAAAAGACTTAAAAAAAAAATCTCTGACAAACTTGATTTATTGCATTAATTTTTGTTTGATAAAAATAATTTAAAAACATTTTTTAAAAAATTTCAGATGAAACATTCAGTTTATGATTTTCATTTATTTTGTTACAAGAAAATATTTTCCTAAAAACTTTTTACTTTTAATAGTTTGAATTTCATTGAAATGTAAAGATTGATATGAGAAGAAAAAAATTTCATTAGATATCCACAGTTCATTGTAGTCACGCAACGAATGATCGAGTCGAGTTTTATAAAGGGTAATAGGGAGCTCTCTTCGTATTTGCATAACGTATTCAATGAAGATAAATGGAATTCTGGATGAACAAAACTGCTCCGTGTGCTCAATATAAATATTTACTTGACCATATATTTTCCTGAAACTAAATAAAAATTTATTTATGCTTAAATGCAATTTGAGGTAAAACAAAAAACAAAAAATTCATCTATTTTTAATGCATAAAAATAATACAGTATGTTCCTCTAAAAAAAATGTATCAATTCAAATATTATATTCATCAGATGAATTGGCGATTATTTACCCCTAGAATCGTGGCTCGAAAACTGATTAACGTAATATCGTTGGATTAATCTCTAATCTTTGTTAAATACACGCTGAGCAGTGTGATTGGTATAAATGGGCAGATATTATGTGTATTTGTGTGTCAGAGGAAAATTCATGTACGGATAATCTCACAGATTAATTTCCGCTGTCAGACTTGGACCTATATTGATGCTGCGTAATGAATTGGAAAATTGAGAAAATCTGCTTCTTTCTTATCGAGAGTTGTTCCAAACTATCTTTCGTTTCGTAAGACGAAGAAGGTATTTTTATTAAATTTTATGAAAATTTTATTGTTGAACAAAAATTTATATTCTCAACAATGAATCTATATCTGATAAATGTAAAAATAATTTTCTTAAACGAAAATTGTGCTTTTCAGATAGAATTAAAAATTCGCATAAAGAAATAAATAATAAATTCGCAAATATTTAATAAGCTTCTCTTTGTATATTTTAAAAGTTAAAATATAAGAGAATCGAGTAAATTTCAATGTTCTGATCGTTGACACATGCCCTTAAGCTAGATAAGTGATAGTGTGTAAATTTTCTTTTACGAGTAATATGAAACTGGATTTTTTTTTTCTTTCCGTTCTTTTATTACACTAGTTTACTCATCTTGTGGAAAGGATCTCATGTACAAGCCGCGCACAGCCCGGAGATATTTCAGTATATATATATATATAAAGTCTGAGAATTCGTCGAATAGTGTTCCGCGTTTTTCCGATAGGAAGCCAATAGATTTTCAGTCGTGGCAACACTTGCTATTGGGAGAAAACTTTTCAGACATCACTATACGGCAGTGTGGATACCCAGGCAAAATTGGATTTTCTACGACGACTAAAGTATGTTTTCCGTTGTGATTCACAATGATATCTCTTCGAGTCTATTTCAGATTTTCTCTAACCAGAATTTAGGTGTGACTACAATATGCTGTGGAAAATAATACTCATTTTTACACTATTTGAATTTTTGACTTTTCAGATTCGACAAACTTGACTAGCATTTACAGAAAAAAAAATTCAACTCAAAATGATCTGGTTTTACTCATTTTGAGTTTTTAGTGAAAATGAAATTAAATAATAGAATTTTTAGGTTAGAAATCTTGTTGACGTTGATGACGTCACTGACGCCCCCATTAAAAAATTCGAGATTAATTAAAAATAATTTTTAAATACAAACCACTTTGAAATGTTTGGGTCAATAACGTAACTTTTTCCGGATTCCACTTTTCACATTCCATATTCCGGTTTCCACATTCCATATTCCGATTTCCACATTTCGGGTACCATTTTTTATATTCCGTATTCCGGATTCCACTCCAGAAATTCGGGATACTATACTCCACATTCCGCATTCCAGATTTTACTTTCAGAATGTGGGATATGGAATCCGGAATATGGGATTCAGAATGTGGAATCCGGACTATGAAAAGTGGAATTCGGAATGTAGGATCCGGAATTCGGAATTTTGAAAGTGGACTTCGGAATGTGGAATTCGAAATCCGGAATATGAAAAGTGGAATCCGAAATATGAAAAGTGGAATCCGGAATACAGAATGTGGAATCCCGAATACGGAAATTTGAAAGTGGGATCCGGAATGTGGAATATGAAATACAGAATTTTGAAAGTCGGATCCGGAATGTATAAAACAGAATTTGGAAAGTGGAATTTGGAATACGAAATTTTGGAAGTGGGATCCGGTATGTGGAATACGGAATGTGGGGGACCCGGAAAAAGTTACGTAATTCACTCCCTGTTCCCTCATACATTTTCCCCAATTATTCATTATCTAGTATGAAACACTTGCTTTTAGCCACTAAATCCAATACGACGCACTAATCACATTCACCGAATTTTGAGTAACATGAAGTTGTTTGTTAACTCATTTTGATGCAGATCTCATGAGATGCAGTAAAAATGAATTCAGTTTTTTTCCCTGTTCACAATAGTGTTTTGAAAAAAATGTCGAAATTGACATTCATATCGCATCTGAAGTAAATGCAAAAGCAGAGAACCTAACTGATGCATGTAACTATTGATGCATTCATCAAGTAAATTTGGTTGCAATTCAGTCAAGTGATATTCTGAAGGCTATGTGCGTTCAGCACTGGCAGATGAGATAGTTGTTGAGTTTCTGAGCAATCCTCATCCAACTTAGTGCTAGATTATTACGGGAGCTATAAATATACTCAGGGTCTGACCACACCGAGTTCTAACTACTGAATACAACGCGCGCGTGGTCTTTCGTTATACACGTTTTGCATTTGCTAAGTATGAAATTAACATTTACACTCAAGTCAAACCTAATAACTAACCGACATTAAATTTAATTGACTTATATTAAAAGTAGCAAAATACTCCAAAAAAGAAAAGAATAAACTTTGTCTTTTGAGATGTAAATTAAGGCTTTATATAATTTTAAACAATTATCTCAAGAGTAACTTAACTCTCAATTAATGCAGATGGAAAATTTAAATGATATGGATTAAAATTTCAAATGCTTGACTTAATATATCCGGCACTCCATTTGATACTCGTCGCTGACAATGAATCTCTCGTTGATGCAAAAAGACTTAATTTAGAGATCTTTCCTAGACTTTTAATAACAAAAAGACTATTATTCCTTTTCTAAATGATGTTTCATTAATTCTAGTTTTTTGAAAACGTTTTTTTAATATGTTATGTTAAAATGTATTATTTGTTGTTTTCTTTCACGAAAAAAAATTGCAAACATTTTCGTACCGCACAAGTTTAGTGTAAAGAAAACTCATTACAAAAACTCGTTTCCAAGATCCTTGAAGGTAAAATTAGTTGTACTTTCTTTAAATAAGTCTTAATATATATTACATTAAGCTTTAAATGTTTTTAGCAAATATTTGATTAAATATTTCTTGATGTTATTAAAGTTTCACAAATCTTTTTAGTTTAACACATAAAGGATAAATCCTAAGACCATAGGCCCGCAAGAAATGTATACCATTGGGAAGCTCGTCCTTGTTCCCGCAAGCTCGTCAAGCTGTCGAAGGAGACAGATCTTCCTTGAAAGAAGAAACAAGATAAACTTCTCTTTTGCGTTTACTCTTTGCTTCAAAGTTTAACTTATCTCACTGTGTTCAAGTCTACAACGCAATTTAATAAGATAAATAAGCTCCTTTGAGGAATGTGGATTTAGAATTTCTGTACAAGAAACAAGGTGAAAACGTGATTATATATCTCCGTAATCCGGAAATTATTAGTTTCATTTCACGAGTTTTTCTAGTTTATAATAATAATAATAATAATAATAATAATAATAATAAAAAAAAATAATAATAATAATTTTTTAGACACTTTGGTTACAGTTGATTCACTTTTATAGAAATTCAAGTAAACGAAATTAAATTACTGTTTGATTTTCTCGTTATCAAATCACATATGTGACAATTATTGTTTTTCGATGTAAAAGCTGACAGGTGTTTCAACAGAAATAAATTGCAATGGTGATTGCAACGCGAAAGTATTCCACATTGGGGCGACCTGTTTTACATTTACATTCGCATTGCACTATGTTAATTCAATAAAAGTACTGTGTCAAATCATTTTTACTATACAATTTAAAGATTCTTGGTGACTTAATTGAAAATGGAAAAAAAACTAGTTTTTGGTTGAATTCTTCATTATTATCAATTTATGAAATTTAAAAAATTATATTTTTTTCCCCAACGTTTGTAATGGCAGTCAATAGAGATAAATATCGAGTTCTTTGTGTCGGAAGCATAAATGAATGTCATCTATTTGAATCAACTCTTTATGCTTAAATAATACTAGTGATAGAAATGGAATTTCTCTCCAAGTTTGGATCCATTTTAGTTGTTTTGCAAGTTTCCTCTTCTTCAATAAGAAGAGAGATATATGCACAACTGCACATAGAATATGACGATCGAATGTGTTGGAGAAACGTGCAAAGACTCCTTTCATCTGCGCTAAGATTATTATCGAATTCTATAAATGAGGGATTGCGTATTTCTTCGTAATGGAATTGCTTTCATTTTTTTTTTTTTTTTTTTTTAAGATTTAACAATCTCATTTCAACAGAAAAAGGTTTTCTTTATATGAGAGCGTTAATTTTACGAATCTTCTAGAATTATAGCAGCAAAGTTTTTTAAACTGTAAAAAAGCTGTTCTACTTTTAAAATTATATCTTGCCAAGGGACACATAAAATTCCTCTCATAAACATTTATTTACTATATATATATATATAAATAGAGGTGTGAATAATAAATAAAATTTTTTTCCAAAAATGAAAATACATGAGAGGTGTGTTTTGATTAAACCCAGAAGGAGCAATTCCAGGAATATGCACCACCATGCTCTGACCCACTTTTACAATCCGGACAATTAAAGGAAGCTCAAGTCCTGAAATTTAAATCAGGAAAAATTTTCCCCTATTCTCCATACAAATTTTAATAAACTTCTATATTCTGCAAAAATAAGTTGTGTGTTCTAAATAGGTGTCTCAAGACAAAAAAAACTGATCTCTACGAGATTATAAAAAATTCTAAGAGTTAATAAAAATAAGTATACATATCCACTTACTTTATGTACTTGGGTTGCATTGCTTGGACTTCTGAAACAGAAACAAAAAGATTAATTTTTAATGTTATAAAATTAGTAGAGAGATTAAATTAAAAAATAAATTAAATTTATTTTGTACATACTTTTTTCTATTTTACCAAAAGGATGAACGTTATTGATTCAAAAATACAAATATGTTATAAACTCTTTAGCATATGTTTTTCAATAATTTATTTTTATTTCGCAAAAATGTTGATTATTTTCTATTGAAAAAAAATCTTTTTCAGTGAATGTTGCTTCATTTAAATATAAAAATGAAATTAAAAAATCTGTTCAGCTTTTTTAATTGGAACTATAAATTAACAAGCTGAAGATTTTTCTTTTTTTTTTTTAAATTTATTCTCAAAACAAAGTTTCACTTTAGAAAAGAAGATTCATTTTTCACTGATTAAAAAAAAAGATGTTGTAATTGTCTGCCATGAGTTGTGAATTGCGAGAATCCGAGAAGATCTAGAGAAGAAGAGTAAGAAGTCGATTTGTTATCAAAGAACCTGCACAATCTAAAAGTGCAGCGTACTTTACATAATCTCTTGCTTTGAAATTTAGGTCACCATTTTGACCTTAAATCTTTTTCAGTTTTTGAGCTCGAGAATTAACTTGATTCTTTCTGAATGTAAAATGACTCGATTCACCATGAAAGTGTAAAATTACATTTTAAAATGAAAAAGAGAGAGAGAAAGAGAGAGAGAGAGAGGTAAATGTATAAACGGAAAGTATAAATAAGTTTTTTTACAATGCTGGAAAAAACGACAAAGCTTAGTTTAAAAGTATTTTAATAATTCTATAACATTTATATATAATATGCTTTTGAATCAATAATTTTATTCCCTTTGGTATGAAATGATTCAATAGATATATTTTTTTCAGAAAGTATGAATTATATAAATATAAAATGTTTCTGACATTTTAGCTTTTCTTTCTTATATAAACTACAGTTATTTATAGTTTAACTATTGATTATAAATGTAATGGATTGAAAGGACTAGATTTTAAATATATATATATATATTTTTTACTAATATTAATAAAATTTTGTGTCATTCTTGAGAATAATATTTCTTGAATAATAAATGAAAATAATTCGTATGTTTATTGGTTTATATGAACGTTTGATATATTAAACCTTGTATATTTTGAATTGAAAAGAAAATTGCAAGTAATCGAAGCATTGTGGCGTAATATTGGAAAAGAATAGAATCCCTTTGAAATATTATTATCTTTCCTGCCTTGGTCTTCATTGAAAACCCAGTTTCCGAGTGGACATTGACGTACACAAGTTATAGAACTAGAGGAATACAGTTCATCACTTGATTGAAGATTTAAAAGGAGGAATTACAGAAATCGATCAACTTTTACTATATTAAGTCTTCGATTCTCAGTGAAAGAGAATTGAAATATAATAACGGTTTTGGAAGTGCATATACTCCTTTTATTGTTTCTTGCACATGAATACTAACAAGAGATATCTGATTTCAGTGACGAAATTGTCTCCGGCCAAGGTTACTCCGGTCGAGGACATTCAGCCGAAAGAGGAAACTCCAGAATTGTAAGTTTTTCATGTTGATGAGATAATAGAATTTTTCATAAATATTCCTATATTTATTATACATAAATCTTGAATTTAGAATACATAGTTTTTATAGTGGTACGGGTTTTTTTTTGTCAATTTTTTCAATTAATCTGAATTACTTAAAAAAAAAATTGGGGATGAACTATTTTAATATGTATATTAAATAATTTTATTACAAGGTTCATTTTGAGTTCGAGATTAATTTTAAATTATCGTGTACAAATAAATATTTGCTTACAAAAATATTATATTAGTCCTGAAGAAATCTTTAATTCTTAATGTTGATTTACACAAATTAACGAAATTAAATAATAGAAGTTAGGAATTTTGTTGACGTCACTGGCGTCTTCATTAAAAAAATTAAAAATAATTTACAAATTCAACCACCTTGAAATGTTTCCCTGTTCCCTCATATATTTTACCCAATTATTCATTATCTAGTATGAAACACTTGCTTTTATATAGCCACTAAATCCAATACGACGCACTAATCACATTCAACGAATTTCTTCTTCATTTATTTTTTTCTCTTTAAATATTTTATATAATTTACAAGATTCTGAGATAGTTGTTGAGTTTCTGAGCAAACCTTATTTTTCATAAATATTCCTATATTTATTATACATAAATCTTGAATTTAGAATACATAGTTTTTATAGTGGTACGGGTTTTTTTTTGTCAAGTTTTTCAATTAATCTGAATTACTTAAAAAAAAATTGGGGATGAACTATTTTAATATGTATATTAAATAATTTTATTACAAGGTTCATTTTGAGTTCGAGATTAATTTTAAATTATCATGTACAAATAAATAATTGCTTACAAAAATATTATATGAGTCCTGAAGAAATCTTTAATTCTTAATGTTGATTTACACAAATTAACGAAATTAAATAATAGAAGTTAGGAATTTTGTTGACGTCACTGACGTCTTCATTAAAAAAATTAAAAATAATTTACAAATTCAACCACCTTGAAATTTTTCCCTGTTCCCTCATATATTTTCCCCAATTATTCATTATCTAGTATGAAACACTTGCTTTTATATAGCCACTATATCCAATACGACGCACTAATCACATTCAACGAATTTCTTCTTCATTCATTTTTTTCTCTTTAAATATTTTATATAATTTACAAGATTCTGAGATAGTTGTTGAGTTTCTGAGCAAACCTTATTTTTCATAAATATTTCTATATTTATTATATATAAATCTTAAATTTATAGTTTTTATAGTGATACGGGATTTTTCTTGATTGTCAAGTTTTTCAATTACTTTGAAGGGAGTAACTTGAAAAAATTGGGGGTGAACTATTTTAATATGTATATTGAATAATGTTATTACAAGACACGTTCGACGTGCTTTTTGCCTTGGTCGGAATTTTTGCTTGGCCTTAAGAGGCATATATATATATAGGTACCCCACACGACGCATAAATAATGCATGAGTGTGAAGAGAGACTCACAAAGAGGGGAATGATGGAAGGTGACGCGCCACACCGTCCGTTATTTATGCACCTGAAAGGCAATGCCTATTAGCATAGGCTTCCTATTTTCGTCAGGAAACTTCACATTACACGTCTACCTTTTCCAAAGAAACGTTTAATTTTCATCTCCTTCAAAGGCCCTTCTTTCGAACAAAATATCACATCCACCTTTATTGGAAAATACTTTTCTTCTGACCCAGTTAATTATTTTCACACCTTTTTCAATTTTATTTACTTTTACTTACATTCATCCAACTTTTTACCATTTTGAAAAATATTCTTTTTCAATTAAATTAACTTTTTTGTCGATTGTAAATGTTTATAGGAAACCGGAAAAACCACCGAATAGTGCCGGAGCATGCAGAATATGTCGCAAATCTTTCAAACCAGATGACTTTTTTAGAACATGCCACGAGTGTCAAAATAAAGTTTGTGAAGATTGTGCGTCATATTCCAACACTACGGATTCTGAAGATCAGGTAAATATTACAACTATAAAAAAATTAATTTAAAATTGGATTAAATAGAAACTTGTAAATGCTTCTCTAAACATTTCAATAATTTTTCATTATATGCGCGTACTATTTTAACTTTTCTTCACTTTCATACAAAAGTGCTACTTTCCATTTTTAAAAGAAGAATTCTCAGTCAGTTTATTCCGCACTTGTTATTGGATCTTTACATCAGAAACGTAAATTCAAAAGAAAAACCTTTTTCTCTTGCAAAAGTAGAAATGAGGAAAGCATAAGAGATGCAGTCAACATGAAAAAGCCCAGAAAGAAAAGTATAATTGTAATCGGAAAAATCTTGCCTTTCAAAAAAAAAAAAAAAATGAAAATGTGCCAACACCACAATGTCAAATAGTCAAAGAAAGAATTATTATTCTAGAAACATATTTTATTTCTTCCTTTTTTAAAAATAATTCCAAAGCATTTAAAGATGATCCAAAAAAATCGAGATTAAAAAATATTAAATTTTCAAAAAAAAAACTTGGCTTGAAACACCTGCGGCCATCTCATATACACAGCCCCCCCCCCCCTATTTTCTTCTTCCTTTTTCCAACCTACTTTTCTTTTATGTACATATGCAGATGTAAAAGAGTACGCTATTTCTAAAAGCTTTTGAAATCGTTATGAATTAAATGTATATATATATATATTTCTTTTCTTTTTTCTAAAAACGAGAGGAATATTCTCAAAATTAGGAAAACTGTTTTCAAACTATACGCCATAGATTTCTATAATATTTCTCTGTAGTTTTCTAGGAAAATATTCATTTTCACGTATCAGATTTTATGTTAGAAATTTACGTATAAAGTGGAAAGTCAATTTCGAAAGAGCAGTTAATCGTTGATCTTGAATGAATAACGTTTTAAATTTTTTCTTTGCACAAGTTGCAAAAGAACTAAAATTTGAAAACAAATTAAAATTAACAAGAACGAAGAAGCATATTATTGAGAAATTGTAATTGTAACTAAATATGTAATTTGAATTACGACTTAATAATGAGTTAATCAAGATTATATATACGTTTTTAGACAGTATGGCGATGCAGTGTTTGTCGAAGAAAACTAGCTTCGAGAGGACAGCCCATCGTCCCTCAGGAATCGACAGACTCACTTCTCGAAGTGCCTGTACTTGAATCACTTCCACGAAGGCATAGTGATGCGAGACTGGGTTCGCAAACCATAAGCCAACTTGGAGCACTTGGTGCTGGACTTGCCCCACCTCGAAGTCCAGAGCTTAGAAGGCACTCTGATGTATCACCGGCTAGTTTGAAAGAGCTTGAAAAGGTAGGAAAAGTCATCTGTCATTATTTATCGGAAACACCAAGAAACATTTATATTCGGTTAGTAACAAAATAATAGTCAATGTAGGGGCTACATCAGTATACCAGAAGGGGCGTATGAATATTCCTTAAAAGTCATTAACTAGAATTTTCATTTGTATGAATTTCATCCCAGATAGCACGTAAGCTTGCAGCAATTTTGCGGCAAGCTAGCCGCGCAATATTTCCAACCTTGCACGGCAAACTTGTCGCAAGCTTACTGCAAGCTTCAAATGTCCCACCTGACCGAAAGCTTGCATGGTAAACCTACCGAAAAATTGCAGTGTTAGGTTACTGCAAGATTACACGGTAAGCTTGTAGCAAGGTTGGTGCAAGGTTGGCAAATAACCTTGCTTTGAACCTAAAAAAAGACGAAACATTAAAAAAAATAAGGTTTAAAGCAAGGTTATTTGGCAACCTTGCACCAACCTTGCTACAAGCTTACTGTGCAAGCTTACTTAGCAATCTAGCGATAATCTTATTGTGCAACCTTTCAGTAACCTTACACTGCAATCTTGCAGTAATCTTACACTGCAATCTTTCGGTAAGCTTACCGTGCAAGCTTGAGTCAGGTGGGACATTTGAAGCTTGCCGCAAGATTGCTGTAAGCTTACGTGCTACCTGGGATTGGACAATATTTCACTTTAGACAGATTTTCATTTGACAGAAATTACAAATGGCAAAACAAACAAAGATTTCGGCGCTAATTTTAAAATAGACCATTCAGAAATTATTAAGAAAATTGTGATTGGTTCATTTTAAAATTAGCGTCGAAATCTTTGTTTGTTCGGACATTTGTAATTTCTATCGAATGAAAATTCACTGTTTTAGGAATTCTATCAAATAATAATTCGCGTTAATAAAAAATCTGACACATGGAGATTCGATATTTTAAAAATTCTAACATTAAACAATTCGAATCACTAAAATTCTGTTGAATGAGAATTTGGATAAATTAAAATTGGTTTAAATTGTAATTCTATAAAATAAAAAGTTGGATAACAAAAAATTTGTTAAAATAAAAATTATGTCAAATAAAAATTACCTAAAAGTTATGTTAAATAAAATTTCGTTTACAAAAGAAAGTAACTCAAATGCTAATTCGAAAAATGACAATTCATCTAAGAAAAAATTCTATCAAATAAAATTCACAAAAATGAAAATTCTAGCTAATTGATTTTTATATATTCATGCGCCCCAACCAGAATTACTATTTCTCTCAAAAACTATCTTGCTGATAAATATAAGAATTTTTATTCGTTTTTTGGGTTTCTATTAAAATTAAATAATAAGCAAAAACAAAATCAAGTATACCTTTAAGAAGATTTGAAATCGCTTTTAAAATTTTAATTGTTTTCAATGTGAATATACACCCAGAAAAAAGTAATCTCTCATTAAAATAATCCTCTTTTGGTTAACATGGTATAAATAAGTAAAATTGAGAGAAGATTATTTTTGTCTAGGTGTAATAAATTCAAAAGACCTACAATGAAAAAACGAAATTTAATAAAATTATAAATTTCTATATTATTGTAAATATTAAAATAATTATAAAGATAACGCTTTCAGTATATCTATAGTGTAAATAACGCTTACAATTAAATTTGGAAAAAGTATTCTATTGAATCAACAAGATTTTTGACAAAATAAATTTTATTGATTCAAATATAAATCCGAATCCTCAAATCAATAATTTCCTTGTTAGAAGTATTTTTGATTCAATGGCAAATAACATTCAAAAGAATGTTTTTTTTTTCTAAAGATCAAAAATGGGGTTTCAAAACAAACGAGACAATTATTAAAAAGTAAAACGATATACATATATATGGTCAGTTTCAATTTTGTTTCATTTTATATCTATTTTAAATGCCTCATTTTTGTTCGGTAGAAATTGATGATATCTGTACAGCACGATTGAATATAGCAAAAGCAATGTTTTCACACAAATACCGTGAAAAAGGCAGAGTTTAATTTTCTATATATCTTGAAAGTGGACTTATTGATATTTTAACACGGCTTTTCACTCGATCTGCTTTCGTATTGAAAGGCATTGTTTGGTTGAATGTCACACAGGAACACCGAATGGAAATTAAAGGCAGGCATGTAAACGCACCAATTGCTTCAGCTTTAGAACTTGAGTGTAAGCTTCTGCATAAATGCTTACATATAAATCTAATTTTCATTCCCATGAAATTATTTGCAAATGAAATCGTCTGGTTTTGTTTCATATATACATGTCGAGCATTTCATGTCAGAAAATTTCACAAATTTTCAGAGCAAATTGTACGTGATTTGATTCAATGATAACTAATATAATCGAGAAAGTGAATATCATATAATAGAATAAAAAGATGTCAATTTGAAGCGATATGGCAGAAGAATTCAATTGGGAGTAGGTTTTTCGTTTGGATAAAAAAACGATCGAGTACAGAGTACATGAGATATATATATTTGACGTGGTGCGTTCGTGATGATAAAATTGACGCGTAGTATGCAATTTTCCAAAAAACTTGAGCGTGAACATTGAACACGTACGCTATTTTGTAAAATTTTTACGAGAAATTCTCATATATGCAAAAGTGATATGAATTTTTTTCAACATAAAGTCTCTATAGGTATATATACACTAAAGTGGTGAATATTTTATTAAAACATATTCACTAGTGCGGATTACTCTTTAGAGGTATTAAAATATCCTTTTGTTATTTTTTTATGCAGTGGAAGTAATTTCATTTATATATGCCAAATAACCGTTATACTTTCAATTACGCAGTTTTAATATTATTCAATAATCGTGAATTTAATAGCATAGGTTTAGTTTTATAGATTCTGCTCCAATATAGAGTTTTGCAAATTGCGTATTTCTGAAAAATGCATTTTTTTTTTTAATGAATAGGAAAAATTGATACTGCAACAGTTGGTAATAATTAGTAAATTCTGATTTTTATTTCAAATTTTAATTTTCTGCATACACAGAAAAAAACTAAACTCAAAATGAGTCGTATATCAGACTGTGCAACAAAAATGATTTTAGAGTTCGAGATTAATGTTAACTTATCGTGGACAAACAAATAATTACTTAGAAAAATATTAAATAAAATAATTATTTTTAATAAACAAACGTAAACTTTAATTCTGAAAGTTTATTTACACAAATTAATGAAATTAAATAATAGAATTTTTAGGTTAGGAATATTGTTAACGTCATTGACGCCCACATTAAAAAATTCGAGATTAATTAAAAATAATTTACAAATTCAACCACCTTGAAATTTTTCCCTGTTCCCTCATATAATTTCCCCAATTATTCATTATCTAGTATGAAACACTTGCTTTTATATAGCCACTAAATCCAATACGACGCACTAATCACATTCAACGAATTTCTTCTTTATTCATTTTTTTTCTCTTTTTCAATATTTTACATAATTTACAAGATTCTGCAGTACTACCAATATGAAAATATCACAATGTAGAACATAACCTATATTTTTACTCATTTTGATGCAGATTTCATGAGATGGAGCAAAAATGAGTTCAGATTTTTTCTGTGTATGCTCTTTGATTATACTTGTTAAAATAAGGGTTGAGGGTTTAAGCATAGACGAAAATTACCCGAAACAAAAATGACACCAACTTTTTTCTGTGAAGTAACATCTGTAACTATTTTACTTTTACCTAGAATTTTGGAAGCTACTTTATTATCCATTTCATGATGTAAATTTTTATGCACTTTCTAAAGCGATTCTATGTTTACGCGCTACATACAAATTTTAAAGTTTATCACTTTCCTTCATTTCCTAGCTTAGAAGTTTTAAGAATCGTGACAGGAAACCAAAGTTATACATTCTATGAATGTACTACCACCTATAGTGTGAATAATGTAAAAATAATTGAAATCTGTAAAAAAAATAGTTAACAACATATTTCATTGCCTACGGCTTTTTTGTCTTGGAGAAAACTTGATTTGAAATAAATTTGAAAGTCTCTCTCCAAGACGGCTTTGTTGCTACGTGTGACCCTCTAGTGGATCCTGCACTGAGATTTTGCGTCCTAACCCTACATGTGGTGGTGTCCTCATCATGAACCCTAATATCCTGGTAATGTTGTAGTTTCGAAAGGTTGCAGGAGAACGACGTGAGGAGATCAGGTGGGAAAGAGAATTGGAATGGAGGAACAAATCCAGAAGCGGCTCACCGGAACGTCATCAAAATGAAAGGGCAGACCGAGGAGAGAGAAATGAGAGAGGTGATAGAGCTGAAAGGGGTAGAGCGACGAGTCCGCAAAGAGTTGGCAAGAGGACATCGGTGACAGGTAAGAACTCCACACCTTTGTTGATCCTCATTATAAATAACCTCGGTTTTTTCCCCAAACTTTGCATATGTGGAATTTTTAGTTATTTTCTCTGTTCAAGAATCAATAGTCTAGAGAAAAGAAGACTCTTTTTTCATTATACAACAAAAAGGGCAAAAGTTTATTAAAGGAGAATAAAATAACCAACGAAGCAAAAATCTGTTTCGAGCGCGTAGCTTAACGACATTGTGTTTTACTGACACATTTTTTTTTAAAACAGTTGGAAAAAGACGTAATTACTTTTATATTATACACTTTCCGTTTCGTGTTCGTAACATTAATTTTTTCTCTTAATTAAATTTTAATTAAGCTCGACTGTACCGCGTGCAGGAATTTTTCATTGCTTAAAATCTGACTGTGGATGTAATTATGGAAATTCGAATGGAAAAATTTTTGGTCAAGATAATGATACTAAATAATAGTTTTGTCGATAACGATCAACTGGACAGGCAGAGGGTTAAAATAATTGCGCAGAAATTAATTTATTTCTAAATTAAAAAGTCCAAATGAATTTAATTTTGAAAAGAGAAAATGTTTTAAATGAGTATACTGTTTGTTTAATTAGAGCAAGAAATTACATCAGACATTACGGCTGAAGAAGAAGAAGAAAGACGTCGTCGCGCTAGACGTCGAGCATCGACAATAACAGGGAAATCAAGAGTGACCAGACAACGATCATACGATGATGAAATCAAAACGGCATCGATGGGAGGTGGTCAGTCATCTCATTCAGATGTTGGACTGGGACTTCCGGTTCAGTTACCACGAAGGGCATCAGCTTATGATGTTTTTGCAACGCCCGGAGGAGGAAGTTTAAATGCCATGGCAATCGTTGCTGCACAACACAGAGCTTCCTTTTCCTCGCAAGGTAATCAATAAAAAATCATCAATAAAGAAAATTTTTACTTGTCACAATTAAATTTTAGACAATTCAATTTTAACCAAACTTAGATCAAAGTTTTAGGGTAGATGAAATTGATACTAAATAAAATTTTGAAGTGGCAGATAACAGTTTTATTAGTATATCTAAATTACTAAAATTATTTTACGATACTGCGAATTATATTGAGCAGAATAATTTTCAAACAGATGATGCGATTTCTCGTGGTGAAAATGAGGAGAATTTATATTCGAAGCCAAAATTTCTCTTGAAAAGCGTTATTATTATGTTCATTTGAGATCAAAGCACACTTCCGTGAACTTAATTTGGTATTATTGAAACTTTGTAGGAGAAGCGCGCAGCCATATAGTTGCAATCCAATTACCTGCTATTTGCCTGCGCTTGTTATACCTTCAGGGCATTCTGTTACCTTATCGCAACTGGGACGAACGACTCTTAAAACATAATCGAGTCTTACAAACTTATATCTTTTAACTCGAAGAACTTGAAAACTGGCCACCTAGGCGAGAGTCCTCTATAACTCGATCGTTCTTGAGACAATAAAAAATAAAGATAATTTATACTTCCGGAATAATCCATTCATCGGGAACTTGAGCATTTAAATTTTCAACGACTTTTATAGATTTTAAGTAGTATAGGTCAATTCTAATCAGACAATCGCATATCTATTTTCAGCACATTCAGGGTTACCACAAAAATTTAATTTCAAGTTTCCCTGACATTTTCCAGACAAAAATTTTTCTTTTTCCTTGACATTTTTTTTTTTTTTTTTTTGAGTTTTATCTCACAAAGGTCAAAATTGTTAGATAATGTTCATTTCTCTAAAATACTCAATTTGAATTTTAAAATACTGGGTTCCCTCATAACAAAAGGATATCCCTAGGATATCCATATCAATGGTCGATATCCTAGAATGGTCCCTAGGATATCTTGGGATATCCATAGGATATCCAAACCGCCGGTCTGTGGGACATCCTATGGATATCCCTAAGACATCCACAAAATATCTATTGGATATTATATCGCAGGATATTCTGTGGATATCCTCAGATATCCATGGGATATCCAAACCGCCGATTTTTTGGATATCCTTAAGAGATCCTTTTGATATCCATAGGACATCCCTAGGATATCTGCGGGATATTATCAATATATCCCAAGATATTTTGTGTTATTAGGGTTTATAAAGTGTTGGAACAATTAATATTTAAAAAACTGAATATTTTTAGGCAAATATTTAATTATTTTTCAGGCTCGCGAGAACCAGAAGACAGACCATCATCCCGAAGACCCTCTATTCGAGCAACAGTGAAACCTGTAATGCCTTACGATATAGCAGCTGACGAAGAAAAAATTATAAATTTGGATTTAGCACAAACACCAGAAGTTGCACCACAATCTGGACAAACGTCAATTCTCGCGCCAGATGAGGAGCGACGTACAAGACGCAGGGGTTCCCATTTGTAAGTTTTCAATATTTTTTTTAAAAATTTTAATTCTTTAAATGAAATTTCGATTAAAACAAAAATTGGAGAATTATATGTTTATATTACAGTAAAAAGAAAATCTTATTTTTTTTAAGGCAGCCTTTGCTGAATTTATAAGACTTTCTTTTTATAAAGAAAACTCGAGATTTGTCAAAATCAGTTAAAATATATATTAATTTGTAATATATATATATATGTGAAATGGAAATAATTTATTGGTGGAATTTTATATTGAATTCCTATTGAAAGGATATAACTATGTTTTTGCATTTTTTTTTATGTCGCTTGATCTTTGATGTATTCAACGTTTCTATCCTTTTATTTTTACCTCCAAGTGCACTTTCTAAATGCTTTTAACGGTACAAGCGTCGCTTTGGCTTTGCAGAACGCTTCATCTAAATGAAAAAAATATGCTTACAATTTTACACCATACTCGTGTAGGCAAAATAAAGCTTATTTACTTGTAATATAAAAATGCTTAATCTGATTAACTTGACGGAAAATTGATTAAACATGAAACTTAAAAAAAAACGAAAATATATATTGATAAAGACTGTAATTATAAGAGAAACTATTAATAAAATAAAACTTATATTCAATATAAAAATTATAAAATGACTTTAAGAAAAAAAAATTGCGTTTCATATTAAAGTAATTGAAAAAGTTATTATTGACAACAATAAAAAGTTAAAATAAATCAATCGAATTGCTAAATATTATAAAATCAAAGCGAGTATAATTTTTGCACACTCGAGGATAGTTGCAAACATTGATGTTTTTTCAAAACCCGGAAGAAGTAGAAAACTATTTGTAAGTTGAAAGTGGTCTGTAAACATGGAAGCTTCTAACTCGAATAATAATTAATGCATCGCGGTTTCCCTCACTGAACTATTTATTACAAAATTTTCATGCTTTCATTAAATTTTAACCATTTTTTTTCTCAGTGAATTTTTTTTTAATTTCATATTTTTAGAAGTATTTTTTTCAAAATCTGATTTTTCTTTTATTTTATATTTCTAAAAACGGAAAAATTAATTTTATTTGCTGAGAAATAAAAAAAAAAAAAGGTCATGCAAAACTAGAATGTTGGTGTATTGATTGTCATTTTATTATTCACTGATCCAAATTTACTGAAAGATTCAACATTAAATTCTCGGGAAGTTGAGAGGTACATTAACACAACTCTATACCTTACTTCGGCTCAAGTGCAGCCCTCCAAGGTTGTGGGAAACTAATAGGTTGCTTTGAGAAGATTGTGAAATTTATAAGATGTGTATATATACATATATTCTAACACGTACGTAATCGATAAAATTAATGCTTTGCAAGTTCAATTGAACGAACAAAGAAAGACTTTAAAAAAATGGATTGCAAACAAATTCCATCAACAAACAAGAAAACTGATGTATAACAATTGAATAATTAAATTTGCACAATGTAAATATATATCAAGTTTTAAAAGGTCAAATGTAAAATATGCATATTGTTGAATGAGAGTGTCAAAGAAAACTAAAGTTCAGATAGTCGTTATAAGTTTTTCAAGTTCGTTAAAAAGTTTATTCAACATGTTTCTTCGCATTTCTTCTACCGATGATGACAGTATCTAGTCTATATATTTCTTTGACAAAAGTAGAAGAAAATGTCGCTTTTTCCAGATCAGGATAGGTTTTCTACAATTGCACATCGTTCCTGAAGAGAGGGAAAAGAAAAAATGTTATAGCAGTGCCAAACACTTAGGAACTGCAAAGTTTGCCACTTGATGCTCCTTTTACTGCCGTTAGCGAGTAGTTTCCAACTGCTTCGGAAACTAGAATAGGTTTACACGTAACGCATAGGGGTAATTCGAATTTGCATTTATGAATACTAAACCACAATTTGGTAATTGCCGAACACGATATGTGCCTGCGTGAGACGCAAGCACATATATTGATATCAGTTGATTTACTAGATATATAAATCTAAAGCTAAAAGCTATACACAAATTGCGAAATTAAAGAGTCATTAAATTTTCTTAATGAGTGACTTCTGCTTTAAGTAAATAAATCCATAAACACAATTCAGTCAGCCAATGCCTGTGATCTATTAATGTCAAAATAATTTCAATAAATTCAGGGGGTCTATTACGTAACTTTTTCTGTATCCCACATTACGGATTCCACTTTCAAAATTCCGGATCCCGCTTTCAAAATTCCGTATTTCAGATTCAACATTCTGGATTCCACTTCACTGTAAAAAGAAAGGTATTAATTTAATACCGACTTGAGGTACGAAATTGTCATTTGGTTCTATTTTGATACTTAAAATCGGTACTGTTTTAGTACTTTCTTTTTACAGTGTTTCAAAATTTAGTATACCGTATTCCACTTTTCAAATTCAGTACTCCGGATCCCACATTCCGTATTCCACTTTTCAAATTCCGTATTCCGGATCCCACATTTCGTATTCCACACATTCTGGATCCTATATTCCGGATTGCACTTTCCCTATTCCGTATTTCGGATTCCAATTCCAAAATTTCGGATTCCACATTCTGAAAGTGGAATACGGAATGTAAAAAGTGGGATCCGGAAAAGTTACGTTTACGTAATTGACCCCCAGGTGACAAATACATATTCAAGTACAATTGACATTTTTAAAACATTTCCGAGATCTTATGTAAATATTTCATTCAAAGTTGTTTAACGGAAATATTATGACATAGTAACTTGTGTCTGGTTCTATTGTTGTGAGTTCACCCTGAGGCTTCTTCAAACCTGTGGTAGCTCGGCATTGCTTTTCTTTGCACCCTTCTTGTCGAGTTTTACTATATTATATACAAGGAATTTATTTTTTGCTACGAATAAATCTCTAACAATGTCTCATTTCAATATATGAAGAAAATTCACAAATTTTCCAACTATTTATCACTTTTGATAACAACCTTTCTCACTCTTAAATTACTTTTTTTATCTGAGTATTCCAGTATATTAAACCAAACCTTAAAGCACGGATGGACAAAAATTGTTCTTTTTATGTGCTAAATTTTCCATTTGTGCAAAAACAAAAGTTTCAAAGGGATGGTAGAAGGGAAACTCGTAAGAAAGTCGTTATCTCAGGCGCATTGTTCTCTCTGGATTTGTGTCAGCTTTTACTCTCGGCACGTTTCATATCCAAGGTGTACTCGAACAATATTCTTGAGGCGGGCATCGAAATTTCATTTCTCCCGGCACACACACACACGTTGAAATATATGAACTGTTTCCTCGAGCAGCGACTCTTGCTTTTCTTTTCAGGCCGGATATCAATGCGATAAGAGCACTTCCTATGGTACCAGCTGCAGTGAAAACAACCCCCTCAACTTCAGTCAATCGAGTATCAATTGAGGATCGTGATTTGGCCCGTCAAGGAAGTCTGGTCGATGGCGAGGGCATCAAAATTGTTATCCACGATGTCGACAGCGAAGTCGGTGAGTTTCACATTAAACGAGAATTTCACGTCATTTTATTCCTAGCATGCACACACAAAACATTCTATTCCATTTTCTCAATAGCCACACAAAACATTTTATTTCCCCGACGGAATATTACACTCCACCGAAACATTGTAAAAAAAACATCCTACAAAACTAGAAAAAAAAAACCCCACAAAACATGAAATCTTTTCAAAAAAAAAATTGCGTAAATTTTTTACGGACGCATGAATAAGATCTATAAACCAAATATTTTAGAATTATAATTTGACAGAATCTTATTCTTAATATTAATTTTGCATAATATTTATTTCCTCGATTATTAATGTTCCAGAAAATTAAAAAAGTCGAAAATCAATTTGCCAGAAATAATTCGCGGCGAAAACTTTAAATTTGACCAATCACAATTTTCTCTATTATTTCTAATTGGTCAAATTTAAAGTTTCCGACGAATTATTTCTGGCAAATTTGATATTCGATCAATTTTAATTTTCTGCGACATTAATATTCGAACAAATGAATATTATGCAAAATTAATATTCTTTCTAATCTTCTTTCTGTAAAATGAAGATTCTTTTAAATTACAATTCTGTAAAATTAATATTCTACAAGACGAAATTTTCGATCAAATTGAAATTCAATCAAATTAATTTTCGTCTAAATAAAAATTGCAAATGACCGAACAAACAATTGACTGAAAGATTTTGTGCGCAATTTTTAAAAACCACCAATCACAATTTTCTTGACAACTTTTGATTGGTGGATTTTAAAAATCGCGCCGAAATCTTTCTGTAAAAATTTGTTTAAAAAGAAATTCTGTCAAATGTTAATTAACTAAAAAATAATTATATCTATAAAAATTTTAATAATTTTTTATGAGATAATAATGTGCTCCTCAACAAGATAATTACTTTCTTTATATTAATTAATTCAAATAATCAAAACGTTTGAAATTTCCAATTTAAATATTCTAGACAAAAGTTTAAAATGCAAGTTTTAACTGAAAATTTTTGAGTCCACTAACTGCTTTTGTGTGTTTAGAGGGGCGTCACGTTAATTTTCATTAATTAAAATTACAAAATTTCATTTCTACAGCGCATGTATATATATATAGATTTTAACGAGTTTTGTTCTTGATGCGAGAACACTATAATCGTCAAATTCAATTAACGCGGCAAAAAAAAGAATAAATATTTCGTTAACCCATTTCAATTAACAGTAGCCATGGTCCCTAACATAATTTTTTTTTTTTTTTTTGCATCTCTTTTTTTATATAAAATAAAAAGTACAAATGTCAACAGAAAAAAATATAGAAAAAATGACAATGTAATGTAAAAAAAACTTTATGACCGTAAAGTTCCCGTTGGAAAAATTCTATGCATAGAAATTCTGTAGCAAAAAATGAATCCAATATTTTTTTTTAATATCGCGGACACTACATTTTTACTTGTCAAAGTATTAAACGGAATTTTATTAATGATTAATTATAAAAAATCAATTCTATTTAGAGAAATTATTTTTGGATAATTTTAATTGCAAAATATATTTAGTAATTTTGAGCCTGAATAAAAATCAGTGTGGTCACGGTTGCTGTTAATTTAAATGGATTGTAATACGAAACGCATAACTCGTTAATTTAATGGAATCGTGTATCGCTAATCAAAGGATTAAAGTTGTGGTCGAGCCTTCATGGCATATATAACAAAATATATAGGTACGCAGACTCTAATGCACGCAAACAGGAGAAATGGCTGTTTGTTCGCGTGTTTCGCACGGCTGCTAACGAAATGGTCATACCTTAAGATTTTATCACCCATAAACCGTAATTTGCCCTGACCTCTTTGTCACTACAGTGACGATCTTTCTATGAGGGAGAAAAAAAACGAATTTGCAATTAAAGAAAACCTTTCCAAATATCTCTAAATGTTTTTCAAACTAAAATTTCATCACGATGATTCTAGGACGAAAAATGTTAGAATCGTATTTCTTTTTTTTTTTTTCTCTTTTTATATAAAAAGTAATTAACACTACTCTGAGATTTTTGTGCTTAGCTTCAGAAAAGTTTTAATCACGTTCTAAGTGAAAGGACTTTCTCGTGAGATAAAAATGAAATTTTGATTGAATTTAATCTGCCATGGATACTATTTTTATGGATTTGAAGATTATTTTTAACTGGGTGACTGACCGCGAGAAACACGTATGAAAGGTAAAGTCGAGAACCAAAATCGGTGTTACGCTCAATCAAGCAGAAATCGTTCAATGAGGCCGTGAAAATCGAGCAAAACTAATCTTTGTCCCCATAACACACTAGACACATTTTCTTTGCAAAGTGACCAAGAGCTTCAAGAAATTGTAACTTTTTAAATTTTTCTTCAAACTTCATTTCACGCAACTTTATGAAAGAGGATAAAATTTTTTTTATTACAAATAATCGTTTTACAATAAAATTTTTTCTAATTAGCTATTTTCTTTCTTTTTTATTTCAGGTACAAGAGGAAATACTAAAAGAAGAGTTGTTTTACGGAGAGATACTGCCGTCGAGAAGGGACATAGATGTGAGTTTCTTTTTTTTTTTCTTTGGAATTTTTAATTTTATGCGGATAATTAAAAGAAAATTACATTAATTTCAAAAGAATAAAAGAAAGTTTCAAATAGAACGAAAACTATATTGTTTGTTGGTCGCAAGCATTTGGAGAAACTTTACTCATTTCTCCTGAATAAAAAGTCGTAATCCTTTTAAAAGTTTTCCAACCTTGTTAATTATACGAACCAGTCTAATCGATATTGGGTAATAGTTAATTATATAGTAATTCACTTTAATTATGTCTTAGCAATATATGTCATCGAATGTTAGATTTTTAAATAATTTTTCACTCCTTGGATTGGAAGAAAAATAAATAATATAGTTTAGAGTCATCAAAAGCCTTTTTTTTTATTAATAAAAAAGCTAAATTTGGGGAAATGAGATAAACATTTGTAGCCTAATCCCAACTCTCAAGAATACAAAGAATTATTTTAAAAATGTGTTTCAATGCAGAATAAAAATGGTTCGATTTTATACTCACCGAATCGTAAAAATTCTCATGAGCAAATATATACGTGAGTTGATTTTAGTATCAAGTCCATGTTGTATTACGATCATCAAAAAGGTTATTGCCCTCAACTATTAATATTTATGAGAATCATAATGCGTATAGAAATATATAGTCACTGAAATTATTGACAATTTAATGAAATAAATTGAGGAATAAACAAAATTTGCTGATACGATATAAAATAATTGCGGAAGAGGTAATTTTGTCATTTAGGAAACACGTTCAATCCTTAAACTTGAGGATATTAGGCGCATATATATATATATATATATATGTGACCTCGCACCACACATATCAGAGCGAAATTCTCAATCGTTCTTCCGCTTCACTGATTCTGCGCAGCTAATAGCTGTGCGGGATGTCAGTCTGAACATATTGGTACATTCATGTCCTTGATGCAGATTTGCGGAGATTTAATAACAATGCTCTGCTTACAGAATTGGGACTTAATTAATGTTCCATTCACTAGAACAATATGTAGCATTCATTTAAAGGAGAATACATTTTTTTGTACAATAATATTAATATATATATAATTTAATTCTCCTTTCACTATAATTATAAAAGAAAATAATCATTTTTATTCCTTTCATTTTTAACTACATGAATGAAATTTATGTAGATGTTCATTTTCATTCAATCTAATTATCATAATTGGCTGCATAAGCTACTGCAATTTCGATTTAAAATCAACAAGACATTACTCCATACATATCATTTTCTGGTTTGTGTTGCTGTTGAGTTTACATCAAACGTATAGAATGAAAGAATGCAAGAGAATGCGCAGCAAATAATTAAACGTCACTCACACGATTCTCTTTCTCTATTTCACTCTCTCATTTGCACTGGTTTGGTTCCTCTCCGTATCTCACTAAATTTTAAACTCTGATTCAAAATAAATGCCCATTGAATTTTTTTTGCAAATCAATAAAACTGCTTTTTTTTAATTTAATGAGAAAAATTCATTTTAGACGTGCCGACAGTATGAAGTATAAGTGTGTATCGTAAAGAGTGGGGACAGTCCTTTAAAACTAATGCATAAGCAGATGTGGTCAGATTAATTAGTCGCTACTTAAAGTGATAGCACGATTAGTATATTGTCTTCAAAAAAGACACAGTGGAGCTTTAGAAGGATTGATTATCTCCAAGTTTTTGTACTTTGCTTGTTCCTTTTTCTTAAAAAAGACAGTGCATGCAAAGCACATGAAAATGTATCGAAATATCTCGATGGTCGAAAAAATCGAATGTAAGAAAAAATGAACTTTGCTTTCTAGAGCATCTAAATCAATATTCATTTTTTGTATAAGTGCGATTCCAAGTGAGTAGGTTAACCGATTGCAATGAAACTTTGGAATTTTGTTATATATAGTACGACTAATCTTTAACGTAAATTTCAGCCTAAAATATTTGTTAGTTTACGAGATTTGCAATAATAACAAAAAATTTAAAACTGCTATATCTTCCGTTCTAATAAACGGATTGAGGTCTACTTTTTTTTAAAATGTCAAGGAAAATGAGAGGAATAAATCTCTTTCAGAACATTTTTTTATAATTTTACAACTAAAAAAATTATTAAATAATAATTGAATAACTTTCGCGCGACTATCTAAAATTCAATCACTTAAACTCTAAAATGATCTTACCTGTGTTTTCTTTAATGTTCCAAAGGATTTTTATTGTAAATGTAAGTTTAACTTAAGAAATTTTATTAATTTATTAGTATAAACAATTGAGATTTCTGCTAGTTGACGTGCAGACGACTTTGCGCACGCAGCATTCTCATATAGCCAATTTAGTCCACGAATCACGTCAGTTGGTTACAGGAGAATGCTGCGTGCGCAATGTCGTCTGCACGTCAACTAGCAGAAATCTCAATTGTTTATACTAATAAATTAATAAAATTTCTTAAGTTAAACTTACATTTACAATAAAAATCCTTTGGAACATTAAAGAAAACACAGGTAAGATCATTTTAGCGTTTAAGTGATTGAATTTTAGATAGTCGCGCGAAAGTTATTCAATTATTATTTAATAATTTTTTTAGTTGTAAAATTATAAAAAAATGTTCTGAAAGAGATTTATTCCTCTCATTTTCCTTGACATTTTAAAAAAAAGTAGACCTCAATCCGTTTATTAGAACGGAAGATATAGCAGTTTTAAATTTTTTGTTATTATTGCAAATCTCGTAAACTAACAAATATTTTAGGCTGAAATTTACGTTAAAGATTAGTCGTACTATATATAACAAAATTCCAAAGTTTCATTGCAATCGGTTAACCTACTCTGAAAAAGTCAAAATCTCACTTGGAATCGCACATAACTTACTTAATTGCAATAAATATACACTTGTAAAGCATTTATTTGTTGTAAATATTTGCAGCTATCATGAATCAGACACGAACATAACCTACATTTAGTTAAAATCACTTCATTGGCCCAAGACAAAATAGCGCGCGCTTTTTTAAAATAATGAAATTTATTAAATTATAATAAAATAATTGTAATAAATTAAATTATTATGAAAATAATATTACCTTGAATAAAAAAGTGTTTTTAGTTTTAAAAAAAATTATTTAACAATTATTATTATTTTTAGACAAATTTTACAAATATACCCAAGCAGCACGGTAAATTCCCTGAATATCCCTTGAGTACCACAGTGGAATATTCTCATGATCTTCTAGGAAAATCAAAATGTTCGCATCATGGGAATATTCCACAGTGACATTCAGGGTATATTCCAGTGACATTGAGGGAATATTCCTCGGTGACATTCATAGAATATTCCAGTGATATTGAGAGAATATTCCACGGTTATATTGATTTTTTTTTTAAATGTGTTTTTAATCTTCTTGCTTATTTAAATAACAATTTATAACACATTTTTATTATTTCAACACTTTAAAAAAAAATTCAATATAACCGTGGAATATTCCCTCAATATCACTGGAATATTCATTTAATATTACCTTCAATGTCAGTGGAATATTCCCTGAATGTCACCGTGAAATATTTCCATGAGGCGGACATTTTGATTTTCCTGGAAGATCATGGAAATATTCCACGGTGGTATTCAAGGGATATTTTAGGGGATATACCGTGCTGCTTGGGTAATAGATTATTATTTTTCTGTATGAAATTTTCTCTATAATTAAATGCCTTTTTGCATTTTGTTAACAATATTATTAAATATTTAATAAAATAATTGTATAATAAATTATGACACATAAATTGAAAATTAAATTGAATGGACAAAGAATAGAAGCAACAGAGACGGTCAAAGGCCGTCGGAGGCGCTATAGTTAAATAAATAAAGTATAGAGTTGGCCCTCAGTTGAGTAACCAATTCACCAAAAATAATATTATTAATTGTTTCTTACGGCGACAACAGACGTATAAATAATAATATTATATTACCAGAATGAAAGTAATATTGACTGCACTTGAACAGTGTAAATAGAATGAAAATTGAATGAATGAATCCTGAAAGATTGTAAATTATCAAGCAGTAATACAAAATGGCATTGACTATATTGTGTAGTGTGTAAATTTTCCGCAAACTGAATTTTTTCTTTTTATATAAAAAGCGATTCATGGCATAACGTCGAAATACTAGCAACTATCGGTGAATTCGACGAGCTCGATGCAATATCCTGTGCCATTTGTGCAACGTGCAACGACAAAATAGGGGATTCGCCTCGCCGCTGTGCCTTGTTCAGAAAAAAAAAAAAAAAACTGGACCACTTCGATGTTTATCTGAAGGGTGAAAATAGTTTTTTTTATTGCATTCACTTTTTATTTAGTGGTTAAAATGCATTTTAGCTCTTGAATAAAAAAAAGAGAACTTTTTAAATTATCAATATCATTAAATAACGTTTTCTTTAAACTCATATGGATGTTGTAAATTTATTGATAAAAAGTCCGTACCTTCAATAATCATGTTTGCAATTATTTGGGTTGACAAGAACAGTAGCGAATATTGAATATTGATCTGCCGCTCTGGATAAATTTATATATATATACACGTAAATGCATGACAAGGATACCTTTCAATTCGTGTCCACGACGATTCAGTTTTCCGTCTGCTTGTAACTTTCCCTGATGCCATTCAAGTAGATTTCCTGATAAAGCAGTATTCATATGATTATGGTTAAATTGACACTCGCAACGTGATTGTCCTACTTTTAATAAATTACAATACTATTTCTGTATATATGCGCGTTACCATTTCATCAAATGATAAAAAAAAGGGGAAAATTCATGAAAATGAAGAGGGTTAAGAGGGAGGATCAAATTAAGCCAACCAAGGCTGAACTGTCCGCAACAGGTATGGGATTGTAAACATACATATATATGACCACAGAACCGAAGGACGATCCTGCTGTCGATAACACATATATATATATATATATAATAAAATGTGCCTTATTTTCATATACAAGAACCGTATTGTGAATCAGATGAGATGCTTCAATAACAGAATAATTTTGGTTTAGATTTGCAACAAAATTATTTTCGTCTCATTGTTATTTCAATTGTAATTAAGTTGCCCCAATTCTTCCATTCTTTTGTTATAAAACAAGACGTTACATAAGAAAATATCTTTCATGAATTAACTTTCTTTCTATTTATATTTATTAAGACCAAATTAATTTTAACCCTTTGAAGCATACATTTTTCTTTAACAGGAATTTATCTTTTAAGTGCATTAGAGAGGGTTTTAAGGGTCGCTGATTCCGAATCCGAAGCCAGATTTTAAAAATTTTCAAAATTCAAAATGGCGGATCCAATATGGCGGACATTTTTTTTTTAAATTGATCATATCCGCTCGAAACTGGTTACTCAGGGGTTTTCGGGGTCGCTGATTACGAATCTGATGTCAGTTTTTCAAAATTCAAAATGGCGGATCCAATATGGCGGACAATTTTTTACAAATTGTTCAAATTTGCTCGAAACTGATTACTCAGGGGTTTTCGCGGTCGCTGATTACGAATCCGATGTCAGTTTTTCAAAATTTAAAATGGCGGATGAAATATAGCGGACAATTTTGTTAAAATTGATCAAATTGATCACGGACACAAACACACACAAAAGCGCCATTTTGAATTATAAAAATCCAAAGTCATATTCATAAACAGCGACATCAAAAACACCGTAGTAACAAGTTTCAAGCAAATCGGATTAATTATTCATTTTGTCATCCGCCATTTTGAATTTTGAAAGTCCAACGTCATATTCGTAATCAGCGACCTCAAAAACCCCCGAATAACAAGTCTTAAGCAAATCCGATCAATTCTTCATTTTGTCATCCGCCATATTGGATCCACTATTTTGAATTTTGATAATCCAACATCATATTCGTAACGAGCGACTCAAAAACCCCCCGAGTGACTAGTTTCAAGCCATTCCTATACATTTTTCATTTTCTTATCCGCCATATTGGATCCGCCATTTTGAATTTTGTAAATCTAACGTCATATTCGTAATCAGCGCCCCCAAAAACTCACGAGTTACAAGTTTCAAGGAAATCCGATCAATTTTTCATTTTGTCATCCGCCATATTGGATCCGACATTTTGAATTTTGAAAATCTAACGTCATATTCGTAATCAGCGCCCCCAAAAACTCACGAGTTACAAGTTTCAAGGAAATCCGATCAATTTTTCATTTTGTCATCCGCCATATTGAATCCGACATTTTGAATTTTGAAAATCTAACGTCATATTCGTAATCAGCACCCCCAAAAACCCACGAGTTACAAGTTTCAAGGAAATCCGATCAATTTTTCATTTTGTCATCCGCCATACTGGATCCGCCATTTTGAATTTTGAAAATCTGATGCCAGATTCGTAATCAGCGACCCCGAAAACTTTATAGACATTATTGTTAGGTTATTTCCTATTGTTGTTTAGTCACAATTACATTTATTGTAAAAAAACGCTATTTTTAAACTTAATTTGTTTATAACATTTATTTTATTTATAAAAAACACTTTTTTTTAATGTAGTTATATTGTAATAGATATTCTAAAATACATTTTAAATACATTTTGTTACTGAAATGTGTAAAACAGTAGCTGAAGTATTCAAAAAAAGTGCAAGAAAAAAGGTGACACTTAGGAGTGTCACTATGCCGCAAAGGATTAAATCAGACAGGCTGAAAAGTCGTTTATCTAAAATTTAGGGAAAAAAAACTTTAAATTGTTATAACTGTGAAAGTAATTTAGATATCTCACTTTTTCTTTTTGCATTTGAAAGAGCTTTCATTTTTCTTTCAAAATCCGTTGGAAAAATTTAAAACTGTTCAAAAATAACAAAATGGTGGCCATTTTAATAAAAAAAAGTTTCACTGAAATTTTCTTTTATTAAAATGGCCGCCATTTTGTTATTTTTGAACAGTTTTTAATTTTTCCAACGGATTTTGAAAGAAAAATGAAAGATCTTTCAAATGCAAAAAGAAAGAATAATACATCTAAATTACTTTAAAAGTTATGACACTTTAAAGTTTTTTTCGCCTAAATTTTAGATAAACGACTTTTCAGCTTGTCTGATTTGAAATGAATTTGGTTACTAAATAAATTAACATAACTGCAAAACCAATTATTTGATTGTAAATATTTACCTACCTCTGATCAAAGAGAAAATGCGTTCACTTTTAATCTAATAAAACATATTTCATTTTCCTTAAAACTATATTCTGAAGCAAAATAATCCAAGAATATGGAATCAATATTTTGTTATTGCATAACAGGGCAGGTGTGAAAAAAGTGCATTTTCAAAATGTTATTTATAGTGATGAATTTTTTGAATTCTTAGAAAAGTTTATGCGCGAACACTGGCAAGTGATCATTAGATGGACGATCCATTTGTGCAAACATTAAATAACGCATTATGGGGATTGAAATGGCAGTTGGAAATTGTAATCGCGTGAGAACAGGTGCTTAGTAGATTAGAGTGAAATATGGTTAGATGCTAGGGCATCGATGTCCACGTAAATCATTAGTGAATTTAGTCTGAAGCAATCCAGGGCTCTGCATCTTAATTATAGAAATTAATGGTGGATTAATTAATTTATGTTTATATACTCGTGCATTAACTGGAACATGTTATCTAACACTATTGTATTTGTATTCAAAAACTTTTTCGATAAACGATTCATTTGTTTGTCCTATTTATTATTGTAATTTATGTGCGGTAAGAAGAATTGATTGTTTTTACTGGTCAAGGTTTACGCAATCTTTCTTTTGACGGGCGTGGATCATTTGATAAATTAATTTTCATATATAGAAAAAGAAATTAAGAACCACTTGGATGATGAAAATGGTTAATGAAGAGTCTTTTGTTGCACGTGTCGTATTCAACAATACATTTTCAAGGACAAAACTTTTACTGTCTTGTGTCGATATAATGAAGAATCCTCATACTTGAATTTGCCATTTCTTGTACTTTCGGGTTATTTACAAGTCATAATTAGAAATGTAATCCTGTCAGAAAAAAAAAATTTTTGTTTGTGGTTAAATAGTTAAATGCAGAGAAAATAGTGTAGATATATTGCTAGTGATATATTTTAAAGCCCGATAACATAAACATCTTGGGTTGGTGTTCACGGCCCTAAGTCGTTCCATTTCCAAAACTATTTCACAAGTAATTTTCACAGTTCTCGAGAGTAGACGCAGAGCAGCGTTTCCTCAAACCTCGCATGAAAATCAATACTGTTTGAAATTCACTTTAAATACTCTTTTCCTTTTCTCTCATGCCTTTCTTTTCTCATTTAATCTGACTGCTTATCGTTCTACCACTTCTTCCTTCATTACTCAACTATTTGCATTTAAAATTTAAATATAAGGAAACTAAACACATATTCCATAGTTTACATAATGCAGCCGTAAAGTAGGAAATTACTTAACTGATTCATCCCTCAACAGCTGCTGGTAAACATCCTGAGCTTTGAGATTCAAAATTTGTGCTTTAATTTAAAGCTGATGATATATATCTACTTCAAGATGAAAATAGAAAAAAATATGATAATTGCAAATTGTGCGCTATTATTAGAAATAAAATGAATCGATTATCAATTAGATTTCAATTTTTGATAAAAAAGAATGGCGTTAACCTTATATAAATCCAACAAGAATTACGACAGGTGACTTGAAACCAATTTCCGGTTTTCTGTTTCAGCTCAAGGTTTTGGAATGAGAGTTGTAGGTGGAAAGGTTGGGTCGGACGGCCATTTGTTTGCCCAAATCCTGTTGATTTCACCCGGGGGTCCTGCAGAAAAATCCGGGCTGCAAGCTGGTGATAAGGTACGTTCAATTTTTTACAAATAATATAAATAAACAAATTTTGTTTTTAAGTTCCAAAAAAATAATAATACTAATAATAAATTAAAAATCTAAAAAATGTATTTCGGAATCAATGGAGGTTTTAAGTATATCGAAAAAAAAATCAAGATAAATTTACTTGTATAGCCCAGGGCAAAATCGATCCCAAGACACTGGGATTCACCCTTGTTTACGATTATTTAATTTTCATAATATCTTTGCAATCACTTATCAAAGGCGATCTTCCGCTTTTCCGATACAATAACTGAGACTCGATTTTCACCAAGTATTTATTGAACAACAAGTGAATTACATATTTAATATTTTTAAATCCTATAATAGTTGATCAAGTAATTTCTATACAATTTAGTTTCATCAAATTAGTAATTAAGGGATAATAATATTTAAGCAGAGATTGAACCATATGTAAACCAGCATCTAGATCATTAGTACTTTTAGTTAGAAATGTTGTGTAACTACAGCTCAACCTCGAATTTTCATCAGAGAGAAAAAGTTATCTACCATGGAAAGCAATCTGTGTGTTTTAACATATCAAAAGCCTTACTATATACTATATAGACTCCCTATTCGAGTAAAATCGTACATAATTATGCAAAAATGGTTTGTTTCTCTCTTATCGAAACTTGTTTTTTTTTTTTTTTTTTTTTCATTTTGAGATAAAGAAGAAACTTTTTTCATTCACCGCTAGGGAAAAATATACTTTTTATATGTAAAGTGGAAAGAAGATGACAGATAACGTATTTTACTCACACACACATACAAATGGGCAGTGCAAATATTACTTGTCTTCATATTCATTTGAGAAAAGAATAAAAACCTTTCTAATATTATTTGCTTTTTAAATATATTGATTTTTATTACACACAGTTTAAGTGTATGGTCCAAAGAAAATGTAATTTACTCTTAAGATAAATATTTGTTATTATATAACAAAATATTTATTGAATTAACATTGAAACAAAAAAAAATATATTTATTTCTCATTGTGATATTATTTTTAAGTAAAGAGAAACATGGAAAAAGTTTTTGTCGGGAGAAAAATTAACTTAACGAAACTGTAGAAATTCCTACCCACAAAATATAATTTACTTTAATTAAATTATTAATTTACAAAGAATTGTATTAACTTCGCTACATGTCTTTAATGAAATGACATACAATTAAACTTTTGAAAAATGTAAATTTTAAGTCATTCCATTTTATTCCACCTATAGTCGTTGCGGCCTATTTTTAGAAAAATTTGGTATTTTGTATTAATGACTTTTAATATCCGTACAATTTATTTTTGACAATTATTTTATGAAATTTTTATTTATTTACATTGAAATTTAGTTTTTAAGTTGAGTTGAACGGAAAATAGGTTAGTTTGACAGCTTTGGAAATTTTATAAAAAAAAAACAGAAATAATTCAATTAGTAAATTTTTTTTCATTGATATTTGTTTAAAATAGTCTAATTTACCAATGTTAACTGATAATTGTGTAAAAAAGCAAATTTTATTTATATTTTCCAAGAAAGTTTATAAATATTATAAAATTCATTACTACCCAGATAGCACGGAAACTTGCAGCAAGCTTGCGGCAAGTTCACCGTGCAAGCTTGCTGCAAGCTTGTCTGAGCTAGCGAAATGTCCCACCCAGGAAAAGGCTGCTGTAAGCTTTCCAGGAAAGGTTGCTGCAATCTTGCCATGAAAGATTGCTACAAGATTGCTGCAAGCATACTAAGAATGATTGCGGCAAGCTTGCCGTGAAAGATTGCTGTAAGCTTGCTACGTAAAGTTGCAGGAGAATTTCAACAAGCTTCTGGAAAGGTTGCTGCAAGGTTGCTGCAATTTTTAAAAAATACATTTTAAATTTTAAAAAAATTTATTTGTTTTTTTTTTTTAATTTGAAAATCCTTGTGACGTTTATTATTATTAATTATGTCCTGTTTATTTTCATTTGGAAACTTAACGAGAAAATTTTCGAAACAAATTTGAGGGGACTGGGAATTGAACCCGGGTTCGACAGACACTAACCAAAGACCCTAACCGAGAACCTACTCGACCAACTATCAGAGAATAAAAAAATCTTGCTCTTAACTAGTTTTTAACTAGTTTTTTGAAGTGAATAAAAATAAAAAATAGCTCGTTCTCCATCACGAAATTTTGATAAGATGAATGAAGAAGATTTAACTTAAATTTTAAAACCAAAGTGGAATTTTTTCATTAATCGCCTGCGAAAATATAAGTGTTAAAAATCAGATAAAATCCTGAAAAGTTCAACATTCAAGGTAAAATTTCACATATTTCTATATTATAAAAATAAAAAGCCAACATATCATGTGAAGGTACTTGGAAAGTACTTACTGTTAGGTAGTAATGAATTCTATAATATTTATAAACTTTCTTGGATAATATAAATAAAATGTGACAAATTTTGATATTTTACAGGTAAGTTTGAATATTAATTTTCACGTAGTATTTTGACCTTTTTTTAAACAATTATCAATTTTAACATTGGTAAATTATTAGACTATTTTCCACAAATATCAATGAAAAAAAATTTAATAACTAAATTATTTCTGTTCTTTTTTATAAAATTTCCAAAATTGTCAAACTAACCTATTTTCCGTGCAACTCAACTTAAAAACTAAATTTCAACGTAAATAAAAAAAAAATTTCATAAAATAATTGTCAAAAATGAATTGTACGGATATTCAAATTCATTAATACGAAATATAAAATTTTTCTAAAAATAGGCTACAACGACTATAGGTGAAATAAAATGGAATGACTTAAGCATAATTTTTTTCTTTTTATTCAAAAGGGTTGAGAATAAAAAGCTTTATAATTCTTTTATTTTTGTCTTTATTTGATTTCTAGTAAACAATTTTTGACTTTTTTTTAATCCAGATTGTTAATCGTCAGAGAAATGTTTTTTTTTTAGTTTATAGTTATTTGTATGAATTCAACGTGCAAATTCTTTAAAAACTTTACAGCTTCCAATGGTTGCGTGACTCTCATCTAAAAGCGATTCTTCAGAATGAAAAAAGTTTCTCGTTATGCTAAAGTTTTTTGATAAATTTCTCTCTCCACCTTCTTTTCTTGAAAGTATTAATATTGCAATGAGATTTTTCAAGCACAAAAAGTAATGTTATCTTGAAATGATATTATACGAGATACCGTTTAGCTATATGATAAATGAAAGGAAATTCTAATTTAAAATATTTACAACAGAAAATAATAATATATACTTGTAATAATCCAATCATTATTGTTATTATTATTATTATTACTATTATTATTGAAGATGAGAAACCCTATGAAAATACATTACAGCTTAAGTTTATTTGTTGCTCTTATTATTCATGAAAAACAAATACCGAATATGTATATATATAAGGATACAGTCAAAGATATATATTCTTCCCAAGAGCTCGTGATTCTAGAATAAAAGATCCGATCATGATTTCTATTCATATAAGCAACCGTTCTTCAGCAATAGATTTCCCAAGATTGGAAACCGTTCGTTTTCTCAACAACCCCTTGAATTTTACATTTCAGATTCTTGAATGGTCTGGAGTGTCGCTCGTCGATCGAAATTTTAAAGATGTAGCACAAATAATCGACAGAAGCAGTGACATTGCGGAACTTGTTGTGGAACAAGGGACAGACACGTGAGTCCAATAATATGAAATAATTTGTTTATATTTCATTAGAAAACTAAATTTGTTTATCAAATATCAAATTTTTATCATAGAAAATACTTTATTTTTTACACTCTTGAAAAGTTATTTTTTTCCTTTTTTATTAAATTCCCAACACAGTGCAGGAGATTCACTTGATGATGGTGCAAAATCTGCTGGGAATCTTAATTTACAAGCAGGTAAGCATGAAACAATATTGTTGATAGCAAATACACAATATCAACTAAAAATCATAGTTGTTTTTTAAATTCAATATAAAAGTCAAAATGGACCCAGGTGAAACGATTCTACGAAAACTACTCCACGGAAATTCCACACGGAATTCTGTAAAAATTATATATACAGAATTCCGCAAAAATTTCCGCAAAATTTTTGAAAGAAGTTCTTTTGTAATTTTGCGAATTTTTTATAAGAATTACACACATAATCTCTATACAGAATTGCACAAAATTTTTGTTAGAATTTCACAACTGTACACTGAAAAAAATTTAGCCGAAATCCTCAACTGCCTTTAGTTAACTGACTTGAAAGTAGTAAAAGTAACTACTTTTTTGGCTATTTTAACTATGTGCGTGTAGTCAATTTAACTATTTTTTATGGAGTTAAGAATTAGTAGTTAATTGTACTTAACAAAAGTAGTTAAATCAACTTCAAAAATTAGAACAATTACAAAATCTCCATGACCCAACTAAATTCTTAGTTCTTTTAACTACTTTTTAATAGTCCATACAAATTTTTAAATTCAGTTAAGGACCTATTGAACTATGCAGGGTAGTTAAAAAGTAGTCAAATCTACTAGTTTTTTTTATTGAGTGTATTTTTTACTGATTTTTTTGTAAATTTAAAATAACTGCTGGTGGATACACTGAAAAAAATTAGTCGAGAAATTCAACTACCGTTAGTTAGTTGACTGAAAAATAGTAAATTTCTTTTGGAAAAAGTTTTATTGACCTCTCAAATAAGTTCGACTAGATATTAATTAATCTATCATAAATTCTATATTATATCCACCAGGAACATCATCGTCGACTAGTTTTCGTTATAGTAGCAGCAGTTATTTTAAAATCACAAAAAAATCAGCAAAAAATAAAGTTGTGGAATTTTATTGAAAATTTTGTGCAATTCCGTATGGAATTTTTCCAAAAAAATTCGCAAAATTACGAAAGGAATACTTTCAAAATTTTGCGGAATTCCGTATGGAATTTCCGTGGAGTGATTTCCGTAGAATCGTTTCACCTGGGGAAGTAATAGAAAATGAATCAGTTTATAAATTTTGATTATAAAAATTTGTTAAAAAAAAGTCTTTTGTTTTTTTTTATTTTTTGTCACTAGGGAAAGAATGAATATTTCATTGATGTAAATAACTTTCTTTTTTTGTGACTGTAAAAAAAAAAACTCAATCTAGATTAAAATTTAAATTTCTAAGCAGAAAAGGAACCGTGTGTTTTGACAAAGTACGATTTTTTACAGACACAGATACGGATAAAACACCCTCATCGCCAACGCGCCGGAAATTGCCAAAGACGCCGGTATAACGAGTTGATAAATTGAGCCTACACGTGACCTTTCTTTTTCTTCTATCATTGTTTTCTCTTTCTCTTTCACTTCCATTTTCATAAGCTCGCCAAAGTCGTAACGCATTAATTTAATCTAAAAGAATTATATATATATATACACACAGTATAATATTTAGAAACTAATATTAATTTAATATTTTATGTTTGAATCTTGTCGTAAAATAGTGTTTCTTGTCAAACATAATATACATAAAAATAGATTTAAATTATATTTTGTTTCATTAATATGATATATTGAAAAAAAAAACTATTCTTTTTACACGCATTATTTTCAATTATATCACAAATTGAAAATGTTGATTTTGGGATGAAAATCTGGAAAAATTTTCAAACAATAATATATGTGAAAAAAAAAACCGTAAAGAAAAAGATAATAATTAGGCATACACTACTTTGCGACATGCTTCATTAAATTTTGCGAGTATGAATGTGTTATCTGGGCTTTTGCGGCACCGCGAAAACATCAAATAGTCTGTATACGTGTGAAAAATTCAAAAATTATTTGGTTGACTGAACTGTAAATAGAATATTGCACGAACGACCAGTGTGCAAAGTTATTTTATTTATTTATTTTTTTTTTAATTTTTAAAAAACCTTTCACGGGAAAAAAAAATCCACAACAAAGACAGTGGAATTTCAATTATTTTACCTTTAGTTCTGCTTTGTAAGTTAAAATTAAGGTTCGAAGTAAAAAAAAAAAAAAACGCGATTAACATCGAGATAATGATCAAAATAAAATGTGTTTTAGAATAGCAAAATCTCTGAATTAAAAATGGTTTTTTCTTTTACTTAATATACTTCAAGTTTAAACAGAATTTTCTCGACTATTTGTATAGATGCCTTAAGTAAAATAGAATTAAAAGAGATTTTTATTTCAACTATAATGGATTACAATCCTATATTCCTTGAATTAAAGCAGAATGTGTTAAATAAAATAATTTCTAAGGAAAAGCTAGTGCAGACTATATAGTCTATTTGACTGTGATATCCTATATTTTCGGTTAATATCGGAGGGAACGAACGCTTGCGATATATAATATTATATCAACACTTGTAGACATGATCTTGAGAAAAAAAGTATGGTTAAAAGAAAAAATTAATTTTTATTTTGCCTAAAAAAAAAACTTTAAATATCAATGTATAGGAATTGTTAATTAATAACAATGGGGTTATTTACAAAAACTTATATATAATAATTTAATCAGTTTAACTTTAGATGTATCAAAAAATTATTTTTGAAATATATAAATAAGAATTAAAAATCCCAAGATAAGGTATTACTATGTACTATTATTCTGCCTTCCAATATCTAAATTTGAATCATCGAAAAGTTGTTGATTTCCAGCCATATAAATACATATATAGCTATTGTAATTAACGCGGCTATAATTATTATATAATCATCGACTTGTAGTTGACACAAATTTATTTATTTTGGAAGGCAGTATTTTCATCAGGGTCGGCTTTATTTTCAATGTTTTCTCTATATAAACATCAGAATTATTAATATATAGGTATAGAATTAGAAAAAAAAGTTTCTTTCTTTAATTAAAAAAAAATTTCCCCAAGAAATTTTAACAGACAATCAAGAAATGTATAGGCATTAAATGTTTCGTGCTTTTCAGCTTACAAAAAATAAAATATAGTAATTAAAAATAATTGTAATATTTACATGTGTATACAGTTTTTTTGAATAATTGAAAAAAATACTAAAAAAAAGGGTTGATTAAAAAAAAAATGCTCACAAAGTGCGATTTAATGAGAATAAAATAAATAATCATGAGCTGAAACTACTACAAGCCGACCCTGAATTTTATTTTTCTAGAGTGAAAGGCACTTTTGACCCTGACTTATTTTCTTTCAAGTCAAAGGGTTTCTGAAGTGAAAAAGCTTTCGTACAATCAACAGTAGGAGTCCCTCCGCGTATTTCATTTTAAAGACACGTTTCATCCAAGGGACGACAAATCTGTCTCTTTTCATTGAAAAAAAGAGCAGAAAATTGCGCGGTTTTTTAAACTATATCCTGAGCTTTGAAAATTAATTCGTCGTCAATTTGCAAAATACGAATGTATCAGAATTATTCAAATTTATTAAAATTTATGCCAAGTTATATGGAGAATAATTTCTATTTCTTAAAAAATGTTCTTAAAATGTGAAAAAACGTTAACTTCTAATTTTGACTCGTAAGAATTTCATTAGAAAATGAAAATTTCATTCAAAAAGACCTGTATTTACTTCCTCCATTGTAGCGAGTGTAAACTTTTAGATAGTCTTTCTTTCTAATTAAATGTTACTAAAATTATATACATGTAAATTTCATTAAAGATGGTGGGCTTCATAAAAAAAAAAAAAAAAAAAATAATAAAAGTTGTAGAGCTAGAATTAGTTCAACTTGTGGACCAGTATTTAGATTTATTAATTTATGCACAGAAGTTACTCCAAAATTTTAATTGGAAAACTTTGGATTACTGTACATTTTAAAAGTAAAGTCTTTTCTACGACTTATAAAAAAAAAAAAATCAAAACTTAAATGGAAGCTCTTAAATTATATATTTTTTATCGTCTACTATTTATAAATTATTAAATTTAGAAAAAAAAAATTAGAATTTTGTTTTGTAGCAATCAAATTAAATAGATTAGTATTCCCTGATAATCAAGCGTACTTATCGTCTTTTCTCAGTATAGAAGTAAAAAATTTCCGCCATTACATGACTGATACAGTTAATAGTACGCTGTTTATCTGGATTTAGAAAATTTTTCTTTTTATATAAATATTTAAGTGTGCAGTTAAAAAAAAAGTTATTGTTGTTAACTAAAAAAAAAATATGTGCTAATATATACATAGCTGTCTCGAGCATCCTGGTTATTATAAAAAAAAAATTATATTAGAACGAAAAGACTAAAATTTTCTCTTATCGTAAATTATCAAGAGGAAATGCGAGCGTTACAATAAATTTTTATTTTTCTTTCTGAGAATTTTAGTACGCAAGTGTCAGTTGGGGCGAGTCGTGTTTGTATTTAATTTTTCAGTTCTACTCGACTCCAAAAAAAAAAAAATCAAAAATTTTATTCAATCATTAAAAAAATAGCATGATTATCTCCAAACAATGTAGTTTCAGTTTTGAATCCAGTTTCCTTATTTCTGAAGATATATATATGTGCACAGACAAATTGTAAATTATATAATATAAAAAGAATTTTTTCAGTTTTATAAAAACTTTATTAAATTGATATAGACTTAGGTTGCTTGTTAAAATAAAAATTTACTTTATTTGAAATTTTCATTCTTCATAAGGCGTTACGTTCCAATTCCGACGTTTTTAAGCCGTATGTGTATAAAAAAAAAAGTTTTATGAAATTTCGAAACAATAAATAAAATATAATCATTATTATTATTATTATTACATTAACATTCGAAACTTGATAAGAGTTGTAAGAAATGTAATTATTATTTAAGAAACAAGGTAGCCTTAAATTACACGCATAAATATATGAAAAACAATAAATTGGAAGTGTATTCATCACTACACATTTACAACTAATTGCATTATTGTGAAGAAAGTACCCAAAAAAGTGGCAAAAAGAATAGGATGAGAAAAAGAAATTGCAAAAGTTATATCTAAATGAAATTGAAATGAAAATTATTAGAATGTGATCCATTCATTAAATAAAATTTTAAAACATTCAATATATTTCTTTTATAAACCCAACCATTATTATAAATTCCTATATAAACATTTAAAATTTGAATCTGCTTGTTAATTTTCTATTTAAATAATTGTTTTTATCAATTCTCTTGTCATGAATAAAATCTACAATTAAAAAATGATGTTTAGAAATGGAAATAAAGTCTTTTTGCTTTCTGAAAAATACAAATATTGAATAAAAAAAAAAAAAAAAAAAAAAGCACACATGCTTCTCAGAGTCGACAGTTTTCAAATGAAAAAGCGCCTCTGGGAACCAGAAAGCAAAAATCACATATTATAAACTCTCTCTCTCTCTCCCAGCAAAGAGAAATAATTTTACTTAATGAAACTGAATTTCAATTAAAGTTTATTATATAAAATGCATTACAATTCATATGAAATATCAATTAAATTATTAAATTAATTTGAGTAACCTTATTAATAATAATAATAATAATACAGGCCATCTTTTTTGTGTTGTTTCTCGTCAGAACCATTTTCTCCCATCTTGTTTAACTTTTATGAACTTTACACCTTTTTTCTAGATGTTACTTTATTAACTCTTAACACATAATTTGTTTAGAAAAAGTTTCATAAATCCCCCCCCTCCCCCTGACCCAATCCTGATTCACATTTATCGCCCTTTCTTTTTTTTTTTTACTCTCATTTCTACACGCACACGTTCATAGATGTCTCCGTGTCCCGTAATGAAAGCTAAGACGATTGACGAAAAGAAAAACAATGTAAGTTGTCTTGAGAAAAATTTAGCAACCCTCACGCTATACTCACTCCCAACTGGCACGAATTTTTTATAGTACTCTAGCATTTTCTGATTTCTTTTTCTAAATCAGTGAGGTCGTTTCAAGGTTCTAATTAAATTATTATAGTTTTCATAGACAGATCAAGCGCCACTAAATAAAAATAATTTTTATATTTAAATAAATTTCTTTTTAAAAAATATTAAAGTATATTATTTTTAACTATTTTTAACTTATCAATAATTTCCCAGATAGCAGATGAGCTTTCAGCAACCTTGCGTCAAGCTTGCCGCGCAATATTGCCAACCTTGCCGCAAGCTTCAAATGTCCCACCTAACCCAAGCTTGCATGGCAAGCTTACCGAAAGATTGCAGCGTAAAGTTACCGCAAGATTGCAGTGTAAGGTTAACGAAATATTGCAGCGTAAGGTTACCTAAAGATTTCACTGTAAGGTTACTGCAAGATTACTCATTAAGTCTACCGAAAAATTGCCAATGCAAGATTACTTAAGATTGCACAGTAAGATTATCGCAAGATTTCTCAGTAAGCTTGCTCGGTAATCTTGTAGCAAGGTTGGTGCAAGGTTGCCAAATAACGTTGCTTTGAATCAAAAATTTTTTTGTAACGTTTGGTCTAATTTATATAATTTTATTTTATGAATTTTATTATTTAAATTAGACGAAACATTTAAAAAAAATTTAGGTTTAAAGCAAGGTTATTTAGCAACCTTGCACCAACCTTGCTAGAAGCTTACCGTGCAAGCTTACTGAGCAATCTTGCGATAATCTTACTGGGCAATCTTTGCAGTAACTTTACACTGCAATCTTTTGGTAGGCTTACTGTGCAATCTTGCAGTAACCTTACACTGTAATCTTTCGGTAACCTTATGCTGCAATCTTGCACTAACCTTACACTGTAAGCTTTCGGTAACTTTACACTGCAATCTTTCGGTAAGCTTACCATGCAAGCTTGGGTCAGGTGAAACATTTGAAGCTTGCAGTAAGCTTGCGGCAATTTTGCCGTGCAAGATTGGCAATATTGCGCGGCAAGCTTGTCGCAAGGTTGCTGCAAGCTTACCTGCTATCTGGGTGATTTTTAAAGAAGAATATATGGGTAATTGAAATATTTATCATTCGCATCTATCATTCGTTCATATTAAAAAAGCACTTAATAATTTAAAATATTGACAAAAGTGGACAAATGTTGAGATTTATAAATAATAATTCAACAGCTCTCGTGGAATCGCTTAAAAATCGCGTCGCGTGCTAAGTCAAGATTTAGAGGCGTTTGGTCTCGAGGTATCTTTTGTATAACGGAAGAAGAGAAAAAACTATTGCTTTTTTTTAAAAAAAAAGAGTACTCCTTTGTCAATAAAAAACATATTTTACATTCTCCAAATAATGAATTATATCTTCAATTCAATGTGAAATTAAATTACTAAATTACATTCATGTCCCTTTTTTCGACCCAGATTGCAAATTTAAAGTGTACACTTTCACTGCACACTGCATAGAAGTTTCCACTTGAATAAACGCAACTTTCAACTCTTCCAAGTTCTAACAATAGCGCAAAAACCTTGGAGAAAAGAAGAATGTTTGAGCACATGAAGGATCTATGAAGAAGAATCCATACAAGAGATGAAAAACTCTTTCATTGTTTTTATAATGGTTTTCAGCTGAATTATTACACAGTGAAAGAAGAAGAATGTAAAATGCGTTCAAGTTTTTTTTTTCTTTCTTTTTTTATTAAATATAATCTGATAATTCCAGCAAAAGATACCAGGGAATGTTTAATAACTAACATGCTAAGAAGCCTTGACCCGACCTCTCTTGGTTAGAATTTATGCTTGCTGTAGTATTCCTTGGTCTTGGAGGTATAAAAAAAAATTGTCGTATCATGTTTTTTTCTCAGTAAAATATATATTAAAACTATATACACTATCAGAATGCCGCTTGCAAAAGAAAAAAGAACAAAAATTACTCTACAGATGATGTAAAGAAATATATTTACCAAGGCGTCTCTGAAAAGCGGTTTTTAATTGTTTCACATTTTTCAAAAATTGTTTTACTTTTCATGAAAAAAAAAAAAAAAAAAAAAAAAAATTCAAATAGTGTCATTGTCTGAATATCAACTTAATATTAATACTAAAAGAAATATTTTTTTTTCAACACAGACTGATGAGCAATAATATGTATCAAATTGAAGTCTTGACTGAATTGAATGAATGAAATGGATAATCCAAATCCAAACACGACGAAAATACCTCAGAGGCAATTTGCATGAAAATTGTATGGTATTTAACATGCATTATCGATTTCTCAATACCTTTGTTATTACAAAAGATAATTACGATATAAGATGAAGGAAAAAAAGTTATGATATATTTTTTAAATTGTTAATGATTTGCATTTGTTCAGAGATAATTTTTTTTTTTTTTTTGAAAAATTTACGTTAATGAATTTCTTTCAGTGTTCAATATTATCTCAAATGTATATATAATCACCATTTTTAAAAATTATAATCGATTATCATTTTGTATATAATTTTTCATAAGTATTTCGAAATGCATGCTATTTTTAACAAGTCTGTAGACTAAATCAAGATTATTAATTTGTTTTGTTACTTTTGTGTAACATTCCATTTGAGAAGAATATATAAAAATATGAGAGAAGCAGACGCATGGCGCCACCATTGCAGGGTTTCGTCACCTACTAGGGTAACGTTTACTACCATGGAAACGGTTGTCATGCAAACTGTTGCTATGGAAATGGTTGCCATGGAAACTTGCCATGGAAATGGTTGCTATAGAAACTGTTGCCATGAAAAAGGTTGCTATGGAAACTGTTACTATGGTAACGGTTGTCATGGAAATGGTTGCTATGGAAACTGTTGCTATATGGTGACGGTTGTCATGGAAACGGTTGTTGTGGTAACAGTTGCTATGAAGACGGTTGCTATGGAAACTGTTGCTATGGAGACGGTTACTATGGAAACTGTTGCTATGGAAATGGTTGCTATGGAAACTGTTGCCATGGAAACGGTTGCTATGGAAACTGTTGCTATGGTAACGGTTGTCATGAAAATGGTTGCTATAGAAACTGTTGCCATGGAAACGGTTGCTATGGAAACGGTTGTTATGGTAACAGTTGCTATGGAGACGGTTGCTATGGAAACTGTTGCAATGGAGACGGTTACTATAGAAACTGTTGCTATGGAAATGGTTGCCATAGAAACGGTTGCCATGGAAACTTGCCATGGAAATGGTTGCTATGGAAACTGTTGCCATGGAAACGGTTGCTATGGAAACTTGCTATGGTAACGGTTGTCATGAAAATGGTTGCTATGGAAACTGTTGCTATGGTAACGGTTGTCATGGGAACGGTTGTTATGGTAACAGTTGCTATGGAGACGGTTGCTATGGAAACTGTTGCAATGGAGACGGTTACTATAGAAACTGTTGCTATGGAAATGGTTGCCATAGAAACGGTTGCCATGGAAACTTGCCATGGAAATGGTTGCTATGGAAACTGTTGCCATGGAAACGGTTGCTATGGAAACGGTTGCTATGGAAACTGTTGCTATGGTAACGGTTGTCATGGAAACGGTTGTTATGGTAACAGTTGATATGGAGACGGTTGCTATGGAGACAGTTGCTATGGAGACAGTTGCTATGGAAACTGTTGCTATGGAGACGGTTACTATGGAAACTGTTGCTATGGAATCGGTTACCATGGAAACTGTTGTCATGATAACGGTTGCTATGAAAACCGTTATTATAGTAACTGTTACCATGGCAACCATACAAGTGTACGACGGACGGACGGACGCCAAAGCGAAACTATAATGTTTTCGGGCCTGAGCCACGAAACCCTAAAAAATAAGCTTTTAGATATACTGTATTTTAGCATGCTAAACTTTGCATAAATGGTTCAAGACATAGATTTCTTTACTTGTCTTGAGAGCATTATCTGTAAAGTAATTTAGTAACTAATCGTCCTCAGGGCCAATGAAAGTCTCGAAATATATTATATAAAATGCTAACCATATACGTGTGTGCGAACGCGTTCGTGCTAACATTAAAAATAACATTCCAAAACTCGATTATAGAAGACAGAGAAAATTATGAATAAGGATACAAGATTTTTAATAAAAATTTTTAAAGAGAGAAAGAGTGAGAGAAAGAGCGAGAATTGGAGACTCTCAACAGTGTCAAAAGTCAATAAAAGAAAATAAAGAACTGTACGTTTGTAAAATAATGAAAAATTAAGTAGTCGTTGATTCTAAAAGTAGAAAAAGGCCCTGGTAGAAAAAAATGATGGCGCTAGCTAGCACTGTTAGATTACCACCCATGGTGTCTAGTTAGCGCTATGAATTTTTTCTAATAGGGGGTGTGTACAAAACGGGAAAACGAGTCGAATCGTGGAAAATTGACGTTTTGTCTTGAGAGGAACTTATATAATTTCAAACAGAAAAAGTAAAGAAAAGAAAAAATTCTTTTAGTCTTTTATAAATAAGTTTTTTACTTTTTTCTTGTATATACGTATTCAATTAATCGACTCTTTTTCCTGTCAGATATATGCTTTTGCGAATATTGTTTTGCAGAAATAGTTTTCCGAGTTCGTAGGCGAGCAAAGTGTCAACTTTTCTCTTGACTGCTTTGCATGTATAACATCCTGCTTCTCTAACATTATCTCTTTTATAGATATTTATAGAATCGATTAAAGGACACTATCGTTGCAAGGTTCTTAATTAAAAACAGTGCTCCTTTATTCGACATATTCTCTTTATAAATTGTTTATTTGAAAAAGTATAAAAAAATGATCATATATATATATATAAATTGAGAAATTAAAAAAAAATGATTAATTATACTTTTTCACAGTCAGTGGAATTTTGAAGATGACATGTAATTTTTGTAGGAACAAATCGCGAAGGAAAGAGAAGTGAGGGGTCGTGTGCAGATTCACGTTTGGTACGAGGGAGATAGAAAAGAATTGGTGGTTTCTGTTTTGGCAGCTGACAATCTTTGTGCCAGAGAAGACACAGGCCATGGAACAATGCCTGAAGCTTATGCTAAATTATCCTTGGTTCCAGCTTGGTGAGCTTTTTCATAAAAAAATAGTTGAAAAAATAATGTTTGTCATCTTCATTATCATCTTGGTTGTTATTTCTCTGAATGTATATAAAATCGTTCGTTTATTGAAGTTGATCACCATCATCGTGTGTGATTGTCATCGAACAACATCATCTTCATCTTCAATGTTCAATAGTAATTATTGATATTTTGTACTCGCATGACTGAAAAATCATCATCACCACAAATTGAACCCATTATTTTGCATGTAAAATCTAATATATATGTAAAAAATGGCAAAGAATTTTAAGAAAATTAGCAAAAAGTTATTTATTTATATAAATCAATTTTTTAAATTGAATTTATATAAACTAAAGAGGTAAAACTTTTTAACTAAACGTAGAATTAATGTAACTTGATCACATCTCAGTGGGGACCACAGCTCGTTAAAAACAGACATTGCGGAAGCGGAGCACAATCCAATCTGGAACGCAACCTTGAACTTTACGGGAATCTCCGGTGAGAAATTGATGGATCGAACGATCGAGGTTAATCTCTGGGACAGACTTCCAGAAGGAGAGGATGTCTTCCTTGGGGAGTGCACCGTAGACTTGCAAAATGCTTTTGAAACTGATAGAGCTGTTTGGTTAGTGTAATTTTACACAATATTTTTCAACAATTTTTATAATTGAAATAATAAAAAAATTATTTTATAAATAAAAACGAATCTCCCTGATAAGATAAATAATTGCATACAAAAATAAAACATGATGTTGCAGTATATATTGATTAATCGATATTTTCTTGTCACCAAAAATAGGTTAAGAGGATTCGTAATCCTCGTCCTACTTCATCATAATCTAATCAGCTGCAGCAGGCAATTGCTTATTCTGTTGTTGATCTATTAGTTGGGTTCAGTTATTACACTCGATAATCAGAAAATTGATTAATAATTAATTAAGTTAATAGTTAAAAACAGTTTAGACTAATTATTTACCAAATTGGCAACTTTTCAGTCTTTAAACCGTGAAATATCAATTACAATTATATTTCCAAAGTTTAATCTTTTTTTTTTTCAATTATCAATTTTAGGTATCGATTAGAAGATCCGCGAGGAATTCGAATGGGCAATTCACGATCACCACGTGGTTCAATGTATACCGAATTAGTACAAAGATTAATAAGAAGAGAATTGCAACAAAGAAGTTATAGTGACGATACACACAGTGAAAGTGGAAGTCCCGAACCATGTTATCTTCATCCGGATCATGCACTGTATGGAAATTCCAGACGAGGTTCAAGCCAATCAGAACAACTTGAATTTGAACCATACGAACTAAATAAGGATTACAGCCGATCTCTGCCAGGAAGTCGTAGAAGTAGTTTCCAAAGCCAACAAGGAGGAGGAGGAGGTGGAACTGACAGCAAACGTACAAAATTTTAATTCTCTCTAAAATCATTCTTTACATATTATCTCCATTTTTTTTACGACAACTCAATAAATTCAATTTGGCATCTTTTCAGCTATTGAAGAGTCCAACTTTATTGAAAATCTTAAAATAGTTGAGTGAAGGACGAAGAAAGCGACTCCTTCAATTTTCTCCACTTTTACTTGAAAACTTATTTATTTCGCCTTGAGTTCAAATACTATTCTTTTCTCTTTGACAAAAGACTTGAGTCGTAGCTTTAAATCAAAGATTTTTAAATTCGAGTAATAAAAGTAATATACATATTTCAAACAAAACATGACTTTTCAATTCAAAATAAAGAACAATTTTTTTTTTAAAGACTTATAAATCTTAAATTATTTCTGTTGTTTTATATAAACGATAGTTTCGCTTTAAATAAAAGAGAAAATATATTCAAATATTTTAATCTTTTAATGCTTGATAAAGTTGTCAATGTTTATTAACGATCATAAAAAATTTGAGACGTAAAATAAATAAACGTTGAAAAAAATGTTTTTCAAACGAAAAATTTTCTTTAAATATCATTGATTAGGAACGTTGTGAAATAATAATAATAATAAAAATAATTTGTAGGAGGAAGTATTGGAGATTCAGACATGCCAGTTTACTATAATAGAGAACGTCGTCGCAGTTCAGTAGCTCGTTATGCTCGAGATCCTAAGGAAATCCTCGAAGGGCTGAAATCTTTACAATCTGGCAAAAGTGAGTTGGGAAGGACGTTGAGTCTCACCGCGGACAAGAGACGAAGCAGCAGTGAGTAATTTCATATCATAGCTTCATTTGACATCATTGTACTAATCTTCGTCCTAACTTGAATCCATCTCTCCATTGCTCCTTCTTCTATACTCCAATCAACGATTTATCAGCCACGCATATAATTGTTTCTCACAAAAGCATCCTTGCCTGGTCGCCTAACGATCTAAAAACGTTTGTGTCACGATATATATATATTATTCAGTATTGAAGCATTGCTTGCATCTCACACTTTTTCACTCTCTTTCTCTCTCTCTCAATGTGTATTCGTCTTATGTCTCTCGTCCTCGTCTATAATAACTTCTTTTTAAATTTCTCTCTTCCATTCTTTTTTCATAAAAATCCTGTATTTGTTTTTTATTTTTCATTTGTATGTGTATGCCATTTGCGCGCTTTGACCGAGCGAACGTCAGTATTTTAAACATCAATAAATTACAATAATAAAACAACAGGCGTTGTATTGAATAAAAATGATGATTAATTTTTTTTTTGGGGGGGTAATTTTTGGACCATATCACGACCAGGATCGATGCATCATTTCTTTTCATATGTTGCTATAAGTGTTATTCATTCTCGTTAAAATATTTTTGTGTCAAAAGCTAGCGAGCTTCTTTGATATATACCTGTTTGAATAACTATATTCTCTGATTGTCATTTTCATTGAAAATATATATAATACATGCCAAAATTGCATATAATCAATAAGATGATGAATATTTAGATAAAAGTTATATATATATGGCATAGCACGCTTTTGCACATTTGATCGTGCACGTGAGACACTGATGCTATCGAGTCATCATCCTGGTCGAACCTCGTCAGGCATATTAACGTACATTACGTTGACGTATACCATTCGTTCTATTCTCTGTCTCTTTTGCTATCTCTATTCCTCATGTGCGTCCACAAGCATCCAAACTTCCGGCAAAGCTATCCATCATTCATATGATAAGCAATAACCAATAACATTTCAGAGGGCAAATTTTATCAATAAACTAAAAATACTCGACGTTTTTATTCGATTAGTTATTAATTTCCATTATATCTACGCTAAGAAAAATATTTTTACAATTGAGTCATGAATTTTGTCAAAATTTCTGACACACAATAATTTTATACCTTTTAAAAATGGTTCATTTAGAGACAAAACTTTTCGATTTAGGGGTACATTAAAGGACCCCGCATTTTTTCCACAGAAATTGGCTTTTTCTGAAACTCTGCAATTTTGTAATTTAAGCCATCCTGAACAAAAAATGTTAATGACAAAATTCAAAATAATGGACAGTTTTTGAACTGCAGTAGCTTAAAGTTGAAAAATAATAAATAATGTTTTTGTAAATGTTCTGTTCTTAAAAATCAATCAAAATCACTCAAAATCTGTTAATCGGAGGTTTTTAGGGTCACTGATCACGAATATCAGGTCAGAATTTCAGAATTCAAAATGGCGGATCCAATATGGTAGACGAGTTTTGGAAGACTCACTTAAATTAACTCAAAATCTGTTACATAAGGGTTTTTGGGGTTTCTGATTACGAATCTGAATTTGAATTTTGAAATACTGGGATTCTGACTTCACATTCGTAATCAGCGACCCTAAAAACCCCTAAGTAACAGATTCTGAGTGAATTCGAGTGATTTTTCCAAAAGTCGTCCGCCATATTGAATCCGCCATTTTGAATTCTGAAATGCTGACCTCATATTCGTGATCAGTGACCCCAAAAACCTCCGATTAACAGATTTTGAGTGATTTTGATTGATTTTTAAGAACAGAACATTCACAAAAACATTACACAACCACACAAAAAAAAATTTTTGATCTGGGGGTCTGACTATGCCTACTTTATGTTTTTTGGGTCGCTGAATCCGAATTCGAGGTCCGTTTTACCCCATCAGATCAGGATTTTGAGATAACTTCAAAAAACCAATATGGCGGACACTTTTTCGAAAAATTCATCGGAATCGCCTGAAACTCGTTACTCGGGGGTTTTCGGAGTCGCTGATTACGAATTTGAAATAAGTTTTCAAAAATTCAAGATGGCGGATCCAAGATGGTGGACATTTTTTCGAAAAATGCCGTCATGGCAGATACAGTTAAGAAATTTGTAACGATGCCATCTTGAATTTTTGAAAACTGACTTCAAATTCGTAATCAGCGACTCCGAAAACCCCGGAGTAACGAGTTTCAAGCAATTCCGATGAATTTTTCGAAAAAGTGTCCGCCATTTTAAATTTTGAAAAACTGACATCAGATTCGTGATCAGCGACCCCAAAAACCCCCGAGTAACGAGTTTCAGGTAAATCCGATGAATTTTTCGAAAAAGTGTCCGTCATATTGGTTTTTTGAGGTTATCTCAAAATCCTGATCTGATGGGGTAAAACGGACCTCGAATTCGGATTTAGCGACCCAAAAATCATAAAGTAGGCATAGTCAGACCCCCAGATCAAAACTTTTTTTTTTTGTACGGCTGTGTTATTTATTATTTTTCAACTTTGAGCTACTGTAGCTGAAAAACTGTCCATTATTATGAATTTTGTCATTAACATTTTTTGTTCAGCAGGCCTTAAACTACAAAACTGCAGAGTTTCAGAAAAAGCATATTTCTGTACAAAAAAAGTGCGAGGTCATAAAATATTCACATAACGAAAAAAAAAATGGTTTTTCCTTCTAAATATTTATACAGCAAATATGAATGTGTGGAAAGTATTTAACCGGAAGTGCATTTCAAGTGTACGCGCATTTGCCTGAAGTCTGCATACACACATGTTTTTATATTTATTTGTTCTGCAAGCAACAAGAACAACACAAATATAAGAAAAATCAATAACAAAAACAAGAAAATTGGCGATCCTTATATAATCTCGATTTCTGGCTGGCCACACATTATATAAATTTTTCTCTCTGTGCGTCGTTGTGAGCTTTGTCGTGTAATAACAGCAGGTATACTTTTGTCAAAAAGTGAAAAGTTATATTTTCATATTTGTTTATCCATTATGAATTTTTTTTTTGTTCTCTCTTTTCCAAAAATGCAAATAAACGCCCGTTTAACTGCCCGTTCGCTCGGTCGAAATGCAATTCGATCGACCATCGACCACCACACCGTCACCAACAAAATAGCGGACCATCGTGTCCTGGCGCGATCAGGAGAGTCCGTTGTCCCAACAGTTCTTGTGTGGCAGTGCGAACCTGTGTCTCCGAGGACCGCTAAATCGGCCTCCTTCCCTCTACCACACGCCACACCACCCCGATAGATTACATTGGCAAGCCACTGTCAACCACCGTTTCCGGCCTCTGGTAAGATTTATTACTCCTTTTGCACTTTTCAAACTTGCTCCTTTTTCTTTTGTTATAACAAAAGTATATAATATAGTTTCTTATTTATTTTTTTTTTATTATCAAATCTGCACGAAACCTCCAACTGGCGCTTCAAACAATTTTCGTTTCTTATTTAAAAATAAGGGGTTAAAAAAAATTATATCGATTTCATGCATTGAGTTTGCAATTATTGTCTGCTTCATAGATTTATATATATATAATAAACTGGTTAAATCTATATATATGTTGCATAACGATTATTTATTACTAAATATAATTTAAATTTAAATCTATATTATTTCCAATAGGGGTGAATATTCGAGTCAAGAGTCGTAATAGTTCTATTGATTTTCGCAAGTTATTCTGAAGTGCCTTTTTTCACCTATTGGAGTTTATGCATCTTAGAGCAATAGAACTGCATTCGCTTATCTTGCTCTTGCTAATATTAAACCTCGCCAGTAGGCTACCACAGACGTTGTTTACGCCACTTTTGCTGCCTGTGGTAACTTGGGAAAGAGTAAGTTATTCGTAATTTTAAAAAGACGAACAAATTTGAAAAAAAAATTATCTAGTACATTTATTTTAATAAATCAAAGCGTATGTATTTTCTAAGGGACTATTCAATAAGTATTACGTAAGCTTCTATCTTTTATTCTTACAATAATACTGCATTAAAAAAATATTTTTTATTAACAAAATAAATATTATAAACAAATTAAGTTAAAAAAGCGTTTTTTTACAATAAATGCACGGAAAAATAGATTTACCTGGATTCAGCGAAACGTTTCACTATAGTAGGAAAAATTTTACTTGTTTTAGTTCTATCTTTCGCTATTCTAGTGAAATCTTTCAGGTACATTTTTTTCTTTGTGTAATTTTGACTAAACAACAATACGATATAAACTTGTTAACTTGGGAGTTTTTTGGGGTCGCTGATAACGAATATGATGTTGGATTTTCAAAATTTAAAATGGCAGATGCAACAAAAGATAATAAATAATTGATCCGCGTGATAAACTTTAGGTAATTAATTTGTTAGCCATTTTGGATCCGCCATTTTGAATTTTAAAAAACTGACATCGGATTCGTAATCAGCGACCCCGAAAAACCCCGAGTAATCAGTTTCGAGCGGATTTGATCAATTAAAAAAAAAATTGTCCGCCATATTGGATCCGACATTTTGAATTTTGAAAATTTGAAAAATATGACTTCGGATTCATAATCAAAAAAAAAAACTTTTAAAAAATGCTCACATAATACTTGAACAGCCCCTAAGTATATATATATATAAATATTTGAAATATATTTATTCTTAGATATACAAATTGTACCTATATTAATCCTATAAATAAATATTTTAATTATACCGCTTCTCTATTAACAGAGAACAGTAAGCAAACTAATAAAAACTTTTTAATAAACGTATATAATATCTTTTATTACAACTTCAGAAAATTTTTCGTAAATTATACTTTTTCCAGAAAGAGTTTTAATATATGTTTAATTAAATTTTTGAAAAACCGTTTTTTCCTTACTAAAAAATTGTCATTCACTTTTTAAACTTTTCATAAACTCGCGTGTACCATAATTTAATATACCTGATGTGCGACGAATCGAAAATGCTGACCAATGAAGTGAAAATGTCAATATCGCGACAAACGTTTGTTAAATATTTCATTTCGCGTGAATAAATCATATACATATGTTGTATAGACAAAAAGTATGTAATAATAAAAAATATTATATTGAGATTCAAATTCGTTCGTTACGCTTGATATCTAAAATATATATAAATTTCTTGACTCTCTCTGCTAATCTATTTACAATCTACACTGACGAAAATTTGGACCTTTTTTTCTAAAGTAGTTGAAAAAAATTATTAAAAAAAAAATCCTCAAAACTTGTGTATATTTCTTGCAATTATTAATTATAATTATATATTTTTCAAAAAGTTAATTTTTTTCAACCTTTTTTAAACTATACTTCACATCGTTGAAAATTTTCACAAATTTTTGTTAGTGTACAAAAATAGTTTTCAGTGTAATAAATAAAATAAAACTCTATATGTTTTTGTATTTATTATTCTGTTGAAATATAATGTAAAAGTTTATTTTGCTTATTTGATGTGAAAAGTATATAATTAAGTAAAATAGTGAAATGTTATAGTGCGCTGATAATTAGTTAAGTCAATAAGTAGTTAAATAGATCATTTGAAATGTTTTTAGAAGTATATGTAGTTTCTTAGTAGATATTTCAAATTTTTTTTTGATATTTTTAGATTCTGTAAAGCTTTACTCTCTTTCTTCTAACTTTTAATCCTTTCAAACTTTTAATCCCTCGTCTATCCTATCCTATTCTGTAAAATCTACTTTAAATTTACCTGTGATATTAATTATTATTGTATTGAGAATTTATGTAGATTAAGCGCTTTTTATAGAAATGTAAACAGTTTTAAGGTAATTTACTTTGTGCCAAGTGTTTGTATTTAGAAAATAAAAAAAAATTAACTCCACTGGTTTATTTAGAAGTCTGAGCTAAATTATAATTCGTTTTTTGCTTTGAAAATATTAAAAATTCAGCATTTTTTGATTTTTCATTGTATATTTTAAGTAACTTTTTTAAAAAGTAAAAAAAATTTACTTGAACAAACAAAATTTACATTTTATATTCAGCAATATTATTTCATAATACTTGAGATAAATTCAATGATTTGTCTTTTTTAAAAAAAAGTCAGATATTATTTTAGGTATTTCTTCATTTAGATTACACTGCTGGAATATTTCTGGTAAATAAATAATTAAGAATTTACACTCTAGAAATAGTGTGAGGAAAATGATTTATTTATAGCGAACGAGAGTTTTGAGATCTTGGGAGCTATTTTAAATAAAAAGAGATGAAGAAAAAACTGGTGAAATTTCTTTACCTTTCGCATTTGAATGATTTTTATTAATAAATTTACTCAATAAATCGCAGGGTCTGGGCGGGGTGAGCGCAAAGAAAGTGTCGTGGAACTGCCAGAAAAGCTGTTTGACCTTAACTATGATTCTGATGATGATGAACGATGGAGGTAAATTTTAAAAAAATAAAAATATTATATTTTTTATAACTCTATAACTGTCACACAGAAACAAACTGAACTCAAAATGAGTCGCATATCAGTCTCATTTTGAAGTGCAACAAAAATGATACCCCTTCGACTCATTCTGTGTTTTTGGTGAAATGTTTTAAATTGAACCCGGTCAGGTTCATTTTCAGTTCGAGATTAATGTTAGGTTAGAAATACTATTGACGTAATTGACGGAGCCATTAAAAAATTCGAGATTAATTAAAAATAATTTATAAATACAACACTTTGAAATGTTTTCCTGTTCCCTCATATATTTTTCCCAATTATTCATTATCTAGTATGAAACACTTGCTTTTATAGCCACTAAATCCAATACGACGCACTAATCACATTTAACGAATTTCTTCTTCATTCATTTTTTTTCTCTTTTTAATATTTTATATAATTTACAAGATTCTGCAGTACTACCAATATGAAAATGTCACAATGTAGAACATAACTTATATTTTTACTCATTTTGATGCAGCAAAAATGAGTTCAGATTTTTTCTGTGTAGTTATGTAAGCATTTGTTTATAAAAATTTTTATAAAGAAAAAAAAATTTGACCCTTATAGAGTTACAGTAAATAAATATGTTGTAAAAATTTTGTTTTTTCAAAAATTATAGAAACAGTGGGAAATTAGGACCAGGGCAAGTAGCACCAAAAGGAGGAAGACTGTCCGGTAATGTTTCTTTTAAAGATATTTTTTAAAGTTATTTCTAAAAAAAATTTCTTTATTTTTAAAGTATCTTATTTAAAAGAGTTTTCAAATGTCTTAAAATAAAAAAAAAAGATTGATAAACGAAGTGTAATTTTAAAATGAAGATATTTCTGTTCGCTTCCGAGCGATTATTTCCGGTCAAAGTATCGGTTTTCATTGAAAAATAACACAATCCGTATACTCTCGTCCAGATGTGAAAAGGCCAAGGCTAGGTCAAGTCCTATAACATACCCACATATATGTACATAAGGTAAAGTAGCTTCCCTTTTCTGAAGATATTTATTTACAGCAACTCAAAACGGAGAGTTACAGCTGGCCGTCTTCCTCAGCAGAGGCAATTTGGAGGTGGAAGTCATTTGTGCGAGAGGAATTTGTCCGGAGGATGGAGAAGTGCCGTGTAGGTTGAAAACTTTTAATAAAGTCTGAAATATGTGAAAAACAGTTTAGATAGTAGAAAATTGCTACCGTACACTGAAAAAAATATGCTATTAAATCAACAGCATTTCTGCCAAAGGTATAAAAATTATTGATTCAAAAACATATGCTATAAAATTTGTAAAATATTTTATAGATTCTTTAGCATATGTTTTTGAATCAATAATTTTTATTCCCTTTGGCAGAAATGCTATTGATTCAATAGCATATTTTTCTCAGTGATAATAAATGTTACACAACTTTCGGTACTAAATTCTGCAAAATTTGGTGAATATTATAGTTTAGTGGTATTTTCAAGACTATTTGCTACTAAATTTTTCCTTGATTCAATGTCTCAATAAATTCCCAATCTTTTTTTTCCATTATTATCTGCAATTATTGTCAATTCTGGAAAATTCACTGCCTCGTAGTCTCATAAATCGTTTTAACGGCAGCAATTAATCTGTAGATAGAATGTTGAACAAAGGACATTTATTATTGAAATTGTTTTAACAAAGAAATCTGACAAATTGTAATCAATCATTAGTTTTCTTATAGAAATTTTAGACTTATTTTTTTCTCTCACAATAAAAAAACGGTCAATAATATTGAATACGTGTTTCAGATACGTATATAAAGACCTTCCTTTGCGATGAAGGTAGAAAGCTTCAGAAACGCAAAACTCGAGTTCAGCACTCGCGCAATCCACAATATCGTGAAACAATAAAATATTCCCGCTGCGATGCATTTGGAAGAATTCTCTTGGTGATGCTTTGGGAGAAGAAACAAGGATTTGGCAAAAATCAAGGATTAGGAGAAGCTGAAATCTGCTTGGACAATCTTCCTCTCACTGAACTATCCGTTGGCTGGTATATCCTCTTTCCAATTCATAATCCTGGCACCCAGAATATTGATTCTCCATGATTGAAGGAAAAATGGGCTCTCAAACCTGCTGAACTCGACTTCAGACTCAGCTTATTGCTGAGAAATGATGCCGAGGACACTGTCAAGATTATCTTTTGATAGGAGTCAATCCAATAACACCATTTTCGCGCAATTTTTCATTTTATCATCAGCAAAACATTGTTATTTCACATTATAATTACACGTTTAATGGCAAATGTTAAAGAAAATCGATTTAATACGATATGAAGAAAAAAATTTAATCCAATTAATCGAGATTTAGACAATCAATATGATATGGATAAATTTATTGCAAATTGGCAAAAATTCCCTAGAGTTTGTAGAAAATAGAATTAGATATAATATATAAAATATATCTTATTGAATTGAAATGACAAAAGAAATGAATGGTAATACAAGAGAGATGATTATTTTTTTTTTCGCACTTTAACAAGGGTGAGAAATCGAGAGAAATTTATAAAGAGCCAATCTTGGCAGAAGCAACGAGGGTCCATTTTTTCCAGCATCGAATCGATATTTAAGGCGAGAATCGTTTAGAAAAAAAAAGCGAGAATCAATTTGATATCTGCAAAATATTGTACTGGTTGATCCAGATAGTGGTTCAATTGAATCTCGCTAAAATCCGGAAACGAAAAGTTAAGTTGAAAAGTTGGAAAATTATACGTATTATACATAATTATATAATCGAAATATTTTCAAGACTTTATAAAAAAAAAAGTTTTATCCAATTTTCGAATCAGAAATTTTAAATAATTTTTAAATTTAAATAAAAAAAAAAGGGAGGCTAAAATTTTAAGTCAATTTCAAATTTGACTGTAAATATAATAAAATAAAATTTTTAATCAAAAAAGTTTTGAAAATATTTCCAAAACTTAATGGTAATGTTTCAATATATTTAAGTAGACGCTCCATCGCTCGCTGGTCGAGTCAAATTTTTAAGGAGTACAATTAGGGTCAAAAATAAATTGATGGCCAATTATTGAAAAAAAAATACATATATAGAAAACAATCGATGTTTAGGAATCGCACAATTTTTGTAGTGTGTAGACTGATGAAAAGCGGATTCCTCGGTGAGCTGTTATATTATATTAAAATGTAATTGCAGTTCTGGATTCGACTGTGTTATGTGAATGTCATGTTTTCTATGCTATATGCTATCTCCCCTTTTATCCATTTTTTACTCTTTCATACAAGTACTTCACTAAGAAATTTTATTCGACTATAAAAAAAAAAAAATGACTTTCCTATCATAAACAATTTCTCTATAGATATATTTAAAAAATAAAAAAATATATATACATATATTGACTTTTCTACAAAAATCTGATCTCAAATTCGACAAAAAACTGTTCCGAGTATTTAATAGGAATAGTGTTTAATCTATAAATGGAATCGGTTTCTAATTTTTTTTAAATTTTATTTTTGAAACAAAGAAAGATTTGCGCTCATCCCGCCTATAATATATAAAATAAGGTATGAAATCGAGTGTAATGTTAGTGCAATACTCAATAATAGTAGTAATGATATCAATAGCAATAGAAAACAAAAAAAAAAAGTACGTAATAATGCAAGGAAAGTAATGGAGTATTTGTCGAAAAAAAAAATTGAACGATGTTAATGATTTCACGAAATAGTGAAATTAAAAGAAAGTAAATACTAGATACAATACTTTCCATTCTTTCTTCATTTGTGTTAACACGTTGAAAAAACATTTTCTAAACGATACAATAAAAAATATTTTAATTATATTAAAATCGGAAAAGCGATATTTTAATAGATTTAACTCTGAAACTGTTTAGGAAATTCGATTTTAATGAATTCTAAACATAAAAAAAATAACGGCCTATAAAGCATATATATTACAAAAAAAAAACTGATTGTTGCTCCTCTCCAACGAATGCAGGCGCTTTTCAAATATCTTATTCTTCTATAAATATTTCTAAAAAAAAAAAAAAAAAACACTCTCTTTAATACCTCTAATGAGTTGAGTTGTAAACAATTTCTAAAAACGTTCAAGTTCTAAGCTTAATATAAAAAGTGCTTCCTCTCTTACTATTTATACTGTTACTATTATCTTCTACTTCCTAAAAAATAAAATTTCATCATCATTTGCATTATATTCTATTAAATATAATAAAAAATTTCCCTGAGACGCGGAAGTCTTCGAACGATATGAAAGCTTTTTTAAAATGATAAATATAAATTTGATATTGAACAATTTACAATATTGAAAATTTAATTTTTCTTTTCTCATCACTAATATTTCTTTCAAGACAAAAATGGTTGTGACGATAATACTCAACAGGTGTTCGCGTTCGTGGAGGGAAAATATCAACTTTTTAACACTCTTAATTTAAATAAGAAAAAAATTCAGCGAAATTTCACTGGATTCAAATTAAGAGAATATTAAATGCAAAAAAAAAACCGACATTTTCTATATACACAAAAATGGCCTACGCTATCATGACGTTTGACAATCGATCTATTAGACGCTTTAAAAAAAAAAGAAAAAAAAAACCTACTGAGGTTAAACAGTAAAAGCGTACATTATAAATATTGGATATAGAAACATAAATGAATATATATATATACTGTACTAATTAGTTAAGAAAAAAAAATTACGCTCTGTATAAAATAGAAGCGATCGACAAAATTCTTTATGAACGAAATTTTTAGAATATTCTCTTAAAAATGACAAGAAATGTGATAAAAAAAAAAAAAATTATTCTAAATTCTCATTTTTGAAGTTTTTGGTATTTTCTATTTGATTATTTATATTATTTAGATAAATTTTTTATTATTTTTTAATTTATTTCATGCTTGCCGTGCAATATTGCCAACCTTGCAAGGCAAACTTACCGCAAGCTTGTATGGTAAGCTTACCAAAGGATTGCAGTGTTAGGTTACTGCAACATTGCACAATAAGATTATCGTAAGATTGCTCAGTAAGCTTGCACGGTAAGCTTGTTGCAAGGTTGGTGCAACGTTGCCAAATAACCTTGCTTTGAACTTCAAAAAACTTTTTTCTAATGTTTCGTCTAATTTATATAATTACAAAAATTTTATTATCTAAATTAGACGAAACATTTAAAAAAAAAATTGTTAGGTTTAAAGCAAGGTTATTTGGCAAACTTGCACCAATATTGCAACAAGCTTACCGTACAATATTACTGAGCAATCTTTCAGTAACCTTGCACTGCAATTTTTCGGTAAGCTTACCATGCAATCTTGTGTCAGGTGGGACATTTGAAGCTTGGGGCAATTTTGCCGTGCAAGGTTGGCAATATTACTCGGCAAGCTTCCCGCAAGGTTCCTGCAAGCTTACCTGCTATCTCTGGGAAATTATACAGTGGAAAATAATTAAAGCTTCAAAAATAACTAATAAAATTGTCATTATAAAAAAAAAATTACAGAGAAATCTAAAATATATTTTTTTCACGTTCATATGGAATAATCAGATATTGGATAAATTCGAATTTTTTCCAATTATTTGTATATTCGACCGCGCACAAATTGAGAAAAATGATATAATTATTAATTAATTAATTATCCAAATGACATTGAAATGTCCTTTCCCGTACATATCTGTGTTGTAATTTGTTCTATATATGTGACAATCTTTAAAAAAAAAAAAATTCGTCAATCGAGCATCGAGTAGATTTATTTTTAAATCTGAATCTCTTTAATGCACAATGTCTAAAATTTAATTTCTATAACTGAAATTAAATTAAAAAAAAAGGTTTGAATTTCTTCAAACTTTTAATCTATATGCGTAATTGTTTTACATTTGAATACAGTTTTCTATTTTGTCAAATAGAATTTTGTATGTTTTTACTGAGTGGAAAAATATTTTTTTGTTTATTGTGCAAGATAGTTTAAATAATCTTTTTTAATGTGTAAACATTCATATATAAGTTTTCATAATAATATGAAATATTTGAAATTTTAAACGCAAAATAATTACAAAATATTTATTTATATAATTATTATATATGGATAACACAATAAATTAAAATATTTTGAAAATAAATTGTTTACACGCACTTACACTTTGTGTTTAAAAAACAAACTGACAGAAATGTATTGTATAATTAAGAAATAAAATTTATGTGAGTGACGTTGAAAAAGGTTGAAAATGAAAATAAAAAACCATATTACTAGACAAATCATCAGTTTAATTATTTCAATATTTATAGATCCATTAAGTTATTTCTTTTAACAATTATTATTCTTTATTTTTTTAAATGGTTTTCTTCAGAAAAAGATTTATTCAAAAGACACAAAGCATTCTTCGAACTGAAAAAGAATTGTTTTTTTTTTTTTAAATTAAATAAAAATTCATTTTAAAAAATGGATAAAATTTTAATTAAAATATTACTTGAAAAACTGTTGCATTTTTTGTTGACTGCAAATTGAAAATTCTTTTAAATCACTTTCATAAAAGAAAACGGACATAATGTTTTTTTCATCAGCATAACATTCACTAGAACTATCGTCATGTTGTGCAGAAAATCTGTAAAATTTTTGATAATAATTTTGAGCTTTCCTCGAAATAAATAAATAAAAAAAATTATCTTTTTACGTACGTATGAGCCAATTCATGAGCTGCGGAAAATATTGTTCGATACTGACCATCATCATTTACAACAGCGAAATTATTTGGAAAATTACAAGCAGAGCTTTCAATAGAATAACCTTAGAAAAAAAATTATTTTAATAACTTTTTTTTTAAGTAATAATTTTTTACGTTATCAATGAAAATAAAAATATATGTTTACCTAAAGGACCTGATAATGAAGTATTCCAACTATAGGATAAAAATAAAAATATTTATTACACACCATTTGGTTTTTTTTTATTAAAAATACCCTAACATATTCCTTACCCTGACATTAGTACCGCTACATCGAATTCTAAATTGTGAGGATTCAAATATTCAAGCAAATTTTTTCTATCTTTTGTCGTAAAAATATTATGATTTGCTAAATCATCCTAAAAAGATTTTACTTTTTAAAATTTTTCATGAAATCGATTATTTTTTTTAAAAGAAACATATATATACTTTACCAATTGGACAATGCCACTGATTTGTAATATCACTTGAGGATTGGTTAATTTACTAAAAACTTTATTGACCGTTTTCCAATATGAAACAATATATGTTGATACTTCTGACTCATTTGTAAAAATTCTCAAATTTTCATGTAAAAATATTATTAATTAGACAATTTTTTTCATTTTTTATAAATGCGCGCAATACTTACGAACGAAATTTACGATCAGTGATAATTAAGATTTGAGGATAAATTATTTTCAAATCAAAATTATCCACAGTTTTTGCAATTTCTATTTGTTTTGCATAATTAAGATTTAAGAACACTGAATAAAAAAATGCCAAGTAAAACAATGTTCGTTGATGATTCATTGTTAATTATAATTTAGACTTTCCGCACTTAAAAACACTTTTTCATAGTTCACAATGCACTTTTATAAACGATTTCAAATATATATCTAATTATCATAAGAAAAGTATTTCTTATGTAAAAATATGTATTGTGAAATTTTATTTAATTAATCAACTCACATAAATTAATAGATTGAAGATAAAAACATAATAATGAGAATCAGTTACAAATTAATTTAAAATCAATGAAGTCTGCACAATGCGAATAATTATCAACAACAGCTGTTTCTTCTTTTAGAAATAATTATAAAAGTTATTCTTATTTTTAGATTTATCTATAAATTTACATAAATAATAATTTATAATTATTTGCTATAAAGATAATAATGTTTCTTTTGTTTAGGACTTTTTTTTGAATCTCTTTTTTTCAAGAGATTTAAATTTTTCCCGCCACCTGTGTAAAGATCTAAATTTGCGCATGCGTATATAGTTAGTAGTGTGTCGCGCCCCCTCCAACCAACCAGTATTACTTCTTTTATTATGTCAAAAGAAAAGTCATAATTTATTCTATTTATTTATCAAAATGTCAAAAATTAAAGTTTCCATGGAATGGAAAAAACGTGTTAAATCTGAATACATGCGTCTTAGACAAATGAAAAGATTCAGACGTGCTGAAGAGGTTAAATTAGCATGGAACCAAAATCGAAAGGTTATGACAGGTAAGTTGGTTATATTATTTTAAATTTCTAATAAATTTCAATTTTTTCAATTTTTTCCCATAATTCCTACACTTTTTTACATAAATAATTTTAATCAATATTTTTATATAAATATAACTTTGATCTATTTTTTGTATATATTAAATGGGGTGTTAATTTTTTTTACAATTTTACATATAAACAAAGTATTATAATTATTTTGTATCACTGTAAATTGATATTTAAAAAATCATATAGTAAATTTAAATTTTATATGGGGCATTCTATGGGAAATTTTCATTGAAAATTCTTTTTTGTCCGAAACATTTTTTTCGAAATCTCTATGAAAAATAAGGAAATTCGTATTTTTTTTTATTTTTTTATTTGATGAAAATAAAGGAAGTTATGATTTTTTGAAATTTAACGTCAACGAAGAAAGTGTGTTTTTGGAATATTTTTTAATCTATTGTACTAAGAAATTAAACATTATGCTATATCTGAAATTTGTTCATTTTTTCTAAAAATTTTTCCCCTATCTGCGAAAGTGGTACTTTTCGTTTTTAAATTACTATTTACAATTTTTAAGCTTGACGCAACGATTTTTAGTATGTTTTTATGAAAATTAAAAAAAAACAAATGAATGTTAATGGAAAAAGGTTATATTTGTAGAAAAAAATGCTTAAATTCTGTGAGCCGTACTAAAAAAAATTATAAATAGTAATTTAAAAACTAAAAATACCACTTTCGCAGATAGGGGAAAAAATTCTTCAATCATCAGAGATTGTAATGCAAAAAAATTAAAAATCGAAAGTGTCTCTTTTGAGAAAACTCACTTTATAAGTTTAATTTCAACTTTTTTGTTGCTTCTGTTATAAATACGTTATTTTTGAGCACATATTTGAAAAATCGAGAAAAAATGAACAAATTTCATAATAATTTTTAATTTCTTAGTACAATAGATTAAAAAATGTTCCAAAAACACACTTTCTTCGTTGACGTTAAATTTCAAAAAATCATAACTTCCTTCATTTTCACCAAATAAAAAATACGTATTTCCTTATTTTTCACGTAGATTTCGAAAAAAAATGTTTCGGACAAAAAAAAATTTTCAATGAAAATTTCCCATAGAATGCCCCATATATACTTTATATTTACTATATATTTATATTTTATATGTAGTTATTTTTTCTAATTTTTTTTTATATATTACAGTGTGTTTCAATAAAACTTAGAAAAAAAATGATGTATTAATTATAAAAAAAATTCTAAATAGATTTGATGGATGTAGAAAATAAATGTTGGGCAGAAGGAAAAGCAATGTGGTTTGCAAAACAAGAGACGCATGTACCTAGCGTGAAAAAAGCTGAAATAACAAGTTCCGAAGGAGATGTTCAAAATTGTTCAATTAAAATTGTTAATTCTGTTGCACCAATACCAACAATGTACACATGGGCACCTATTCAACAAAATTTTATGGTTGAAGATGAGACTGTTCTGCATAATATTCCTTATATGGGTGATGAAATTCTTGATCAAGATGGCACATTTATTGAAGAATTAATTAAAAATTACGATGGCAAAGTAAGAATAACAATTAATTTTTCATTCATATCGTAATAAATAATATTTAATTATTTTTTTAATAGGTTCATGGAGACAGAGAATCAGGCTTTATGGACGATTCAATTTTTGTAGATTTGGTAAATGCTTTAGCAAATTGTGAAAAAGAAGATAAAGAAAAAGAAGCACCAAAGAAAGGAAAGGAATCTTTAAAAGAGAAAGATATTAATAAAAATGACGATAAAGAGAAAAATGAAGAACAATCAAAGAAAAATGATCTTTTAAGCGTTCCCTTTCCATCAATTCAAGTTTTTTATGTAAGCCTTATTTATTTTACTAAAAAATCTGTTAATAATATTTTTTGACTAGAAATAAATTTTTCCAGGCAATTCACAGTATGTTTCCCGATAAAGGAAAACCAGATGAACTCAAAGAAAAATATATTGAATTAACAGAGAGATCTGATCCAAATGCATTGCCACCAGAATGTACGCCTAATATTGATGGTATTAATGCAAAAAGTGTTTCTCGAGAACAAGCTATGCATTCATTCAACACTCTTTTTTGTCGCCGATGTTTTAAATACGACTGTTTCTTACATCGTAAGTATAAAAAATAATAAAATTCAATATTTTTAACACTATTTGGCTTTCCTATTTGCGATATAAAAATTAAAAAAAAAAAGAATTAATTAAATTGTGTATGATTCTTTAATTAATGTCGCAGCCAAGGGAACATCTCAAGGTAAAATTATAAATTTATGTTGAACGCCTTATTTGTTCAGCGCACACACACACACATACACACAAACAGATGAGACATATATGAAGGAATCATTCATCGATATTCCCTCTCTAACCAATCATGTGTCACACTTATAAAAAAAATAATATTTAACTAAAAAATTGTTTTTAGGTCTGCAAACATCTCATCCGGGACCAAGTGTACAGAAGCGTAAAGGACCTGATTTAAAATCATTTTCGGAACCCTGTGGTTCTGAATGTTACATGCATTTAGTATGTTTTAAATTTTCTACTGAAACTTTACTTCAAACTTTTAATTAAACAAAAAAAAATATTTCTAGTTAAATATGATTCTAAATATTTTTATATATATTTCAGGAAGGAATGAAGGAAAAATTAGCAGCACAAGCAGCTGATATAAAAGAAGAGGATGGAGAAGAGAAAAAAGGGGGTCCAAGAAAAGTTCGCAAACAAACAAGTGTTGATTCAGGCAATGAGGCGAGTAGCGAGGATAGTAATGATAGCAATAAATATATTCAAGGAGAAGGCTGTCCAGGTATACATTGTATTTTCTCATTGACAGGCCACGGATCGACTTTAAGACTAAAAAAAAAGTCGATCTTTTTTATTTTAACAAAATTTAATTTGTTAATGAATATTTTACTTTCAATAACTGTTATTTGATATTAAATTCATTTTATTAATTCTGTAATGAAAATAATTCTATAAAAACATTATCAAGAAAATTTATTTTGAATATTTCAGAATTTTCAGAACAAATTTTCAAAATTTTATTTAAGGACAAGTTTAAATTTTTAGAAATAATTGAATTTCAAAAGATTTTGTTAATTTTCAGACAATAATTAAATTTTACAGAACTAAAAATAATTTATCAAATAATTTTTAGATAAAATTTTTTAAAAGTAATTGAATTTTCAAAGATTTACAATTTTGATTTTTGAGATTAATTGAACTTTAAGTGATTTTTAAATTAAAATTTTTGATGATTTCATTAAAAAAAATTATTAGAAATTGCAGACAAAAATACAATAATTTGAAAACTTTTTAAAAGAAAAATGGTTTTAGATAGTTGAATTTTCGAAGAATATTATAAAAATCATTAAAAATAATTGAAATTTTTGAAAATAGATAAATAAATTTCAAGTGATTTTGAATTAAAATTTTTTTGGTATTTTTATTTACTACTTTTTTTAAAATTATAAACAATTATTAAATTTCAAAAAAAAATTTAATTGAGAGTTATAATTGAAATTATTAAATTTTAAAAAATTTTAGAAATAATTAAATTTTAGAAGCTTTAAAATTGAAATATTTGAAAATAATTGAATTTCAAAAGATTGTGTTAAATTTCAAACAATAATTATAATAAGAGAAATTTCTAGTGACTTCTGTTGATGAAGAATTTATTATAAATCACATAAAAAAAAAATTGAATTCCAAAAGTTTTTCATTGAAAAATTGGTTTTAGATAGTTGAATTTTCGAAAAATATTATAAAAATCATTAAAAATAATTGAAATTTTTGCAAATAGATCATTAAATTTCAAGTGATTTTGAATTAAAATTTTTTTGGTAATTTTATTTGCTAATTTTTTTTAAAACGATAAACAATTATTAAATTTCAAAAAAATTTTAATTGAGAGTTATAATTAAAATTATTATAAATTTTAGAAATAATTAAATTTTAGAAGCTTTTAAATTGAAATATTTGAAAATAATTGAATTTCAAAAGATTGTGTTAAATTTCAAACAATAATTATAATCAGAGAAATTTCTAGTGACTTCTGTTGAAGAATTTATTATAAAACACATAAAAAAAATTGAATTCCAAAAGTTTTAAATTGAAAAATGCTTTCAGAAAATTTAATTTTCGAAGAATATTATAAAAATCATTAAAAATAATTGAAATTTTTGCAAATAGGTAATTAAATTTCAAGAGATTTTTTGAATTAAAATTTTTTTGGTAATTTTATTTGCTAATTTTTTTAAAATTATAAACAATTATTAAATTTCAAAAAAAAAATTTAATTGAGAATTATAATTGAAATTATTAAATTTTAAAAAATTTTAGAAATAATTAAATTTTAGAAGCTTTTAAATTGAAATATTTGAAAATAATTGAATTTCCAAAGATTGTGTTAAATTTCAAACAATAATTATAATAAGAGAAATTTCTAGTGACTTCTGTTGATGAAGAATTTATTATAAATCACATCAAAAAAATTGAATTTCAAAAGTTTTTAATTGAAAAATGCTTTCAGAAAATTTAATTTTTGAAGAATATTTAAAAAATTATTAAAAATAATTGAAATTTTTGCAAATAATTAAATTTCATATAAATTTTAATTTTGAAAAAATAGTTTAAGATAATTGAATTTGTGAAAAATTACATTAAAATTATTAAAAATAATTAATTTAGTGAAGAACTTTCGTTAAAAATTTGTTAAATGAAATAAAGAAGATCTGAAGAAAATCTGCATTGTATACTAAAAAAAAAACGTATTTTGTTTAAAAATTTTGTAAAAAAAAATGTAAAAATAAGTCGAATCTTATTAAAATAAGTCGAAAAAAATCGTATTTTTGAAAAAAAAGTCTTATAATCCGAGGCCTGCATTGATATAAATGTAAGTTATTTTCTTTCTTAATCAAACACCTTTTCCCATTGGTGTTTCCACAGACTTCTCACAAAATGTTAATAAAGATTCTAAGCCCGATGAAACAATTGATGATCAAAAACAACCTGAAAATCAAACACCTTTCTCTCTTATGACAACGGATAATCGAGCAACAATGGAAAGTAAATTTTCATGGACTGGCTCTGAACAAAGTGTATTTCGTGCATTGCACAAAGCTTTTCCTGGAAATCCTTGTGCATTAGCTCAAATTATGTTGACAAAAAGTTGTCAAGAGGTGTATAAATTTTCACAAAAAGAAGCAGCTGATATTCCAGCTGTTGAGAGTCTAAAAGATCTAACGCCACCGAGAAAAAAGAAGAAAAAACATCGTCTTTGGTCAATGCATTGTAGAAAAATACAATTGAAAAAAGATTCTGGTAAATGTTCAAAAAATAAACCTTTTTTATTCATAAAATATATATATATATGTAGTTGGAAAATAATTTTGTTCTATTTCTCACTTTAGGTGCTAATCATGTTCACAATTTTTCACCATGTGATCATCCAAATCAACCATGTGACAATTCATGCCCTTGTATTCAAGCTCAAAATTTCTGTGAAAAATTCTGTCAATGCAGTACCGAATGTCAAAATCGTTTTCCTGGCTGTAGATGTAAAGCTCAATGTAATACTAAACAATGTCCTTGTTATTTAGCGGTACGAGAATGTGATCCAGATTTATGTCAAACTTGTGGAGCTGATCAATTTCATATTACAAAAATATCTTGTAAAAATGTTAGCGTACAACGTGGACTTAGTAAGCTAGTATTTTTTTTCTAAATATCTTCCAATTGTAGTTAATTAATCATTTTTTTTTCATCTATAGACAAACATTTACTAATGGCGCCATCAGATGTAGCAGGTTGGGGAATCTTTTTAAAAGAATCAGCAGGAAAAAATGAATTTATCTCTGAATATTGCGGAGAAATAATAAGTCAAGATGAGGCCGATAGACGAGGCAAAGTCTATGACAAATACATGTGCAGCTTTTTATTTAATCTAAATAATGGTAAACAATATTTTTCAATTGAAATTTCAATTTTCTTAATTTATTGTCGCTAAACAAAATTAATTGTCGTTAGATTTTGTTGTCGACGCTACTAGAAAAGGGAATAAAATAAGATTTGCGAATCATTCTATAAACCCAAATTGTTATGCCAAAGTTATGATGGTAAATGGTGATCATAGAATTGGTATTTTTGCGAAAAGGGCAATTCAACCTGGCGAAGAATTGTTCTTTGATTATAGGTAACTAATCAATATTAGTAATAGCTAAATCATATTAAACATTTTTTTTTTTTTTGCCTTCTGTAAAAAATATTAACGGGCATTTAATTTTTTCAGATATGGACCAACTGAACAACTTAAATTTGTTGGCATTGAACGTGAAATGGAATTTCTATAATTTAAATTAGAGCTGTGCAAAAATCAAATTGAATTGCTCAGTTCAATAAATGCTCTATTTTAAATGTATATTTAAATTATTGATTTGTTTTAAGACTATTTTAATGTTTTATTAAAAAAAAAAAAAATGTATTCGTACATTTTCGATTAAATTATGCTATTAATTAAATTATACTTTTAAATAAATTATATTTTTAATCATATAATTATTAACATTAAATATACAATATAACAAAATATTTAAATACACTGTCTTTTTATTAAACCCTTGAGAAAACTTTTTATAAACATAGGGTGCGGAATTAAGAATTATATAATTACGTTAATTCAATTTCATAATAGGGCGTATATAATTAAGTTAAGTTAATTAATTGATAAAAAAAAAAATTATTTAATTTATATTTTGTATATATAGTAGATGTTAATAAAAAAAATGTCAAAAAAGAAAAATCATTTTGAAAATCCATTTTAATAGGGACCGTTGAACTTAAAGTATTATTAACATCGCATGCTTGCGAGAGTTATTTTGAACACACTATAGAAAAGCACAAGCTCAAGATAGGGTCGCTCTTTCCAGCCACCAGTTGCAGTCGCGACCGCGAAAGCGGGCCGACAACAATTTGTTCAACTCGTTTATTTGACTAAATTTTCATCAACTATTTAAAACATAAAGAAAAATTTAATCTCTCAATTATTTTATTACAATGAACTTGTTAAAGAAATTTGAATTTTTTATAAAAAAAATTTTATAATTTTATTTCATATGTGTTTTGTGGAGAAATTGAGTTTTTTTTTTTCTTTAATTTTCAAAATGAATTTAAATAATTTTTAACGGTGTGATTTTTAGTGATATACAGAAAAGAAATAATTACAAAAAAGTCTGTGAATAAATCATAAGTATGGAAAACGTCATTTTTGGAGTAGAAGGTAAAAAAAAAAGTGCAAAATCTTAATTTATTTTATCTACTCTTTTTTTTCATTAATTTAAAATAATATTACTCAAATAAAAATTATTATATGTGAGAAATTTAATTTCAAAATGTTGAAAGTTGTTAGAAAAACATTGAGCATGATATTTGTTTAGAAAATTTTGATGGAATTTACTTTGCACCGAATCGAATAGTTTCAAAGCCTTGAAATTCCATTGCCTATATATATCTATATGAAATCCCTATCATATACATTTGATATGATTTTTCCTCATCTTTTCCACTAAATTTGCATTCATATATTACATTTCATTGATAAGAAGCTACATCTTAGATTCGTCCTTCGATATCCTATGTATAATTTTTTTTTTTTTTTAAACTTATTCTTATCGAGATTTCCTTTTTCTTCGTAAGGGAAGAATATTGAGACGAAACATCAGATAAAAGGGATTACTATTTTTATCTGAGAAATACATTCTCCAACAACTTTTAAAAAGGACAATAAATTTTGTGTACTTCATTTTTCTTTTTTCATATTATTAAAGATAAATTAAAATTTTCTTGTACGATCTCTTTTGAATTTAGTTTTAAATTTTAATTGAAAAGGAGTTATAAATAATTCAATAAATGTGACATCAGGTGACATGAAGTTTTAGATGAAATTCAAACTACATTTTCAACATGAAAACATTTCGCACAACTACGCCTCGGGTTATCATTTAATAAATAGTAGAGAAACTTGTTCATATAAACAAACGTCAAAATTCAGAAACTTGACTTTTTACATATTTCTCTTTTTTAAAAATTCAATTTGGATTTTTGTGCATTATTAATGATTTCATGAAAAATTGACTTAACTAGAAAGCAAATCCCTTTTAAGTTAGCGTTACAAGAGTAAGTGAACTAATTATTAAAATTATATTCTTTTTGAAAGTCGCGGATAAAATTACTCAGAACTCTGGGAATGAGATTATTTTAATGTTTGCTGACTTACTTATTAAAAACAATAAAGAGGGATGAATGTAGAAACAGCATAACAGAATGTGCTTATTGCCTGTCAATACCAGGTACAACTGGCACACTTCCTATCTAGTTTAAATAATGTCACTATTCATGATATATTTGAAATTTTACCACGTTTTATATTTTCACACATTGTACTAAATTTTTCAATTTAAAAATTATCATCAACATTTTTAAGTTGGCAATTTATTTTTAAAATTATTTTTTACGAAAGTTAAATAATTTTACTAAATACCCCCACAGCATCGAAACTTTCCTAAATATATTTCCTAAAGATTTATTTGAAATGTTTGGAATATTTAATTGCAATGTTTAGTGAAAATTGTGTAAAGATTTAAATGTCCCACTTGAATAAATGTTTAGCGCAAAACTTTCCTGAACATTTAAATGAAATTTTCGCATAATTATAATTATAATTACACTGAAAAAAAAATTTATTTAATTCAAATACTCGATTACTTGGACTATTATCAAATAAATATTTATTTATATCAAATAATTATTATTTGAGTCAATTAAATGTTATTTGTTTCAAGTACAGAAATTATTGGTTCAAATACAATTTATTTAATTGAAATAAAAATTATTTGGTTCAAATAAATATTTATTTGATAATACTCAAGTAATCGAGTATTTGAATCAAATAAATTTTTTTTTCAGTGTAGGGGAAAATTTCATTTAAATGTTTAGGAAAGTTTCACAAAATTTCACATACTAAACATTTATTTAATCGGGACATTTAAATCTTTACACAATTTTCACTAAACATTGCAATTAAATATTCCGAATATTTCAAATAAATCTTTAGAAAATCTTTAGGAAAGTTTCGATGCTGTGGGGTGTAATTTGTAATTAGAAAATTAAATTACAATAACAATTGTTCAGTACCAATTCATAATTGTAACTTTGTTTCAAATTGAACATGAAATCTCAGAGACTAAATTAGATAATAATCAAATTTAGTCATTGGCTAACGAAAATCACTCGAAATTAAGGACTTACACGATAACACGAATTTAATATACTTTTTGTAATAGTATATGAAATTATTTAACATCAAAGAAAACTTCACTTTCAATGATGAGATTAGTATAATATATAAGAATCCATTAATGCAATTTGCAAAATCCTAATCGAATATCGATTTTTTATAATTGCAATTAATAATTTTCAAAGCTAACATTAATTTTAGAATTTAATAGACAAAAAATAATACGAGCATATAATTTCCTTCCTGTATAGATTTCATATTTCATTATAAACATTAATAACGTCAAATGCACTTTCTTGATAAGATTTTTTTTTCTGTATTTAACGTGCAATCAATTTTTTTAAAGTTTCATTATTCTTCTATAAATTATAAAAAATTTATAAAAAAAAATTTAGAGGATCACAACATTAATAATCATAAATTGAACTTGAACTACACTTAAAAACAATTGAGACACTGACCTTCTATTCGTCAATTATCAGTAAGCAACAGAATCGTCAGCAATGATACTTGGTGCTTGACGTTAATATATATATATATATATACAAACGGAAAGAGATAAAATTATCTACCAGCCTTGAAAAGATTTTGTCGAAAAAAGAAAATTAAGAAAGGAGCTCATTAATACACAAAACTTTCCTTATAAAAAATAAAATAAAAAAAGAATCTTTTTCATTGCCAATTCGAGTTTTTTCTAATTAGTTTCTGTTGGGAGACAATTTTTTTTTTTTTTAATTGCTGAAGGATTTACAAAACCATGCTAATTGAAAAGCCTTTTTAATTATCTTCTTTGATTCCTTATATAAAATATTTAAAAATATATTCAGTTGAATTTTTTTTTTATAAATCTAGTATATTTAATCGAACTCGTGGAGTAAATTGAAAAAGGAAGCAAGAACAAAACTAAACAAGAAAATCTTTTTCTTTCAAAATAGTTTACATTGGCTTTTTGCCAGAGATTTCAACTACAGATAGCTTTCGTCTAAAGTTACTAAGATATTAATTTCAAAAAAGGTACAAAAAAAATTAATATAAAAATTGTTTTAATAAATGTCAATTTAAAAAAAATGGTATTGAATTTTTTTTTTTTAATTAAACTTTTTCAATGAATATGTAACGAAATTAAATGAAATTCTTTTTTTTCTCATCAAATTTAAAAGAGTTGACGTCAGCTTTTATATAAATTTTAACTATGAATAAATAAAATTTTTGAAATTATATATAAAAAGCTAAAATTGGAGAATTCTAAAATACAAATGATATTTGTGACACTCTTATATATAGCTATTAATAAATAGAGTGCGTGTTCCTCACATCGATTTACTAGTAAGCTTTTAGAACGCATCTTAGACAATCGACCTTATTTCCTTTTGTGGGAGAATGTATACAGTTGTATACATAATAAAAACAAAAAACTAATTAGAATCTAAATTAGAATCCACAAATGAAGTCAGTTTTATTCAAACATTTTATTAAATTTTTCTTTACTAAATATTTTTGACTAACCCCTTTTGAAAATATATTTTCAAAGTTTAATTCCCCTAATTTTATACTTATTTTTATTTTTAAAAAAAATTGTAAAATATTAATTAAACTATTCAAATTTTTCATAAATTAGTAATTAAGAATGCATTCTACATTGTAACAAGCGTGTTTAATGAAAAAGCGTTAGGAAAGTAATTTTATTCATCTCTTTTGTTTCAGTGACTCATTTCTCATTTTTAACTTAATTAAAAATATATTAAAATGTTGAAAGAAAAATATTTTCAAAAAGATAATTATTTTTTTTCTTTTATTTATTTTTATTATAGATATATTTATCATATTTGAATTAAAACTCAGTATATAGGATGATAAATAAGTAGCAGCTGCTTAGACGAGATTGCCAAATATTACGAACTATTTAGCATATATAACTTTCCCGAAATAGTTGGAAAAAAATTTGACTTAATCATATTCTCTAACATAAAGAAATTTTAAAAATAAATTAATTCTGTTTCAAATTATAAATTTCAATTTAAAAAAATAGTTTTTTTTCAAGCTTGTTAAAACTACACAAAAGAGGAAAATAAAAGCAAAATGTTAAAAAAAAAAAATTATTAAAAATATTAGAATAAAAATTCACTGTACACGAAAGTATAAAATCTTATCTTTTTTATACTATACATTTGGAGGTACTGTTTAAAATTTAGCCCCTTTTAAAAAAAATTCCAATTACAATTTGCATAATCATAATATAACTTATTTTACTTTTTTGAAAATTAGAAAATCAAATAAAGAGACTTCTGAATACAATTTAATGTTTGCCTCATCAAAAGAAAATGTCCCCTTTTTTCTGCATTGTTAAAGTTTAACTTTTACACTTTGAAACCTTAACGTGAATCTTATAAACGAAACAGCTTTTCATGGTGAAAGCGCATCCTTAAATGGTTTTCTTTAAGAGCCTGAAGCTTTGTAGTATATTGAACAACTGATAGAAGGACTTTTATTGTATAAACAATATAGAATCACTTTTATCTGTATAAAAATAATAATAATAATTATAATAGGATTTTTTAAATAGAGAAAAAAAATTTACTGATGCGACAGACAAATTACATGGATAGCAATTAGATTTTAATTAATATACTTAATAATTAGCTCTCACGAGAAGACACGCGTTATAGCTATACTAAACTTTCTAAATATGTATATAAATAATTAAAATTCTTCCTTTAGGAAACAAAATTAACATAATCCAAAATTAGTTTATGATTAAAGTACTAATTTTTTTCTGATAATGTTGAAAAAAGTGAGATTTAGTCTCTGTATGAGAAAAAAGAGGCTGTATTTATTTGACGAAATAGATTAATATGAGATATAAAAGAAACAGAAATAACAATTTTAATTAAATCATTAATCAAACTATACCCTCTAATGATTCGAGAAACGTTGTGATAAACGTGTGGTCCACCAACAAATTTCGATACTAGAATTGGAAATCTGTGGATAGCAAAACCAATTTTAAGAAATGAAAGACAATTTCTCTCCTATAATTATTCTCATTACTAAACAACATTTCCTGATTAATTTTAAGAATGTTATTTTTTAATCAAAAAAAAAACTAATTTTCGAATTTTGAATCTGGCACATTGAAACTTTCAGCTCTTCGTTAACTTGTAATATACAAGCTCCAAGTAATGTAACAAACTGATGATTTAGTTATAAGAGTCATAAATTAATTTGACTTTCTCATCCTATGGCAAGTTGTGTTACTAGTTTCAGTTCAAGTCTATAGTCACTTCGTTCAGTCTACAAGATATTCCTAAACTTTATAAAATAATACACGCCCCCTTGTTTGCAATTAGAATCATCAGAATCCAGATAATCGGAATTTAATCTCATTTTAATTTTCATCAAAAAATTCCAACCAAAAAAAAATTCAAATCCCAAAAATTTAAATAGAATTTATCATTAGTTTTTACATTTTTTTCATTTTGTTAAAATACGAATTTAATACAAGTATTTTATATAAAATACTTGAAACTTCAAAGTGTAATAAAAAACAAATTTTTCTTTTTGGGATAGAAACGTTCATATTTTAAATAATATATATATATATATATATATATATATATATATATATATATACATGTATGACTATACTTTTGTTCAGTCTGACCACATTATCCACTTGTTTTAACAATAGATTTCAAACCTACAATAGTCCTGTCACGCAAATAACAAAAACTCTCTACTACAATTCACGATAAGAGGGTGCTTTTGAAGTTTATATACGAGACCGGAAACATTAAACCACAATTAAAGATATAAAAAAAGTAAAAATTGTTTTAACTGAATTGTATCGTTTTCATTTAATTTTATTCTATCTTTTTAAAAATTTTATTCTCTTTTTATCACAATTGTTTTCCTTTCATTTTCCTCTATATAATTCAGTATGTTTCACGATATTCATTACTTTTTTTTGTGATAGGGGCCATCTATAAATTACGTTGCACTATTTTTCACCATTTTCGACTCCCCCCCCCTCCCTCATGTTGCACATTTTGCGCCATTTTTTCTATTGAATGTTGCAAATTTTTGTCCCCCCCCCTCCTCTTCAAACGCAACGTAATTTATGGATGGACCCAATAGTTTCTTAATTTCAAAAATTTCTTTAAAAAAATTAAAGCCGTCGAAATGAACGCAAATTTTTCTGAGTGACTTCCTAGACCTTGGTGTAAAACGTTTTGTCACTATCAAAAAATACAACTAAATTTTTTGTAATAAAATTTTTCCAATAAATTCAAATTATTTACCTTAATGACGAATTTTCAGCTTCAAGGAGATTTTATTTCAAACTAAATAGCCCTTGGAGATCCCTACTTTCAAGTTAAATTTCCATTCGGAAAATGTGAAAAATAACCGTAAAAATAGACCGAGTTCTAAAAAGTTTGCGTGAATTTTGTGTCCTTCCTTTTGCCCTTATCTTTTGAAGTACGTGACACCACAAGCCATCGAGGATAGAATCTGTAAAAATAAAAATTTTAAATTTAATTTTCAAATTTGCCAAAAATAAATATGGCATCAAGACTTAACCTACTCTCTAAATCTGAATTAGTAAAAATGTTTACTAATTTAAATTAGTGAATTACTTTTTGCTTTAGAATTAGTTAAATTTTACTAATTGTTAGTAAAAGTTACTAATAATTAGTAAAATTTTACTAATTCAGAAGCAAAAAGTAAGTCACTAATTTAAATTAGTAAACATTTTTACTAATTCAGATTTAGAGAGTAAAGTAATAACATAAGACTAATTTGAAATAATTGCACAAAACTGCAATTTTCTTATTCGTTAGCTGAGTCATAATTTTTTAAAAGACAAGTTTAAATAAAAAAAAATTATACGATGTATAACAGAAACCTCATAAAATTAACCAAGCAAATCAGACCTAAAACAACCATCTGGGAGAAATAGATGAAAGCCTGATGCATATATATATATATATATAAATGCAAACATTTCCAAATAGTTTATTTTTCTTTTTTATAGGCGGCCCTGGAGAAGGAGCAGATGAAGGTGGAAATGTTAAGGAATTGCAAGAACTTAGAAATAGATACGAAGGAAAGTTGACAGCATCACTCTACACAGGAATTTTCACGGTGTCTGTGGTTGCCACTCTTTCAGCACTCATTGCCTTGTTCATTTTTCACTCAGATGTACGTTTCAAATTTCAGATAATAGCTTTCAAGCTAAGTGATGCATATTATATATATATATATATAAAGTTTCACTTCGTTATGTCAATTTTTATTTTTTTTTGACATTTCATGAACACACTTTACTCTTTTTGAAAACTTGCATACAGGATATATTTATGCAATTATAGAAATTTGTCATCATAAACTTGTATGATGCAGTTCTTCATATATGTATAAATTCAGAAACGTGATAAAATAATAATAGAGGTTGTTAAAGTCATGAGTAATGATCATATATATATATATATATATATATATATATATATATATATATATATATATTCCTCACTCACAATTTAATGAGTTTCTGATAAAATATAATAATATATTATAAAAGACTAACATTTTTTTGAAAATATTGTTTAAATTATTTTTATAAAATTTCTAGTCATTATTATGTGAGATAAATAAGTTTTGCTAATAATGTTCAAGATCGATCCAAGTTGTGGACAGTATAAACTATATATGATATATAATCCACACAACTTAAACATCCCTCAAAGTTTTGTCAAATTTCCTGTCAACATAATCCATAGATGAATGAATACCCTCAAGGCAATCATGTCGCAGGGACTTTATTAAACACAATTTCTCGAAAATCGATTATATATATATATATAACAGTATCATCCCTTATTAACAAGTTATAAATTCTATAAAACCTTATTAAAAGTATGTAAAATGGCATTAAATGAAAAAACTGGAAATATTTTAAAATATACCAGTTTTTCCCACTTTTAATTCTATTATGTCGTAATTTATGAAAATCAATTTTTATCCCAAATTATGATTAATATCTAATACATTTTTTCCTCAATTTTTCTCATTGTTGGTTTTTAGTTTCGATACAATTAATAATAGAAAAACAGTTTTCCTAAAGTATCAAATTGAGACCAAAAATTGCATCAAATCTTTGCAACGTTTTGATGCACATAAGTTATATCAAAAAGAGATCGTTTTGTGTATCATTTTTAGAAATGATACACGAAACGGTCTCATTTTTTGATGCAAAAAATTTAATCAATTTATATCAATCATGGCCGAATTGAATCGACTCAAAATTAAACGAATTTTTTTCAGATATTTTGGTAATAGTACAATTGCGGAGACCATTTCACTATTTAATTTGAAAATGAAAATAACAGAAAATCAAAGACAATGTGCAATTCGATAATTAAAAAGTGACAGCTTATAAACATAACCTAAAATGCATGAGAAAAAATTTGTCGATAAAATCAATATAGCCGAGCTTTTTAGAAGGTAGATGGCAGCACTTATCTATTTTCTTTCTTTAAATTTTTTCTGAATCGTTTTTATAAAAAGCAAAACTGCCATCTACCTTCTAAAAAGCTCGGCTATATTGATTTTATCGACAAATTTTTTCTCATGCATTTTAGGTTATGTTTATAAGCTGTCACTTTTTAATTATCGAATTGCACATTGTCTTTGATTTTCTGTTATTTTCATTTTCAAATTAAATAGTGAAATGGTCTCCGCAATTGTACTATTACCAAAATATCTGAAAAAAATTCCTTTAATTTTGAGTCGATTCAATTCGGCCATGATTGATATAAATTGATTAAATTTTTTGCATCAAAAAATGAGACCGTTTCGTATATCATTTCTAAAAATGATACAAAAAACGATCTCTTTTTGATATAACTTATGTGCATCAAAACGTTGCAATAGAAAAAGATGCAACCAAGTTTACTGTGTGTTAAAAGCTCTGCGGAAATTAAGAACAAACGTCTAACTTTGTCAAAAGTAGCCTTACCAAATAGCACGTAATCTTGCAGCAATCTTGCGGCAAGCTTGCGGCAAGCTTGCCGCGCAATATTGATAACCTTGCACGGCAAACTTGCCGCAAGCTTCAAATGTCCCACCTGACTCAAGCATGAATGGTAAGCTTACCGAAAGATTACTCACTAAGCCTACCGAAAGATTGCAGTACAAGGTTACTGCAAGAGTGCACAATAAGATTATCGCAAGATTGCTCAGTAAACTTTGCACCAATCTTGCTACAAGCTTACCGTGCAAGTTTACTGAGCAATCTTGCGATAATCTTATTGTGCAATCTTGCAGTAACCTTACACTGCAATCTTTTGGTAGGATTACTTGAGCAAACTTACCGCAAGTTTACCATGCAAGCTTGAGTTATGTGGGACATTTAAAGCTTGCCGCAAGTTTGCTGCAAGTTTATATGCTATCTGGGTTATTATCTCGAGTGTAATGTATGTATTAATAAGTTTTGAATTATTTGATAATGATAACCCAGGTGAAACGATTCTACGGAAACTACTCCACGGAAATTCCGTACGGAATTCCGTAAAAATTATATACGGAATTCCCCAAAAATTTCCGCAAAATTTTTGAAAGAAGTTCTTTTGTAATTTTGCGAATTTTTTATAAGAATTACACACATAATCTCTATACAGAATTGCACAAAATTTTTGTTAGAATTTCACAACTGTACACTGAAAAAAGGGACGCATGAAAATGCACCACCTGTCATTTGTCGGAATAGTCATTTAACAGAAAGACAAATATCAGAAACGCCAATTAACGGAATTGTCATTTGACTGAATTGCCATATAACAGAAATGCAACTTAACGGAGTCGCTACTTAACCGACGTGTCAAATAACAGAAATGTCACATAACCAAAATGACAAGTAACCAAAATGACAAGTAACCGAAATGTCAATAAACGGAATTGTCAATTAACAGAAATGTTATTTGACAGAAACAACAATCAACGGAAAAGACGCTTAACCGAACTGTCAGCTAATAAAAACGTTAGGTTACGAAAATGACACATAACCAAATTGTCATTTAACGGGACAGTCATTTAACAGATTTGTCATTTAACGAAATTAACAGTTAACAGCACAGTCAGTTAACACAATTGGCATTAAACGGAATTGACATTTAACTCAATTGTCAGTAAACGGGATTGTCAACTATCAGACTTGACATAAAAAAGAATTGCCATGTCACGAATTTGGCATTTAACGAAATTGTTTAGTAACGGAATTGTCATTTAACGAAATTGTCATTGCACGTAATTGTCATGTAACAGAATTGCTAATTAACGGAACTGTCAGTTAACAGTAATGTCAGTTAACAGAATAGTCATTTAACGGATTTAATATTTAACGAAATTGTCATTGACTGGAATTATCAGTTAACAGCAATGTCAGTTATCGGAATTGACATTTAACAAAATTGACAGTTAACGCTATTGTCGTTTAACGGAATTGTCATTTAACAGAATTGCAGGTTAACTGAATTGCCAGTAAACGGAATAGACATTTAACAGAATTGTCGTTTAACGGAATTGTCATTTAATGGAATTGTCAGTTAACGGAATTATCAATTAACGGAATTGACATTTAACGAAATTTTCTTTTAACGAAAATGTCATTTAACGGTATTGACATTTAACGGCATTGTCATTTATCAGAAATGTCATTTAACAGAATTTACATTTAACGAAATTGTTATTTAACAATATAGTCATGCAACCAATTTGTCATTTAACGGACTTGTCATTGAACAGAATTGTCATTTAACGGGTTTGACATTTAACGCAAGTGTCAGTTAACAGCAATGTCAGTTAACGGTAATGTCATTTAACGAATATGTCAATTAACGGGATTCTTATTGAACAGAATTGTCAATTAACGGATTTGACATTTAACAGATTTGTCATTTAACGAAATTGTCTTTTAACGGATTTGTCATTTAGCGGATTTGACATTTAACGGATTTGACATTTTACAGAAATGTCTTTTAACGGATTTGACATTTAACAGATTTGTCATTTAACGAAATTGTCTTTTAACGGATTTGACAATTAACTGAGTTGCCATTTATCGGATTTCACAGTTAACGGATTTGTCCATTAACGGAATTGTCTTTTAACGGATTTGTCATTTAGCGGATTTGACATTTAACGGATTTGTCATTTAACAGAAATGTCTTTTAACGGATTTGTCACTTAACAGACACTATTTTAGTATGTGAGTTTACACTCTATCGAATCTATAGTTACATTTAAATTTCGCGCGATTTTATAACAAAACTAAAACTATAGATTCAATAGAGAGTAAACTCACATAATAAAATATTATCCGTTAAGTTTCAAATCCGTTAAAAGACATTTTTGTTAAATGTCAAATCCGCTAAATGACAAATCCGTTAAAAGACAATTCCGATAATTGACAAATCCGTTAAATGTCAATTCAGTTAATTGACAAATCCGTTAATAGACAATTTCGATAAATGACAAATCTGTTAAATGTCAAATCCAAAATTGACAATTCCGTTTAATAAGAATCCCATTAATTGACATATCGGTTAAATGACATTTCCATTAACTGATATTGCTGTTAACTGACAATTGCGTTAAATGTCAAACCCGTTAAATGACAATTCTGTTCAATGACAAGTCCGTTAAATGACAAATTGGTTTCATGAATATATTGTTAAATAACAATTTCGTTAAATGTAAATTCTATTAAATGACATTTCTGATAAATGTCCATTCCGTTAAATGTCAATTCCGTTAAATGACATTTCCGTTAAAAGACAATATCGATAAATATCAATTCCGTTGATTAATAATTCCGTTAGTTGATAATTCCGTTAACTGACAAATCCATTAAATGACAATTCCGTTAAACGACAATTCTGTTAAATGACAATTCCGTTTAACGAAAATTCCGTTAAGCGACAATAGTGTCAACTGACAATTTTGTTAAATGTCAATTCCGATAACTGACATTGCTGTTAACTGATAATTCCAGTCAATGACAATTCCGTTAAATATTAATTCCGTTAAATGACTATTCCGTTAACTGACATTACTGTTAACTGACAATTCCGTTAACTAGCAATTCTGTTAAATGACAATTACGTTCAATGACAATTTCGTTAATTGACAATTCCGTTCAATGATAATTCCGTTGGATGGCATTTCTGTTAACTGATATCGCTGTTAACTGGTAATTCCGTTAAGCAACTATTCCGTTAAATTTTAATTTTATTAAATGACAATTCCGTTAATTGACAATTCTGGTAAATGACAATTACGTTATAACTGACAATTTTGTTAAATGACAATTTCGTTTACTGACAATTCCGTTAAATGATAAATTCGTGAAATGTTAATTCTTTTGAATGTCAAGTCTGATAGTTGACAATCCCGTTTACTGACAATTGAGTTATATGTCAATTCCGTTTAATGCCAATTGTGTTAACTGACTGTGCTGTTAACTGTTAATTTCGTTAAATGTCAAATCTGTTAAATGACAGTCCCGTTAAATGACAATTTGGTTATGTGTCATTTTCGTAACCTAACGTTTTTATTAGCTGACAGTTCGGTTAAGCGTCTTTTCCGTTGATTGTTGTTTCTGTCAAATAACATTTCTGTTAATTGACAATTCCGTTTATTGACATTTCGGTTACTTGTCATTTTGGTTATGTGACATTTCTGTTATTTGACACGTCGGTTAAGTAGCGACTCCGTTAAGTGGCATTTCTGTTATATGGCAATTCAGTCAAATGACAATTCCGTTAATTGGCGTTTCTGATATTTGCCTTTCTGTTAAATGACTATTCCGACAAATGACAGGTGGTGCATTTTAATGCGTCCCTGAAAAAAATTCAGCCGAAATCCTCAACTGCCTTTAGTTAACTGACTTGAAAGTAGTAAAAGTAACTACTTTTTTGGCTATTTTAACTATGTGCGTGTAGTCAATTTAACTATTTTTTATAGAGTTAAGAATTAGTAGTTAATTGTACTTAACAAAAGTAGTTAAATCAACTTCAAAAATTAGAACAACTACAAAATCTCCTTGACCCAACTAAATTCTTAGTTCTTTTAACTACTTTTTAATAGTCCATACAACTTTTTAAATTCAGTTAAGGACCTATTGAACTATACAGGGTAGTTAAAAAGTAGTCAAATCTACTAGTTTTTTTATTGAGTGTATTTTTTACTGATTTTTTTGTAAATTTAAAATAACTGCTGGTGGATACACTGAAAAAAATTAGTCGAGAAATTCAACTACCATTAGTTAGTTGACTGAAAAATAGTAAATTTCTTTTGGAAAACGTTTTATTGACCTCTCAAATAAGTTCGACTAGATATTAATTACTCTATCATAAATTCTATATTATATCCACCAGGAACATCATCGTCGACTAGTTTTCGTTATAGTAGCAGCAGTTATTTTAAAATCACAAAAAAATCAGCAAAAAATAAAGTTGTGGAATTTTATTGAAAATTTTCTGCAATTCTGTATGGAATTCTTCCAAAAAAATTCGCAAAATTACGAAAGGAATACTTTCAAAATTTTGCAGAATTCCGTATAGAATTTTTGCGGAATTCCGTATGGAGTTTCCGTGGAGTGATTTCCGTAGAATCGTTTCACCTGGGAAAAAACAAGAAACAAGTTATTTTTTTCAAGTAGAAAATATTCGTTCCAATTAGAATGAATGAAAAATAAATTGAAATCATCAATTATATTTTATTCTGTTAAAGGATAAATTAGATATGTTGCATATAGCAACACTGACAACAATGTTACTGTCATCGGTGATTCTTTTAATTATAACGCAATTTCCATCAACACTGAGCAGTACTCGCACGAGACTCATCTTAGGATCAATATCATCCGCCATCCTCGGATTAGGAGTTTTAATAATGGGAGGAGCGATACCAGCTTTTTGCAGCACTATCGCTATTGTCGCCGCTTTTCCAAGGATCAAGAAACATCGACCATCGATTATAGGCTATGTTCCAGTCATTCTCTACATAGCAAAAAGTTTCGTTATTCTCGATTTCGCCAATTATTATCAGGTTAATGAACTTTTAATTGCTTCTCTAATATTCATACGTGTCTGCAAATTATTGAGCACCTAATTTTAGTCGGAAATTTTGACATCAGCTTTAGCTTACAATTAGCAAAGGTGGTTGAAAAACGAAACTAAAGAATGTAAATAAAAAATATTATTATTATTGTTAGTGAACTATTTTTTCTGCAGATAGCAGGCGACACATTTCTGCTATTGGCAGCTTTGGTAGCAGGATTCTATTACAGGATTCTCACGGCACGGGCGCAACGTCGAACATTTTCTGGAACGAAAACTGTAATCGATTCTCGAATAAAACTTGAATGTGAGAGAGAGCAACAGGAGCAATTATTGCTCAGCGTGATTCCAGCCTACATTGCTGCGGAGGTTAGTTGTATAAATAATTCCAGAAATTACAGAGCAGAGTACGTTTGGAGGCGAACATAAAGTCCATTTACCATTCTCAGAACTTTAATAAAAACTGATATGATTCTATCTACACAATCAACGTGAGATATGAATTAAGCAATTTTGAATTTCAATTTTCTATTTGGATATCTAATCAGTTATGTGATTAATTTGCAAAAATTAAAAAAGAAATATAATTATATCAGATCTAAGGCAAAATTTTATTTGTATGTTACTTCTAATATTTCCTCCTTTTCCTCTGTTGCACCATCCAAGTATATAAAGCTCCTAATAAATTTCTCCTTTATGGTCCGCACAATGTGGTTAGTATCAAAACCTCCATACCTTCAGAATACTAAAGTTTGCCGTAATTTTCTTTTCAAAGTATAAGCATACTTTTTTTTTTTTTTGCAAAATAAATCATGGAAATTATTCTATTTTTAAAAATTCAAATTATTATTTAAACTTTTAACAAATTAGTGGACTAATTTGTTTTTTAAGGTGAAACGAAGCATAATGTTGAAGATGGCCGATGCCTGTCACGAGGTTAGTAAGCACAAACAAACCAGATTTCATGAGATGTATGTCCAACGTCACAATAATGTCAGGTGAGTATATAATTTATTCAACAAGCAGCGTTCATTATGTTATGGCAAAGCTCAGAGGCGCGGTGATGCATCATGTGCAATGAATCGTTAAAGTTCTGTGGCTTTGTTCTTAACGCGATGCATGCTCTATAGGGATTTCTCAACTTTTATCCGAGGGAAATATACACATTCTTGCATAATTCAATAATTCCAAATGGTATCAAAAACTAAATCAAATTTATATCCACTGTGTATTTTATCCCAAGAGAAAAAAAGCGTTTCTATTATTACGGTACTGAATTTCTTTCGACTTTAGGATTTAAAGTGGAGCAAAAATTTAATAGATTTTTAACAATTTTCTGAAAACATTTTTTTTTTAATTGTTATTCTAGTTCTTTCTCGGATATAAATAATTAATACATCAAAAAACTGAAATTCAATACTTTAAACAAAGTTTAAAAAATGAATATATAATATGGATTGCGAACTATCTTTAAAGTAGAAAAAAAAATTTTCCAGCATACTTTATGCAGACATCGTAAATTTTACGCCATTATCGGAGCAACTCACCGCTTCGGATCTTGTGAAAACTCTGAATGAGCTTTTTGGAAGATTCGATCAAATCGCTCAGGTGAGCAATTTTAAATAATAATCGTTTTTACGCTTTCAAGTAAATTTTTAAAAATTTTCATTTGCAAATTTTATACACGTGCTTATCATCAATCAAACTTGTATATTTAATGAATACGTTTCCAATATCAATGTCATCTGTCTTAAATCGCTCTCACATTGCAAGGCATCAGTTTACAAAGTTTTCTGAACTAGAGATGACATTGAAATCAATCTATTTTCCCTCTTCCCATTTCATTGGTTACACACATTGTTACAAATTATGTACAACACATACAAAATTTTCACTAATATAAGAGATTCAATACATAAAAAGATTGATGGATTACCCTACCCATAAAAGGAATTTGTTTGCTTAAAATTTTTTTAATATAACTAAAATGTAATAAGTAGCTCTAATAAGAATTCAATAAAAATATACTATAATTCGTATTATAAAATAAAAAATGTATTTTTAACATTGATACTAAAAATTCCGCAAATACTTTTGCGAACACTGTTGGAAATTTCAGAAACAACTTAGTTACATGTTTCAAATAATTTTGCCACGTTTCATAATCTTCAGAAACTTTTAACTGCGTAAAACTTGAGTTATATCATTCTATTTTCGTAATTTTCAAAATTGTTATGTAACAGAGAAATAAATTAATAATTAATACACTGAGAAAAATATGCTATTGAATCAGCAGAATTTCTGCCAAAGGTATGTAGGAAAAATCGTGGTTTTATGTAAGTTTTAAGTAGCTTGTTTTTAGGCAACCTGTTTGGTTTACGTGCAAATGTAATTCTTCGGAAAATAACGTCTTGCTTTGGGGAATTGGGTGGTGAGTTCGGAGAACTGGTCAGATTTGGGGGGAATTTCGTCGCGATTTTAAATGATCGGCCCTCTAGTTCTCATCCTCATTTTGCCTATTAAATTCGAAGGGAAATTTCCGCGCCATACGAGAAGTCCGACGCCGAAGACCTCGAGGTAAAATTATATAATTTCTGACTACGGTTTTTTTTATATTTCTTTTTATTTAATTTGTTTTCTGGATCATTTAGTTATTTTATTTTATTTTTGTAAATGTGAATAGTGTGGCGCTTTTGCTTATTATTTCAATGTGGGCGGAAAATAGTCAGGCGCTTTCGGAAATCCATAAGGGAGAACTGGACGGGCGATCAATTTTTTTACAACTACAAAAGAAGGACGAAATAAGGTTCTATTGAATTGATATGATAATATAAGGAGGAAAATATATTTGTTATGAGTATTGTTTAATTTGTCTATGCATATGCATCTTATTTATTTAATTATTTTTCTTAATTTGTGATTTGCTTTTCTCTGTCTCTAATCTTGATTTTTATTATTAATTGACGTATGTATGAATGTGTGTTTGTATTTAACGCGGACAGGATTTGTGAACATATTTTTTTTGTTATAATCGACTCGAGTCAAATTAATAAAATATCTAATACCTGATTTTCTATTATTTAATTTGTGAAATTGTTTTTATTCAATGTTTAATATTTTTTATCTTTTTATATTTTATCGTGATTTTTTTTAATCTATTATTTTAAGTATAAATTTGTTACAGGTATAAAAATTATCATTATTCAAAAGCAAATGCTATAGAATTTGTAAAATATTTTATAGATTCTATAGCACATGATTTTGAATCAATAATTTTTATACCTTTGGCAGAAATTGATTCAATAGCATATTTTTCTCAGTGTATAATATCCCATTTTTTCTAGTTTTATTTTATAAATGAAAAATTACTCTAATGAAAGAAACTAAAGTTATCCCTTTTTGATGGTCAAATATTGAATTTTGAGGGGTTGCTATTAAGATTCTTTTCATCAGTCAAAACAGGGTGGAAACTACACCCCGAGAGATTTATTGTCAACTTTTAAGTTTCTCTCCCTTTCAAGGATATGGGAAGAATCTTCTTTAAAGTTACTAATAAAGATCCAACAGTTATAAAATTGTTATCCTCAAGTATATTATCTCGTAAAGTAAAACTTTTACAGTTTACGTTGCGTCCAAGTTCAAATCGAAATAAATGTTTATGTAGACAGTTTATTACAACATCTTAAGAAAAAAAAATTCATGTTCTAGAAAGTAAGGCACTCAACAATATATGAGTTTGTCATGTGAGTTTTACAATATATTAAAAAAAAATAATAATAATTTGCAAAGAGAAATTTCATATTTAAAGATTAGGAATAAATTTAAAAATTCATATACATTTTTTAATGTAGAGTTTATTAACAGTTTTTTAAATATTCTCTATAAAGCAACTTCTATCTATCACTATTCACATCATCAAAGGAAATTCATTCACAGAACAGTTGTTACAGTCAGACAAATGACACATTAGATAATTGATACCTAAAGGTATCCTAATATTACGTATCAATTAATTTTCTAAAAGGTACTTGACATTTGATAAATGATAAGTGAATTGATTTTCCATAATTTAATTCTATATTTGATATTTAGAGGAAAACGTTAATATTATGTACAGGACAATCAATGCATGAGAATAAAAATTCTTGGCGATTGTTACTACTGTGTGTCAGGACTTCCAATTTCGAGGCCAAATCATGCTTATAATTGCGTGAAAATGGGATTGGAAATGATTGAAGCAATAAGGTGAGAAAATAATTTCGAACAAAGAGATATAATTAAATAATTTGGACAAATGTTGTTGTAATTTTCTTTAACAATTGTACATTTTTTTTTCTATAAATATCAACGTTTTCAAAACGTTCTCATATTAACGGAATTTCTTATCTACGCGGGAACACACACTTCTTTGAATTTAAATGAAGACATAACTTTTCATCCATTCTCACTTCAAAGCTTCTAAGAAAGGGGAAAGAAAAGGGAGAAAAACACAAAAGTTCTCTCGTGCAATTTCACACGTGACTTTCTTACCAAAATCTAAAACGACAGCATTTTTCCAAAATCTGATTTATCAATGATTGCGGATTATCTATGTATATATATATATATATATTTCTTTAGATTTGTTAGAGAAGCCACTGGATTTAATGTTGACATGAGAATTGGTATTCATACTGGAAATGTTCTTTGCGGAGTGTTAGGACTTCGAAAATGGCAATTTGACGTCTGGAGTGATGACGTTACTCTGGCTAATCATATGGAAAGCGGCGGATTACCAGGGTAAGTAATAAAATTTTTAATGAATAGAAAATTTGATTTTTTCAAAGAAATCAATCAAATACTTTTAATATATTGTTCATAGAAATCTAAATTACCGACTGATGGTAAAACTGAAAAATAACGATATAAAAAATTACACGGAGAGAAATATATGGTAAGATCTTATTATCTTAAGATGGTTAAAAGTAGATGTTAACCGGTACCACCATTATTCTATTCGGTACCATCAAATATGTTACAAAAAATAAGGTTATGTCACCCACTATAATCAAGATGTTACTCCGTACAATCTGGATAGTAACTGTTAGAATCTAGATAGCTGTCCGTATATGTAAGATCAAATATGGGGGTACTATCTAGATAGTACCCCGTACCATCTATTTCTCTCCATGTACCAATACAGAAACCTACATAACCGACTGTTGGTAAAACAGAAAAATGAAGATATAAAAATTACCGGCACAGAAATCTACATTACCGACTGATGGTAATGCAGATTTATATGTCGGTAATTTTTTATATTTTCATTTTTCCTGCTTTCATCATCAGTCGATAAAGTAAATTTCTGTGCCGATAATTTTGTTTATAATCATTGTCCAGCTTTTACCATCAGTCGATAATGTAGATTTCTGTACCGGTAATTTTTTATATCGTTATTTTCATTTTTACCATCAGAATAGAAAATTTGATTTTTTCAAAGAAATCAATAAAAATAAATAGAAAAATTAAATAGTTGATTTTTTTATGTGACAAAAGTCGAGTACACGTGACAAAAGCAACTCTACTTCAACTTGGAGATCGTTTTCAAGTCGAACCGGGAGAAGGAGAATCACGAGAAAAATATTTAGCCGACCATAAAGTAGAAACATATCTCATTGTACCACCCAAAGTATGTTAAAGTTAAATAATATTTTTATTCAAAAACTTTTTTTTATTTAATGTTCTAAACCAAAATTATGATTTATTTATAGTTAAACATAGTTAAATAAATTAAATAAATAATGTACGTACTATATTCAGTGAAGAATATTTTCTATAAAATGTTTCGATTTCTTTTTTGATCAAAATATATAATTTTTAAAAATTATTTGATTTTAGAAAACAAAAGAAGAAAAAGAATTAAAAAATGGTGATAGAGGACCTGGACCAATACCCTCAAGGTATTAAAAATTCTTCGTGTAAAAGAGAATTGAAAATTTAATTGCCCTGAAGCATGTTATAACAGTGTTAACCAAATACATCGTAACGACCTATCAATGTCAATAAAAAAGTTAAATTAAAAAAAATTTTTTTACTGTAAATCAATATTTTCATACATATACTATATACAATACTGGAATATTTTTTTTAAATAAAAATTGTGATTTCAGATCTAGACCAAGTAGCAAAATGACAAAATTAGGAGAATATTGGGGGGCTGACAAACCATTTGCAAATATTACTGAGAATACTTTAGCAAAAAATATAGGCCTAACAGTGAGTTGTAATTTTATTACAGATAAAATATTTTTGTTTGTAAATTTTTTTACTCAGTTAGAAAAATATGCTATTGAATCAACAGCATTTCTAACAAAGGTACAAAAATTAATGATTCAAAAGCAAATGCTATAAAAGTAAAATATTTTATAGATTCTTTACAGCATATGCTTTTGAATAAATAATTTTTATGCCTTTGGCAGAAATGCTATTGATTCAATAGCATATTTTTCTCAGTGTACAATAGAAATATTAATTATTGTTTGAAACATTTATAAATTCTATAAAAAAAATCTGATAGTTTTTTTTTATCTAATTTTCAGAGTATTGCAATGATCGAATCAAATCTCCTGACAAATCATGCAAACTGCCTAAATGTCAAGTAAGTTGTAATTTTTTTTCTTTAATAACAGGTCTGATTTTGGTGCGGTAAATGTCAAAGCTGTTTTTGATAAGTTTTTTCATGCTGAACAAGAATTCTTAAGGCAAAAAGTTTGTATCAGCTCTAGTTTTTGAGAAAATGGGTTTAAAATGTCAAGAAATCGCGTTTTCCACTTGGAAAAATTCCCCGGAAAGTGCCCCCTGGAGGTTCTATCAGAATTCCGCCGGAACTTCCAACGTAATTCCGTCGGAATTCCATAGGAGTTCCAAAGAATTTCCGATGGTATTCCGACGGAATTCCGATTAATTATTTTCAAAATTTTTAGAGTCCTAATTCCGTCGGAACTCCGTCGGAATTCTGATAGAATCTCCAGGGGGGACTTTTCGGGGAATCTTTCCAAGTGGGTTTGGAAAACTTTTACTCTAGCACTAAAACAAAAGTTCGTAGAACCTTCCACTTGGGCTTAAATTGAAGCTTAATGTTTTTACTACAATCCCCAAAAAGCACCTTTCTGGCAACATTATCTCAATGTCAGTATTACATTTTTGAGTCGCAAAAATTAATTTTAGAAAAGTTTAAGCGCGTACCTCTGGTATTGAAACAAAAGGCCATAGAACCTTTTGTTTGGGCTTAAACTAAAATTTATACTTTAGAATACAATCCCTAAATTTGAGGTTCGCACTCAAATTATTCCAAAATTAATTTTTGCAATTCAAAAATGGATTACAAATGACTTTGTGGTCATGGTATATAAAAGGTGATTTTGGGGATTATGGTTGAAACATTAAGCTTCAATTTAATCCCAAGTGGAAGGTTCTACCTTATTTGTTTCAATGCTAGAGGTACTTAAAGTTTGACAAAAACGCGATTTCTTGACCTTTTAAACCCATTTTTCTCAAAAACTAGATCTAATAGAATATGTTCATTTACGGATTCGTGTTTAGCATGAATAAACCTAAACAGCTTTGAAATTTGACACACCAAAAAAAATTTCTAATTTTGTTGGCCTGTATAATTATCACTATAGTAAAAAAAAATGTTAAAATATAAATAAAAGAAAATTTTACAAAATCAAACCCAGCATTTTTGATAAAGGATTAGTTTATACAGAAGTTGTATATTAAACTTTAGTATCAGATAGAGACGTTGCACTTGCTAATGAGCACAAACAATAGGGAGTTAATTTTGTAAAGAAACATTAAAGACATTATTCATTGACAGACAGTGGTGTGAAGGTAGAGAAGGAATGTCTACTCTGACATATTGGTTTAATGAAACAAACCAAGAGGATCACTATAGAGAACAAAAAGATGAACAATATCCTTGGTATGTGACAATTAGTAATGTCATATACTGCGCAATGTTTTTCGTTCAAGTCATTTATCTTCCTAAGTAAGCATTTTTGATAAAAAAATATTTTAAATTATTCAAATTTACTCTAATTTTAATATATTTCTGTAACTTATCAGAATATCAATAATTACAGATGTCCAACTGTATATAGCTGTTTTGGAATTGGATTTATAACACTATCAACTTTTACTTGTATTTTTTGGTATATTGAAAAAAATGGAGAAGAAGAATCAGGAGCAAAAATTGTAAATAGAGGAATTAGAATATCAATTTATTTAATTACAGCCTCATTAGCTGTTGCTTCTTCATTAATAAGTCTTAGCGAAGAGCTAACTGATGACTATGAAATTGTACCTGTACGTAAATACAATAAAATTGTCAAATAGAAAATAGAAATTAGAAAATCAAATTTTTAATTTTCAGGTTTATGTGAAATCAGGAGCCATTGCACTCCTTGTTGGTTGGGCTCATTTAAGAGTTGGACATTTATTAAAATTGAGTGTAATGATATTCTCAATTTTTGTTTTATTAATTTCATTCTCTCAGATGGAAATTTTTGACAAATATTATTCAAGTATTGAAAAAACTCACTACGAGTAAGTAGAACAGATATTTTTAAATAATAAAATTTATTGCTGAGAAGTATTAGAGAAATTATTCATTTTCAGATTCGCGGGAGTTCATTATATAATTCAAATTGGATTTCTTCTTACATTAGTGGCACTAATACTTCATGTACTCGACAGAAGAGTGGAATTCACCTCTAGGACAGACTTTTTATGGAAAAACAAACTAAAAGTGGAACAAGATGAAGTTGAAACAATGAGAGGAATTAACAAAATTCTCTTGGAAAATATTTTACCAGCTCATGTGGCTGATCATTTTTTAGCATCCAGAACTGCTCAGGTTAATTTTTTTAAATTTAAATAATGTGTTATACTGAAAAAAATTTATTCAGACCTCGGATCGACTTTAAGGCACAAAAAGAAATCGAAAAAGTCGATTTTTTTTTATTTTAACAAAATTTAATTGGTTAATGAATATTTTACTTAAAATAACTAACGTTATTAGATATTAAATTCATTTTATTAATTCTGCAATGAAAATAATTCTACAATGAATACTATTAAGAAAATTTATTTCGAATATTTCAGAATCGAACTAATTGTAAGACAAATTTTCAAAATTTTATTTAAATAGGACAAATTTGTATATAAACTCTTAAAGTTCCATTTTTATAATTTTTTAAAGTCTGATTTAAGTAATTTATTCGAATTAAAAATTTTGTCATAGTTTTTAGTTTTGATGCTTAAAAATATTTGAGGCAATATTTAATCAAGTTTTACAGATTTTTAAATAAAAAAATTTTTTTAAATAATAATTTTGAAAGAGTTGAAGTTAAATTTTTTTTTTTAGAAATAATTGAATTTCAAAAAGATTTTTGTTAATTTTCAGACAATAATTAAATTTTTACAGAACTAAAAATAATTTATCAAATAATTTTAGATAACATTTTTTAAAAAGTAATTGAATTTTCAAAGATTTACAATTTAGATTTTTGAAATTAATTGAACTTCAAGTGATTTTTCATTTAAATTTTTTTGTTGATTTTTCTGTTACTAAAAAATTTATTAGGTAGTTAAATTTACGAAGAATATTATAAAAATCATGAAAACTAATTGAATTTTAGAAGAGTTATAAATTATTAAATTAAAAAAAAAATTTGGTTAGAAAAATTTAGAAAAAATTAAAATTTAGAAGCTTTTAAATTAAAATTTTTTGAAATAATTAAATTTCAAAAGATTGTGTTAAATTTCAGACAATAATTAAAATTAAATTTTCAAAGAATATTATAAAAATCACTAAAAATAATTGAAATTTTTTCAAATAATTAAATTTCAAGTTACTTTGAATTAAAAATTTTTGGTAATTTTATTTGATAATTTTTTTTTAATTATAAACAATTATTAAATTTCATATAAATTTTAATTTTGAAAAATAGTGTTTAAGATAATTCAATTTGTGAAAAATTTCATTAAAATACGAAGCTGAAGTACACAACGTTTATGATAAACGATTTTTAAAGAAATAATTTTTGAAAATGGAAAATTCTATAATATTTTGCCTATAAAATATTTTTTTATAATTTGTTGATTAATGAAAACTACAAGAAATATTTCTTGAGAAAAAAATTATAGAATTTTTCATTTTAAAAAATTATTTCTTTAAAAATCGTTTATCAAAAACGTTGCGTACTTCAGCTTCGTATTAAAATTATTAAAAATAATTAATTTAGTGAAGAATTTTAGTTAAAAATTTGTTAAAAATCTGCATTGTATACTAAAAAAACGTATTTTGTTTAAAAAAAAAAATGTAAAAAAGTCGAAAAAATTCGCATTTTATTAAAATAAGTCGAAAAAAATCGTATTTTTGAAAAAAAAGTCGTATAATCCGAGGTCTTTTTATTGAATTCAAATAATTGATTATAAAAATAATCTATTATCAAAGAAAACTATTTAATTGAACGAAATAATTTCTATTTGAATCAATATTTTTTTGTAGATATTTAAAACAAATAAATAGTAGATATTTAATTGATTTAAATAATAATTTTATATAATAACTGAATAAAATTTTTTAATTTTTAGGAACTTTATCATGAAAGATATAGCAGTATAGCTGTCATGTTTGCTTCAATTCCAAATTATAAAGAATTTTATGATGAAACAGACATCAATAAACAAGGACTTGAATGTCTAAGATTACTAAATGAAATAATTTGTGATTTCGACAAACTTCTATTAAAACCCAAATTTTCTGGAATCGAGAAAATTAAAACAATTGGAAGTACATATATGCTCGCATCAGGACTAAGTCCTGGAAAAGAAAGTGGTGAAGGAAAGGTGAATTTCTTTTATATTTTTTGTAAATATATTAAAATAAATTTTACTAAATTAATTTTACTAATTAAATTTTACTAAAACAGGAAGATCATAATGTAATTGTTCTCGTCGAATTTGCAATTGCTCTAATGACAATTTTGGATCAAATAAATAGAGAATCCTTTCAAAGATTTAAATTAAGAATAGGTTAGTATATTTTATTTAAAAAAAAAAAATACTTCGCCTTTCTTTTACTTTCACATAAAAAAAAAACAAATTGATAAAATTTTTCTAAAGGTTTAAATCATGGACCTGTTATTGCTGGAGTTGTGGGAGCTCAAAAACCGCAATATGATATTTGGAGTAACACTGTAAATGTTGCTTCGAGAATGGATAGCTGTGGAGAAATGGGTAGAATTCAAGTGACTGAAGATACAGCAAAAATTTTGAAAAACGCTGGCTATGAATTGATATGTCGTGGACCGACATTTGTAAAAGGTAAAGGAGAACTGACAACATTTTTCGTAAAAACATGTTTTGATGACAAAGAAGATAGTTATTAATTTTTAAATGTCATAAAACAAATTATATAATTATATAACTTCTCAATTGACATTGCAAAAAAAAAGAGTCATAATTATAAATTATATTAACTGTCTAGTTGAATTCGCTATAAAAATATATTAAATATTTAATATTATTAGTTTTCATATAATTCTTAGATAAAATATGTACAAAAATATTTTTCGTTTATATGCCTAAAAAATTTATGAATCTTACAATTATTAATTCTAAGTCTTATTCATATTAAATATAAAAAATACATATAATATGTAAATGAAATACGAATAATATGTATAATTGTAAATTGAATTTACCTAATTATGAACTAACAAATAGGATTAGATTTCATTACAATAATAATATTTGCGTTTTTCTTTTTTCCTAAATTACAAATAAGATACAAAATGAAACATATGTGAAGCCCTTTATGAATGCGAAAATATTGTGTAAGCTTTAAAAACAATACTCATCAAATAACATATTCATAAAAAAAAACTGAAATTTTAATTTTTAATGTTTTGAGAATACTGAATGAATGTTGAATACATTTTTTACAATACCTATTTTTATTTAGTTTTGTTATATATTTTTTAGTTAAAACCTGTAAAATAATTTTAGAAATCTTATTTACTTTATCAATCCCTTATGAATGGAAAAATAAAAAAAAAAACATAGTACAATTTATATGCCCCAACTATAAAATCAATTACAAAATGTTTCATCTCATATAAATATGTAATTTATAAAATTTCTTGTTATTATAATGTTCTAATTATAGAAAAAGAATAAAATAAATAAACTGTGTAGTAGAATTGTTTAGATTTCTTATTATGATGTTTTTAAAATAAAAATAAATGATATAATAGTAACACTAAAAACTGACATAAAAAAGTTAGAAATAAATATGACTTACCGAACGCGGATTCCCATGCCGTCTGGAATTTTGGCCTACGTCTTTACCTCGATATTAATAAGGTGCAAAATTTTATGTAGAACACACAAATGCGCGACATTTAGCAAATCACATAAACGCACCACGTGTTTACAACCGAGAGCAAAGTACTTACAACAAATAACTCGCAAGTATACTGTTTTTAAATGAAACAAATTCTAATTTTAGGACTATTACCATCAATAATCAAATTTCAAGGTCACTATAATCTACAAACTGATAAATATTTTCAATCATTAAAAAAAGCATAAGTTTATAGAATATCCCGGCACCCGGTACAATAATAACTCTATAAATGACGCGCTATCGATGAATATAAAAAATTATTCACATCGAGAAAAAGCAATTGAATTTAAACCACTTTTTGATTTATATTTGCAATAGTTAATTGGAATATTTTTATACACGCACTGCTTCTACTACTTTACAAATAAAATACGTTAAAACAGAAAATTTCCCACCAGATTCACTACTGGACAACTAAACTCCAGGGTTGAGTAGATAGAAACTCGAGTAAGATAAGGCGAAACATCCGAAATATGACATGTAACACTTCCTAAGATTAAAGGTACTTTTACACTAGAGAGAAAAAGTGTCAGAAAATTGCTATATGAATGAACCTTTAACTTTCAAGCAGACGATAATTTGTTCAATTGTAAATGTAAACATTACTAAAATAAGTCAATGTATTATACTGAATTAAAGTAATACAAATAATAAAATGGCCTTAAAACACGTTGTAATTGGTAAATAAATATGTATTTAAAATTTCTAAATAGTATCCAAAAGAAATTATTAACAAATTTAAAATCTATGAATCATCTAAAATATATGATTTTTCAGGTGGTGGAACCGGCTGGATTGGATCGTGTTTAGTTTCTGCCTTACAAAGTCAAGGAGTAAAAACAACAATTATTTCACGAATGCCTGGTCCGTCTAGAATATCTTGGGTAAAAAAATATAAATATTACAAATTTTACATTATCTCAATTATTAAGACAAATACAATTTTAAATTTGTAAGAAAGTTTTTTTTAACAAATTCGCGCTATTTATTAATTGTTTTAATTCAGTTTACTTGAATTTAATTTCACAAATTTTTAAAGCACGATTTAGAAAAAAAAGGACTCCCTGAAGATGTTTCCGATGTGATAAATGTTGCTGGTCAAAATATTCTCGACTTTACACAAAAATGGACTCCGGGATATAAACAAAATGTCTGCAATAGCCGAATTGAAACCACAAAAGCATTAGCAAAAGCTGTTATTTCTACTAATGTTAAAAGTTTTATTACTATTTCTGGTGTCGCTTATTATCCTACAAATGAAAAAGAATATAATGAGGAAGATAAATGCGATCCATATGATTTTTTATCAAGTAAGAAAAAATTTTTTTTAAATATTTTCTTTGAGAAAGGAATAAAATTAAAAATATATTTTTTTTTGTTATAGAATTGTGTCACAGTTGGGAAGCTGCTGCCAAACTTCCCGAGGATTGCAAAACTCGAAATGTAATTATAAGATCTGGAGTTGTTTTAGGAAGAACAGGAGGTATGATACAACAAATGATCTTTCCTTTCTTTTTTTGTGTCGGCGGAATCATGGGAAGTGGAAAACAATACATGCCTTGGATTCATATTCAAGATCTTGTCAGTTTATTTCAACATGCAATAGACAATGAAAATATAAATGGAATTTTAAATGGCGTTGCTCCTCAAATTATTACAAATCAAGAATTTACAAAGGAATTTTCATCGGCTTTGGGGGTACCAGCATTTATTCCACTTCCTTCTATGGCAGTAAATTTGCTTTTTGGACAAGAACGTGCGAAAGTAAGTTCATTAACATTTCTCATGGAAAATTGATGAAGCTGAAGTACGCAACGTTTATGATAAACGATTTTTAAAGAAATATTTATTTAAAATGAAAAATTCTATAACTTTTTGCCTAAAAAATATTTCTGGTAGTTTTCATTAATCAAAAAATTATTTTAAAAAATATTTTTTAGGCAAGGAATTGCAGAATTTTTTATTTTAAAAATTATTTCTTTAAAAGTCGTTTATAATAAATGTTGCGTACTTCAGCTTCGTGAAAATTGAAATTTACTTAAAATAAAAATTTCAGATTGTTCTAGAGGGTCAAAAAGTCATTCCTAAGAGAGTGCTCGAATCAAAATTCAAATACAAATTTCCTGATATTCAAAGTGCTTGTAAAAATTTTGCAGTATTACGCTATTCGGAACCGTTTTAAGAAGGTATTCATTAATTGTAGTAATATTTATTTATTCAAATTTAAAAACAATATGTAGAACGTAAAATTTGAGACATAATATCAATATTGTGTGCTTTAATTATTATATTTTTTAAATGTATATGTTACTGTTAATAATAACTTTTTATTACAAAAAACTCATTTGTATACAGTAAATTTAATGAAAAAGAATATTTCAGATATTATCTTCTAGGAACTGAATTTCTACGTCTCATATGCGAAAGGTGAATATTTTGAAAGTTGTCAGTATCATAGGGTTGTTTATTCCAAAATATTTTGGTTAATTTTTTGCTGTCATCTCCTAACAACGGACTACTTTGATGCTGATGAACAGGTACATTTAAATTTAATTTTCTATGATTCTTTAAAAATATCTCTTTCAAATTATCATTATGATTACATTTTTGAAGTAACGTTTGTAAATACTGTTCAGATTCTGTGATATTTAAAAAATTATTTTCTAAACATTCAGTTTTATTTAAATTAAGAAAAAAATTTATATCTCTTTTAATATTTTGAACTTCATCACGACTTAATCCCTGCGTGCCAATGAATACAACTTTACCATTTCGTGGTAGTATAAATAGTCCCATATTCTGAGATACACCAACATGACGTATATCGCTTAATTTACTTTTGAAAAAATACTTAACTGAATTTTTACTAAATAATTTATCATGCCAGGAGTTTTTAGAAAAAATTACTAAATTTTCTTTTCTATCCAATGTTAATTCTTCCCAATCACCAAATGCTTCAAGACCAAAAATAATTTCTCCCAAAATAAATGTCATTAATAAAAATAATCCATTTGTTATGCAATGACAGATAATTGTAGAAATAATTATCGTTACTGAAATATTTAAAGAAAATTAATTTTTTTTTATAACCAAAAAATGATAAATTTCTCTTACAGATAAAAAACATCCAAAATGTAATTCTCGGTTTTCGACTAAAGTAAAATTTATTGCTCTCGATTTTCAAATATGGTTTTGTCAAAGAAATCATATTTAATTTAGAATTTTCGATTGATAACTAAAAAATTTATCTACATATGAAAATAACGATTCAATTTTAATATATAAATGAAGTCAGAAATTTTAAGTCTTAAGTAACTATCTTCATTGATTAGAAATTTAATTTATTTTCCAATACAAAAATAATTTATAATACAGGAGTAAAAAACCTTATTACTTTATTTTATTTTAAAATTATGACTTATTTTGGGTCCGCTAATCAAAAAGTGACGCGAATTTTATTTTTTTTTGTCATTTTAAAATTCGCGCCTCTATTTGATTTGTGGATCAAAAAAAAACCACTGCGCAGATGTGATCTGTACGCGTTCTAACACGCGCACGTGATTTTAGAGTTTTTTAAATATAGTTTTTATTCAATATATCTATATGATTGAAATAATTAACGCACTGAAATGTAACGAACAATTTTAGTGTGCGCATTCGCATAGTATAAATCGTAAACTGCATTTTGTATTGACTGCACAATACATATGCATAATAATATATATAGCTGTCATCTTTCTCAAAACAAACCCCTTTCCAAAATGGCGCCGAACGGGTGCCCAGCTGTTGTTTACCTAAAGATGTTTGTCGCGTTATTGCGCGTGAAGTAGAGTTTTTTGTTTTTAAAAACAGTGGAAATTAATGTGTGTATGAATTGAAAAAAAGATGGAAACTATATGTGAACAAAATCAACGACACAAATAGAAGTCAAGTGCAAATTGTGTGATCATTCAATTGGATAAATGAAAAAGTAAGTATTATAATAAATATAAAAAAGATTGAATAATGGAGCAAATTTTTTTATTTACATAAACAATGACGGCTACTGGAATTTAATGTTTTTAATGAAATTTTTATTGAAATATTAAATTATTAACAATTAACTGAAATTTTAACACTAGGTAAAAGATGATTTTCAGAAAAAAAAAGTGTATACATTACTGTTATAAGGAATATAATACTGAATTATTATTTGTTATGTATTTATTCCTTATTAGAGTATTTTCCTCATTATATGTTATGTAAAATAAAAAAATCAAGGTTATTAATCATTATGATGCAAATCCGGGGCAACAGTCAATTAACTTTTTAAAGTCATTCTCTCCTTTTAAAAAAAAATCAGAGTTTAATCTACTTTCTTGTCTCTTATCTTCGGGTAAATTGAAAAACTTGTTTATAATTATTTCTAAAAAATGAATATCGTTGTTTGCTTTGTCAATTCATGTTTTTTTTTCAATGTGATTTTGAGGTTAGGATTTTGACAAACTTCTTTGAGGGAAATGTATATGTATATATGTATGTTTTTGTTTCTTCTAATCCAGTGAAGTTATATATTTTCTATGTTTTTACATATATTTGAAAGTAAATAGAGCAAAAATGATTAATTTACAATTAGTTTTCCTAGTTTAGTGACTTGACCTCCTTTTACATTTTTAAGAAGCTAATGGTTGATGCATACAATTGTATAATTTGAAATATCAAACTCTACTTTATTATTTTCTTTTAAAATAAATTAATTAAATAAATAAATAATAATAATAAATTAAATTAATATAATTAATTGAGGAGTAAATTTTCAAAATCTGATAAATCCATTTTTCAAAAAAATGGAGATAAATATAAATTTAATATTTTAAGGACCTCACAAATCTTCCTGTCGCTGTTAAATTTAAGAAAAAAAATTTGTTAACAACGAATTTTCAATTCAAAAACTTTTGGACATAACCAAGATGAGTTATAATTTTTATGTTTTTTATTAGAAAAAATTACCAATACCTGTAAATCATTCAATTATGATAAAGTTTAATTAAAAACAGAACGTCTTGAATATAAAAACATTGTTATAGAATTAAACTATTACAAATTTTATATTTTAAAAGTAATTTAATTATGTGAGGAGTTATGTGAGAAAAGTCATTTGTTTCAATTTCTCGAAATAAGAAAAATCAAGTTTTATTTTTTGTAAACTGTATTAATGTTAACGAAACAAATCAATTTTTTTAATACAATCTTCATCGATTAGAAAAGAATTTATTTTTCAAGAAAAATATTGTTAAATTTAATTTTTTTATTAATCCAATATTCAGAAATATTTTTGTTAATGATGGTTTATTAAAAATGAAAAATAAAACTTAAATATAATAATATATTTACAGACGTCATCATGAATGCAAGAACGCAGTTATTTGAACTCAGTATGGAGGGTCGCCAAGTGGATGAGGCAGTAGCAAGTATTTTTCACAATGTTCTCTTTCACCGGAGTTTGGGAAAATTCAAATATAAACAGGAAGGCAGCTACTCTGTAGGCACTGTTGGTTATCAAGATGTTGACTGTGATTTTATAGACTTTACATATGTCTGCTGTTCGTCAGTTCATCTCGATCAAACATTAAAACGTGAAATTTCTGGTTTCTCGGAAGCACTACGATCGACAGATAGTCCTGGATCGGGTCAAATTTCACTTGAATTTTTTCAAAAGAAAAAAAATCGTTGGCCCTTTCAACCAGAATGTATTCCATGGGAAGTGTGGACAGTGCGTTTGGAATTAATAAAATTGTCCACAGAACATGAACGACAAATTTGTCGTGAAAAAGTTGGTGATTTACTTACAGACAAAATTTTATATATTACAGAAGTAATGAATCGACACGATTATCTCCCAAAAATGCCAAACCAGGCTGAATTAGACTTAATTTTCGATACATCGTATCCCGATATTCAACCGTATCTTTTTAAATTGTCTTTTACAACTTCAGGACCATCGAGCACGACAATGGGCAACACAATGAAAAAACTTATTAAGGAAACTCTGTCCATGTAGTTTATAAAGCACGTATGTTTTTCTGATTTAGTTCCAAGAAATATTTTTTTTTTCTTCTAGTGCAAATTTAATATTTTTTTTTTATTTCATTTCGTTTCTGTAAATGTAAAACTGTAATTAAATTATTCAATATATTTCTTAACTCGAAAAAGCAAATGTTTAAAGAAATAATATTTTTCTAAATTTAAAATCACTTTTTGTAATTTATATTCTTTAAATTATGTATTAAAATTTTTTTATGATAAACTATAAATAAGAGATTGATTTTCCAAAAATACTTCTAAAAATTGTATATAATTATTAAATTGCAAAAGTTAATTTAATTACAGTTTTTTTGTTATATTTTATCGACAAATTAAAATTGTACTTATTAACATTATTAAGAGTTTTTTGTTATAATGCATTACAATTTTTTTTTTTCAGTGACACTAATTGATTTTCGTTTAAAAAGCGTTTAATCAAATTCAATATACATATAGGTATATATATATAATTCTTGCACTTAAAAGTGAAATAAATTGACTCCGCAGCTACATCTACGATATTTTAGATTGATTGATTGTATAGTACAAATGAATGTGAAGATTTCTTGCACTTGAGTGCACATTTATACACGGTATAAAGTGTGAAGAAACTTAGTCTTAATATTTACATTGGTCTGCCTTGCGTCGCTTCAAGGAATATAAAGTGCGAACGAGAGTAGCTCTCTTCAATGGAGAGATCTAATTATAACAAGAAACGATCAAATACACTCGTTTTAAAAAAAAAAAATAACTTACGAAATCTTGTTCGTCGTGAAATTTTCATAGTATCCGTTTAATTATAAAAAAAACAATTTACAGCGTCTTTCAAAAAAAAAAAAAAAAAATTCTCGGAATATAGCGTAACACATCAAGAATAGCCATTTTACTATAATAATAATAAAAAAAAAAAAAACAGCTTCTATCTTCGACCATAAGGTCATGACGAATTTGTCCAGTCTTTAGCATGTAGTGATGAACACTGTAAACATTATACACGCCTTACACAAGAGTACATAAACCACGGTTTTTCTATCATAGAGTGACTGTTATTTATTGGACGAGTGATGCTAAATAATTATTAATCAATTTTTAATAATATTTTATTTTGTTAAGTAGTGAATTAATATTTTTTTTTTTAAATGCTATTCATTTCCTTTTAGAAATGAATTGTATGTCGTATATATATATATTAGGTGTAAAATGTTGAATAGTATCGTTGAACAAATTGTAAATAAATTTTATTAAATAGAAGATTTTCAATTAAATATTTTTATCATATGTTTTCATTTTAAGATTACTATCACTTGTTTTTAAGAAACTTTAAAGATTTTTTTTTTTTTTTAAAGATATAATTAGAATTTAATTTTGGTTTAAAATGTTATACACAGACGAGTGACAGTCATTAATTAAATTTAATTTATTTAATTATTAGGTACTATTCAACGCACCGTACAATTGTAAAAAGTGAATAGTTTGTGAAATATATTTACGATGACAAAGAATGAAATCTATATATATATATATACACACATATACATATACAAAAAAAATAAATTTTAACGGATATATATATATATATATGTATAATATACATAAAGAAATAGACGTATACGTTGCTTACTACGTTATTTGAAAGATTGTATACATAGTGAACAAAATTGATTCGCGTACCGATAATAATTGATTACTTATCGTTAATAAATTACTGTATTTTATAAACTGAAGTTTTTTCAATTAAAAAAAAAACCCTTTTTTTATATAAACACAGGCTTTTTTCAAAAAAAAAAAATTATATTTTAAGATGCACCTGAAATTAAATTAATCTTAAAATAAGATTCATTTTATTAAACTATTTATTATTTCTTAAATTTAATAATAGCCACAAGCTTCAAATGTTCCACCTGACCCAAAGCTTGCATGAAAATTTTCAGCCAGATTTGTTAACTAAAATTTTTTTTGGTCGCCATTTTGTAGCCGCCATTTTGAATTTTTTATTTTCGACCAAAAATTCGTATTCAGCGACCCCAAAAACATACAATACGATAATGTTTTGTTTTTTAAAACAAAAAATTTTTTTTTTTTGAACATTTATGTCACGAAAACTTTATCTTTACTGAACAGTGAAGGGGTTAATAATAATTAAAAATAAGTATCCATTTAAAGATAATAAATGAATTAAAAAAAAATTTTTTTTATCTTCGAGACATTTTTGATAGAAATTTTTCTATATTTATATATCATATTAATTTTTCGTTAAAGTGATTTTTCTTGTCTTTAGAAAAATAAAGTTGAGTATTGCATTTTCATTGGGAATAAAAATAGAATTTGGGGCGCAATCAAGTATGTGTGATGTAAAATTCCTTACGTTCTTGTTCGTTATATTAGTTCGCATGGTATAGTCGGGAGTATAAATGCAAATTCCAAATATAGGCCTAAATTAAGGGGTTATTATATAAAATTTCATATTAAATTCACGTCATTTATTTTTTAAACAATTTTAAAAATCTTTTTTCCAATAAAATAGTTCCATTGAAACTTTTCCTTTAATGAATATTTTATATCTAAAAATTAGTGTTCGTATAGCATATATGTAATTAAAAATAAGTAACTTTTTATTAAAGTATTGATAAAATTTGTTACTATCTATAGCCAATTTTATAAAATACATATGGAAGATAATATCATCCAACACGATTTTTGACCCACAAAAAAATCAAACATTTTCGAAAAAAGTGACAAGAAAACTTTTAAAAATTATTAATATTTTATAAAACTTGATATCTGGGTGTTTTCGTGGTCGCTGATTATTAAATTGATGGGAGTTTTACAAAATTCAAAATGGCGGATCCAATATGGCGGTCAAAAAGAAAAAATCCGTCATTTTGGAAATCTGACATTACATTCGTCATCTACGACCCCAAAACCCCCTAGACACCAAGTTTTATGAAAAATTAATAACTTTTTTAAATTTTAACCGCCATATTGGATCCGCCATTTTGAATTTTGAAAATCTGACATCAGATTCGTCATCAACGACCCCAAAATCACCTAGACACCAAGTTTTATGAAAAATTAATAACTTTTTTAAATTTTAACCGCCATATTGGATCCGCCATTTTGAATTTTGAAAATCTGACATCAGATTCGTCATCAGCGACCCCAAAAACCCCCAGACACCAAGTTTTATAAAAAATTAATAACTTTTTAAATTTTTTACCGTCTAATTGAATCCGCCATTTTGAATTTTGAAAATCTGACATCAGATTCGTCATCAGCGATCCCGAAAACTCTCAGATTACCAAATTTGATAAAATATTAATAATTTTTAAAAGATATCTTGTCACTTTTCATTTACCCAGATAGCACAACAATTTGCCACAATTTTGCAGCAAGTTGGCAATGCCAAATTGCAAGTTTGCATTGCCAACTTGCTGCCAAACTGTGGCAAATATCGATATGTCTAGCCTTTTTAAATTTTGCAGTGCAAACTTGCTGCAAAAAAGCTGAATGAGTTTTTCGCAGAATTTCAAAAACAATTTGCTGAAAAATGACACGGACAATTTTCTAAAATTTGAAAATGCAATTTTTTGGAAAATAAAATTTTTAAGTTTCCTTGAAAGTTATTTTTTCTTAATTTCTGTACTATAAAAATAATTAAATCGTATGAAAAAAAAGGGACTAAAAAGAAAACAATTTTTTCTCGAAATAACGCTTAAAAAATTTATTTTTAAATTTTAATATAATTTGCGTTTTAAATTCTACTAATACACTTTTCATAAAATTTTAATAAAAAGTTTACTTTTTTTTAATTTTAAGTTTAAATTTTATATTAGAAATATTAAACGAAACACATAGCTCTTAGGGAATTATAATCTGTTTATAGTTTGTTTAATTTTATGTAATATAACTTAAATTTAAATTTAAAAAAAAATAAATTTTTAAAGCGTTATTTCTAAAAAAAAATTGTTTTCTTTTTACTTCCTTCTTTCCTACGATTTAATTATTTTTATAGTACAGAAATTTAAAAAAATAACTTTCAAGGAAACTTAAAAATTTTATTTTCCAAAAAATTGCATTTTCAAATTTCAGAAAATTTTCCGTGTCATTTTTCAGCAAATTGTTTTTGAAATTCTACCGATAACTCATTCAGCTTTTTTGCAGCGATTTTGCAGCAAGTTGGCAATGCAAACTTGCTGCAAAATTGTGGCAAATTGTTGTAATATCTGGGTAGGGGTTGTTTTCACCCCTAAAAAATCACAAACGACTTGATCTAGCAAAACAGCCATACACGGGTATTTCTTTTTTAGTCCAAATTTCCGAAAATGTTTTCATTTTTTTGTGGGTAAAAAAAAAGTTTAATTTTGACGATTTAATAGATTATTAATTAAAATATCATGCGTCACTTGTGGAGAGTTTAAGTTTATATTCTCTATTGTTTTGTAAAAATTTGTAATTTAAAGAAAATGTCTATTTTCCATATAGATCTATTAATATTAAAAATACTTTAATTATCTCATAAATTCTTATACAAATTTTATTTCTAATTCATCGGAATAAAATTAGAATATATATGTTGAAAAGACGCACAATTACATTTAATGCCTCCCCTTAATTACATCTAATTGTAAAGAATAAATTTTCATGTATAATATTACATTCTTTAATCCACTTTATTTTTCTCCTCAATTGCTATAAATATCAATTTGAAAGAAAGTTTGTATAAATAGTAATCACATAGTCAATTACACATTTGATTGATATATGTTTACTTTTTGTCTCTTTTTCGTGGTGATTTTCTTAACTATATAGTGATATTGCTTCATTTGGAGTTGATCTCTCATTTTCTAACATATATATATATATTTATATCTCTCTTAGAGCTTTATTCGAGGGATTTATTAAATGATTTCACACAGATATCAAGCAACAGAAAAGCTCTATATAGTTGTGTGAGCGAGAATCGACAGAATTGATGTTTTACTCATGGTGCCTATTGGCAAGTGACGCCTGCGCGAGCAATCCTCACAACTATATAGTTTTCTGTTAAACTTCCGAAAATCAGTCGCGGTCTGATATCAGCGCGCTTCAGACGAACCTCTTTCACCGGAAACGAGAGAAAAGGAAACACAAGCCCTTTGGCAACGAAAACATTTTTTTCTTCTCCAAAAAAAAAAAAAAGAAGAAAATTAATTTTTAAAAACATTTCAAATTTGTCCAATTTTATTTACAAAATTTGCCTTAATTGTTATTTTGCCAAAAAAAGACCAAACATAGTGATTAATTTTAATTAAAAATAAATGCTAAAGAATTATGGTGCCAATTGAATAATTTTCGTTGAATAAAATGAGTATTAAAAGAATCAAGCAATTATCAGAAATTATATGAGAAGCTGTAAAAACATCTGTTAAACTCACCGCATATATAGAGAAAGAGCTTCGACTTTTCAACAGGTGTCCAAGCGGATCGATGATTTACGGATCTTAACTTTACAACGTTTTTGAAATACATAATTTTTATTTCCCTTGAAGAAGAAAAACTAGAATACTTTTATTTTTAAAAAAACTTATAAAAAAAAACTCAACGTAATTTGTGAGGAAATAAAATTCGTCATGAAATTTGGCAATTTTCTTTGACCCTCATTACAAATTAATTCAAATACTGATTTTTTTTAATTGATCATGAGTTACGCGGAATTAACAGATTACTTTAATGCAACCTTCAATGAAACCGAAGAAATCACATCAAAAATTCAAGTGCAAATAACATTCTACATTTTTTATGGTTCGATATTTTTACTTGGAATTTGTGGAAATGCACTTGTTTGTTTTGTTGTAATGAGAAATAAACAAATGCATACGGTGACAAATTTTCTCATTACAAATTTGGCGCTAAGCGATATTCTTTTGTGTGTATTGGCAGTGCCATTTACTCCGCTCTATACATTTTTGGGTGCATGGATTTTTGGTGCGACATTGTGTCGCTTGGTACCTTATGCACAAGGTGTGAGTGTCTACATAAGTACCTTCACTCTAACAAGCATTGCAATTGATCGTTTTCTTGTTATTTTATATCCATTTCGTCCGAGAATGAAAATTCAAGTATGCCAAATGATAATTGTTGGAATTTGGTTTGTTGCACTTGGACTAACATTGCCATATGGATTATATCGAAAAATGGATAGAAGTGAAAATTTGTGTGAAGAAATATGGCCAAATGAACATTTTAGAAGAGTATTTAGCACAATTACAACTGTTTTACAATTTGTTGTGCCATTTTGCGTTATTACATTGTGCTATATTTTTGTGTCGATTAAACTTAATTCAAGAATTAGAATGAGACCAGGATGCAATGCAAGTCGAAGGGAGGAAGCCGATAGAGAGAGAAAAAGAAGAACTAATAGAATGCTTATTGCAATGGTTGCCATATTTGGAATATCTTGGCTTCCTTTGAATCTTATTAATGTAATAGAGGACTTTTACTCAAATGCCAATGATTGGCCACCATTTAAATTTTGCTTTTTTCTTGCACACAGCATTGCCATGAGTTCAACATGCTACAATCCCTTTCTTTATGCCTGGCTTAATGAAAATTTTCGAAAAGAATTCAAACAGGTTCGAAATTTCGAATTATTAATAATAAATAACAATGAGAAAAAATTGAATCAACAGTATTTCTGCTAAAAAAAAATTATTGATTCAAAATCATATGCTATCTATTAATTTTACAAATTCCATAGGCCAGAATCAATTTTTATGCCTTTAGCAAAAATACTATTGATTCAATAGCATATTTTTTTCTCAGTATACCAAAAATATTCATTCATTCAACTCTTCTCCAAATTGACAATTTTATGTTACGTGACCATCAATAAAAATTTTTTTTCTACTACAGGTATTATTGAATGTTTATTTTTCAGACATTGTTCTATTAAAAGGGACTTTATGTTCAACTTTAGATATATATATGTCAAATGCAATATTTTTTCAGAATTCATATATGACTTTTAATATATTTTTTTTTTATTCAAAATTAATATATTTAATTCGGAAAAAAAAATTTCTTTTCTCTCTATTCTTTAATCTTGATCAATAAATTTTTCTCATCATTGTTGGATAAATTAAACTGAGTCCCGCGTTTATTCATTGATTTATTCTATCTTTATTTAAAATAATGAAAGCCACAGGTTTTTATTCACTAAATTGATATAATAACATGAAATTAAAAAATTAACATTTCCCCATATAATCAAAAAGTATAAAGCAATTAAAGAACAATTTGCCTAAATTATAGTAACGAAATTCTGCATTTCGGTAGCTTATGTCGGTAATCGACAATTAGTAGCAACCAATTATCTCATTATCTGCTTGATGCTTGACGCGATCGTGATATCGACGTAATAAAATGAACCAATTTTTGCCTGCCCATCGAAGCACCTAATGAAAGTGTTAAAATAAAAATCGAAACTTTTTTTTTTTTATCATTTTCAATATTTATAAACATTAATTTTTCTTCTAATTCATTTTTTGAGTTAAAAAAAAAAAATTGTTTCTCTTTAAAATTTGAATCAAACATATATATGATTAAAGTCATACGGATGTACCGAATTATATTGATAAACATATGTGCGGTAAATTTTCAGAAACAAATTTACTTAAAGTAATGTCTGACCTAGTTGGCATCTGTCGCTTGCCTCGTTTTTCATTCTTCATTGTGAAGTTGTAACATGAATCGCTCTGGTTGAGAGGAATTCAATTCCCATTGTGTGTTTGACAAAAACGAATGATCATCCATACAAAATTTTAAACGCTGCGAATATTGAGAACTGTACAATTTATATGTATATAATAGAAATGTTAGAGATTGTTTAATTGTATTTTTAATTATTGGATTGGGTTGGTATTGCTAGGGACTCGAGTCTAGGGAACAGTGTATGTTTGGGGTTGGTCAGCCTGATGAGGCGAGAGTGAGAGAGAGTGAGTTTGTAAGAAGGTTGGTTGTGCTGATTTCTGGCGAGCGTCGCCGTTGATAATTTCAATGAGAAAAATAACGTTTGTGCTTTATATTATTTTGTTGGACTTTGTGTCGATATGTTAAAAAGTAACGAAAGTGAATTGGAAGTATAATTTACATATAAACTGTTCTTCATAGAAACAAGTAATTTCTATGTCAATTTAACCTTACGATTGTATTTTTTATATTACAATAAATAATCATTTTAATCTTCTCTTTATCCAATAAAAGTGGTGTAAATTTATTTGTGACACGTTTGAGAATAATCCTGGCTAACAGAAATGACAAGTTTTCATCACTTTAATTCATCTCGTCTATGCACTTTTCTTTTCCAAATAAAATTCATTGGAATATTGTTTTTCACCAAAAAAAAAAAATAAAGGGAAATTCCCTTTATTTTCCTCCTCCCTTGCGTTTCATTATTTTCTCTTAATTTAAACCATTCTGTATAGTTATCCCAGATAGCACGTAAGCTTGCAACAACCTTGCGGCAAGCTTGCCGCGCAATATTGCCAACCTTGCACGACAAACTTGCCGCAAGCATACTGTAAGCTTCAGATGTCCCACCTGACCCAAGCTAGCATGGTAAGGTTGCTCAGTTAGCCTTTCCGAAAGATTGCAGTGTAAAGTTACTGCAATATTGCCCAGTAAGATTATCGCAAGATTGCTTAGTAAGCTTGCACGGTAAGCTTCTAGAAAGGTTAGTGCAAGGTTGCCAAATAACCTTGCTTTGAACCTAAAATTTTTTTTGTAATGTTTGGTCTAATTAATATAATTTTATTTTATAAATTTTATTATTTAAATTAGACGAAAAATTAAAAAAAAATTTAGGTTTAAAGCAAGGTTATTCGGCAACCTTGCACCAATCTTACTAGAAGGTTACCGTGCAAGCTTACTGAGCAATCTTGCAGTAACCTTACACTGCGATATTTCAGTAACCTTACACTTCAACCTTACGGTAAGCTTACCATGCAAGCTTGGATCAGGTGGGACATTTGAAGCTTGCGGTGCAAGGTTGGTAATATTGCTCGTCAAGCTTTCCGCAAGGTTGACAAATAACCTTCCTTTCAACCTAAAACTTTTTTTATAATGTTTGGTCTACTTAATATAATTTTATTTTATAAATTTTATTATTTAAATTAGACGAAAAATTGAAAAAAAAAATTTAGGTTTAATGCAAGGTTATTTAGCAACCTTGCACCAACCTTACTAGAAGGTTACCGTGCAAGCTTACTGAGCAATCTTGCGATAATCTTACTGGTCAATCTTGCAGTAACTTTACACTGCAATCTTTCGGAAAGGCTTACTGAGCAATCTTTGCAGTAACCTTACACTGCAATATTTCGGTAACTTTACGCTGCGATATTTCAGTAACCTTACACTTCAACCTTACGGTAAGCTTACCATGCAAGCTTGAGTCAGGTAGGACATTTGAAGCTTGCAGTGCAATGTTGGCAATCTTGCCGCAAGGTTGCAGTGAAAGGTTACTGCAAGATTGCTAAGTAAACCTACCGAAAGATTGCAGTGTAAGGTGCAAGATTGCACAATAAGATTATCGCAAGATTGCTCAGTAAGCTTGCACGATAAGCTTCTAGCAAGGTTCGTGAAAGATTGTCAAATAACCTTTTATTTAACTTAAAAAATTTTTTTTTTTTATGTTTCGTCTAATTTATAGAATTTTATTATATTTTGATTATATAAATTAGACGAAACATTAAAAAAAAAAATTCAGGTTCAAAGCAAGGTTATTTGGCAACATTGCACCAACCTTGCTACAAGCTTACCGTGCGAGCTTACTGAGCAATCTTGCGATAATCTCATTGTGGAATCTTGTAGTAACCTTTCACTGTAATCTTTCGGTAGGATTACTGAGCAATCTTTCGGTAAGCTTACCATGCAAGCTTGGTTCAGATACGACATTTGAAGCTTGCAATAAGCTTGCGGCAAGTTTGCCGTGCAAGGTTGGCAATGTTGCGCGGCAAGCTTGCCGCAAAGTTGCTGCAAGTATTACGTGCTAGCGCGGTATTTATTTGAATTTTTCAGTATAGATATTTTTTATGAATATATATGATGTCTGCTGAATAATAAATGACATATCATTGTCTTATGTAAACTTGTGTTTTCAAACTTAAACGATTTAATTTAAATAAACAATTGTAAACTATCATTTAATTCTTAGTAGAGTTATACGTCTTTCAAGTTTCTTCACCAAGAGCCTGATTTATTCACTCCTCGAAATTCAAACTGTCTCTACAAGTTTTGGACTATAGAGTACTTACATCAAGTGTCATCCAAGTTAAATTTTAAAGCCATCTTGTCACTTTATATAAGATGTGAATTATTCAACAATATTCAGTTATCTGAAAATTTTGTTTTTTTTTCTTTAGAGTTTTAATAACTCTTTAAAGAATTAAAAATATTTACAATTTCTCTGCAAAGATGTCAAGTAAAATGTTTTATTTTAACAGTAACATTTATAGAAAAATATAGAAAATTCTGTTTTCCAGAAATAACATTTTCACGAGAAAAGCGTTTTGTTCTTGTTTTGAAAAAGATTACAAGGATTGTGGTTCACTGAATTAAAAGTATTGTAAAACATTTTTTATTTGTTTCTTTTGTATAATAAAACTTTTGAGTTTGTCTCTCTCTCTCTCTGAAAAATGCGGTTAAGATATTTAATTATTTTTTTTTTTTTTAAATTAAAATCGAAATTTTTCATTGAAAATTTCTATTTGAAATGGAAATGAAATTCCCAAAAGCCTTTGTAGCAGAATTATATAATGGGTCATTTTATCCTGTCAGTCATGGTGCTAGACAAAAAAATCGTTTCACAGAGCAGTAACAAAAACCGCAGACTTTCCGAAACGGCCTTGGATCGATTGTTAAACATTACGATGGTCCATTGGGAAAACTGTATATATATATATAATGCGAGAGTAAATATCTTGATGGTGTCATGTTAATTCATCAACATGATATCTCATGGATTTTATATTATCTGACATTTCATCTATCATTTATCATTTCTTTTATTTATATTCAAATTGTTCTATTTATCAAAATTAATATTAATATATAACCCACGCGTATCTTTTAAAGAGTAATATTTATATTCTAAATTGCATGAAAGGTTTTTCTTTTCATTCTAGGTTCTACCCTGTTTTTCAAGAACATTAGGCAATGGTACTTCACGTAATATAGAAGGTTGTAGAAATGGAAATGACACCGTCCAAGAAAGCTTGCTTCCCATTCCAACATCGAAGCAGAATAATACAAGCTGTGAGATGATTTCCTTGGAGCCAGTAAACAGTGAAGCTTCCAAGGATCAACAGAATTAACCGTCCAGGGAATCAGAACACCTCGAAAGAATCTTAACTTCAACATCCATTAGCAATGTAGGTAAGTAATCTCAAACGGGAATTTTTTTTTTATTCATTCTTTGATTTTTTATAAACTCAAAAAAAGCCGATTTTCACAATATTTTAATTAATACCTTTTTTTTCTACACGAAGAATAAATGCTTTTTGTTACGCTATAAAAAAAAAAAATGGTGTCAAGTTTTGTCAAGTGTAAAAATTGGTAAATTTTTGAAAGAAGAAAGACATGATAAAGTCAAAGGAAAATTTTTCAATTCCTTTTGCATATAGATATTATTCTCTGTATGTCCTTTTGCAGTTCACTTGACTGCATTTCTTATATAAGTGGCATTCAAGAAATTTTAGAAACATACATGCGCTTTGTCGTTTTTGTCTTAAAATTTACAAAAATAAGAGGTCTATACCTATACACGCCTTATTAAATATTTTTGAAATAATATATAAAATATTAGAATCATCCTAGATAGCATGTAGCAGCAACCTTGCGGCAAGCTTACCTCGCAATATTGCCAACCTTGCACGGCAAACTTGCCACAAGCTTCAAATGTCCCACCTGAGCGAAAGCTTGCTCAGTAATCCTACCAAAAGATTGCAGTGTAAGGTTACTGCATGATTGCACAATAAGATTATCGCAAGATTGCTCAGTAAGCTTGCACGGTAAGCTTGTAGCAAGATTGGTGCAAGATTGCCAAATAACCTTACTTTTAACCTAAAAAATGTTTTTTTAATGTTTTGTTTAATTTATATAATTTTATTATGTAAATTTTACTATATAAATTAGACGAAACATTTAAAAAAAATTTTTACGTTAAAAGTAAGGTTATTTTGCAACCTCACACCAACCTTGCTACAAGCTTACCGTGCAAGTTTACTGAGCAATCTTGCGATAATCTTATTGTGCAATCTTGCAGTTATCTTACACTGCAATCTTTCGGTAGGTTTACTAAGCAATATTGCAGTAACCTTTCGCTGCAACCTTGCGGAAAGCTTGCCGAGCAATATTGCCAAACTTGCAACGCAAGCATCAAATGTCCAACCTGATCCAAGCTTGCATGGTAAGCTTTCCGTAAGGTTGAAGTGTAAGGTTACTGAAATATCGCAGCATAAGGTTACCGAAATATTGCAGTGTAAGGTTACTGCAAGATTGCTCAGTAAGCCTACCAAAAGATTGCAGTGTAAAGTTACTGCAAGATTGCCCAGTAAGATTATTGCAAGATTGCTCAGTAAGCTTGCACGGTAACCTTCTAGCAAGGTTGGTGCAAGGTTGCCAAATAACCTTGCTTTAAACCTAAAAATCTTTTTTAAATGTTTCGTCTAATTTAAATAATAAAATTTATAAAATAAAATTATATTAATTAGACCAAACATTACAAAAAAAGTTTTAGGTTCAAAGCAAGGTTATTTGGCAACCTTGCACTAACCTTTCTAGAAGCTTACCGTGCAAGCTTACTAAGCAATCTTTCGATAATCTTACTGGGCAATCTTGCAGTAACTTTACACTGCAATCTTTCGGTAGGCTTACTGAGCAATCTTGCAGTAACCTTACCTTACTTACATGCACCAACCATGCTACAAGCTTACCGTGCAAGCTTACTGAGCAATCTTGCGATAATCTTACTGGACAATCTTGCAGTAACTTTACACTGCAATCTATCGGTAGGCTTATCATGCAAGCTTGGGTAGGGTGGAACATTCGAAGTTTGCAGTAAACTTGCGGCAATTTTGCCTTGGAAAGTTGGCAATATTGCGTTGCAAAGCTTGCCGCAAGGTTGCTGCAAGCTTACGAACTAATTAATTATCAGTGAATATTATTTAGGGCTTGAAATTTTCTCTTAGAAATTTCTTACAGAAATCAATTATCAAATAAAAATTCGAACAAATAAAAATTCTATGAAGTGAATTTTCAGTTATATAAAAATTCTGTAATATAGAAAATGGGTTTGTTGAAAATTATGCAAAGTACTAATTCGAACAATAATAAAAATTCGATAAAATTAAAATTCTGACTAATGATTTTTAGAACATAATTATGCGCCCCAAAATAAATTATATTTTATCTCTGTTTGTTATAAATATTGAGATTGAAATACCCCGAGAGGAAAAAATTGCAAAACCGAGAATAGAATCGTCGATATAGAAAAATACCACTCTTAATCAAGATATAACAATAATAAAATTTCTATATGAGAGTTTGTAAAAATGAATACTAGAAATTAAACTCTTTTTTTTCGAATTTTAGAAAGTAAATTTTACTTCTTCACGACATTTGTTTTTTACTAAAAATAATAATAATGTTGTGTATAGTTTACTGGCTTTAGGAACATTTGTAATTTATAATTAAAATATAAATTAAGAGATAATAATTTTAATTTACAAGAAATGATTTATTTATTGCCATTTCATATATAACAAAAAAAAATTAGATAGTCTATATGAAATTAAAATAAAGTAGGTCATTTGTGGACCAGAGCAGGAAGCATATATAGTATAACTCCAAAGAGCTTAATTTGAATATATTTCCAAAATTGAACATCTTTTTCATCCACTGAAATCGTGAATGCATAAAATTATTCCATTTTTTTTTAAATGAAATAGCAGATATGTGAAAATGTAAAAGTAAATCAAAGAAAATTTTAAAAAAATATTTGAAGAAACTAAATTTATTTAATTGGAAAAATCAATGCTTTCCATGATGAAATTTCTAATTGGGAAATACAATTTACAAATAAAAAAATAATGCATGCAAATATTGAAGAAAATTAATAATCAACGATATGAATGCGCATATATGACAACCGCAAGAAATTAAAAGCATATATTCTCATATAGTTTAATGTGTGATTATTAATTATTGAAACTTGCAACAAATTAGAAAATGTGAAAAGAAGATTATTTTTAAATGATATTAATTATATATTTAATTTATTCATTAAGACTCTCAGTATTTATATAGATAAATTTATGTTCCTTTGAAAAAATGAATAAGGGAGTTTTCAATTTATATTTCCGATCCCTCCAACCCCAAAAAAAAAGAAAGTTATTATCAATATTTAGATAAACCTTTAATCTGACATAAATGAGATTCATTTGTGGAGAAACACACTGCCATTCTCTCTAATATCTCCCGCCATAGAATTAATCGTGAATCTTGGATGGTATATTTTAGAATGAATAGTGGATTTAGTTGAGATAATTACTTTGATGGGCCCATTTATGAATACAATTAGGGTAGATGTCACCGAAAAGTCATTATGGACATTTATCAATCTCCTATATAATATTATTATTATTATATTCCTCTTTCTCATAACCCTGAGAAATTTACTGGTATAATCAAAATTTATTTCATGGATTTAGAAAATATTTGATATTTTATTGCATTTATAGAAATATCTATTTAAATTAAAAGGTGATTTGAAATGATTTAATTTGATTGGTTCACGAAAATTTGATTTATATAATATCCCAATCAAAAATGTACTACTGGCGCAGTACTGGCACCCAGTATTGGCGCCAGAGTTGGCGTAACTTTGGGATGATAACATTTTACCAGTATTGGCTACCAGAGTTGGCACCAGTACTGGTAACCACTGCTGGTTCAGTACTGGCCGAGTACTGGCAGTTTTGTAATTTATTGTATACGAAAAGAAAGCTTTAACTGTAACACAGATAAGTTTAACTCCAGGTAATACTTTTTTGGTATACTTAGGAAAAAGTGTCTGAAATTTTTAGTAACCCAACACAAATTAAATATTAATTAAATTAGTCAACTAACTAATTAATATTTTATTATATATAAAATCGAAAACACCAAGAGTTTTTATTTTTTATTAAGTATAATATATATTGCAAATTATTATTTTAAAAAATCAAAAAATAAATATAAAAATATGTTTATTATAAAACCAAAGTTCTGAGAAAAAAAAAGTATACGTAATTTTTTGTAGGTTTATAAATTTTCGGGTAAAAATTTTTAAATTTAAGTTTTTTTCAAAAGTATAATATCTATTTTTAATCACATATATATATATTTGCATCAAAAGGAATTTTTGAAAAACTTTTTTAAGAAAATAAAAGTTGTTTTTTAATTTTTAACAAGTGTTGTCAAGAAATTTTTTTTTTTAATTTTTATTTTAAAAAATATTTAAATTTTTTATAAACAAATTTATTTATTTTTAGTTTGATCGTTTAAAATTTTTTTTTTTTTTTTGGTTTATTGCATATCTGAAAACAATAAGAAAATCTTGCAAAATATTTTAGGCTTGATCTCAGGAAAGTTTTTGTTTAAATAATTTTACCCACAGAAAAGCAAAATAAAATACATTTTAATTTTGAAAAATAAAATCAAGGTGATAAATAGTATATTATGTGGCAAGCACGTAAAGTAGTACTTTTTAGGTGAGGATGTAATTTTCAGTACGAGCTGTCGTTAGTGCGACGTAGGTGAGACGAAGGCGAGCTGTAGGTGAGCCAAGTCGAACCGAAGTCGCACAGACAGCGAGTATTGAAATCATCCGAACCTAAAAATTACTACGTGCGAGGCACATACGCTATTTTTTTCGCCATTGTTATGAAAAAGTGAAACAATTTTAAAGAAAAAAAAATTTATTTTTTAAAAGAATTTATTTAAAATTAAATTTTAGAATATCACAGTAAACTTGGTTGTATCTTTTTTTATTGCAACGTTTTGATGCACATAAGTTATATCAAAAAGAGATCGTTTTGTGTATCATTTTTAGAAATGATACACGAAACAGTCTCATTTTTTGATGCAAAAAATTTAATCAATTTATATCAATCATGGCCGAATTGAATCGACTCAAAATCAAACGAATTTTTTTCAGATATTTTGGTAATAGTACAATTGCGGAGACCATTTCACTATTTAATTTGAAAATGAAAATAACAGAAAATCAAAGACAATGTGCAATTCGATAATTAAAAAGTGACAGCTTATAAACATAACCTAAAATGCATGAGAAAAAATTTGTCGATAAAATCAATATAGCCGAGCTTTT